TCCCAGACTCCAGCGCCTTTCTGCCAGGCTCCCTCACCATACAAGCAAACAGATGTTTAAAGAGCAGCAGGAAAAGAAAAGCAGGTGCATTAGCAGTGCTCGTCAACAACAGATGGTGTCATCCATGTTACTGTGAAGTATCGTCTTGGCAGTGACTTTCCGTCCATATTACTGAGCAAAAGAGTCCACCAGTGTTATTTTGGCAACTGCCTATGTAATCTACATAACTGTGTGTGTTTTCCACTCTGTAACTATTCTGCTGCTCCTTTGTGTGATATGTACATTAACTAAATCCAGCTTGTGCAAAACGACTTGAGGCTTACTGATCAGAATCATTCCAGATTTCTTTAGAGTTAAACAAAATGATTTGTAGGTTTGGAGAGGAGACTGGCAGTAGCATTCTCTGTGAGAGTAAATACGACCTCCATGCCACAGAACACACAACTTGTCAAAACAGAACATTGTTTTCATATAATTACCTCATTAATTATTAATTTGCATCTTACGAAAAATAAGTAGAACTTCTCTTGTTCAATTTCAATGAACTAAAATATACCACAAAACAAAAAAAAGCCTGGAAAGTGAAGGAAAAAAAGAATAAATGCAACTCAGGCATCTCTCTTCCTGCATTTTTATTTTATTTTTTATTTTCTGGTTCTTACCTCCCTCCTGGCACAGCGAACATCCACCCATCGATATCCTGACCTGCAGCGACATTTTATTTTCCTTCTGGATTAATAAAGTTTTTTTTTTTTTATCTCAATTGAATTGTGCATTTTTTGTGTTCTGGAATATTGTTTATCTATATACGACATAGTTGTTGCAAGTAAATCTTAAAACTATCACATCTAACTCTTCTTGTCAGTCACTGTATACAGTCATTTACACACTTCTCTGTTTCTGCAGCCAGACTGTGATTCTAAAACAGAGCAGAAAATCAATGTCACCATTCACAAATTCTCCTTCTGTTCACTGATTGGCCCAGTTGAAACTCTAACAGAGGAATCCAAGACAATGGGAGAAAGCCCAGACTGAGCTGTGACGTGAGAATTGAATCGAGTGAAATATTGTAGCAAGGCTGCTTGAAGTCCATTCTTAGTATCTATAAAGGTGGATGAAGATGAATCCTTTCTTCATCTTGTGGACCTGCTTTTTATTGTCGACATTAAATGCAGAACAAATCAACTTAAACACAGTATAATTTCATAGTGACAATAAAGATACCAGTTACAAGATATGGTTCTTGTTCTTTACAAAGCAACATTTAAGATTTCTTAAAAACATCATCTTAGTTACTTCATTATGACAGCAAGAAATCGTCAGTTCAGTTAGTCTGACTGTATGTGGATGTTTGTGTTTGTGCCTCAACTTCACGAGGAAAATAAACACATGCGTCAGTTGGTCACAAACTACACGCGTTATCACCCAAAGTTTAAGACTTGCTAACTTCACAAGAAATCAAATAGTAGCAAACTAATACTGAAGTATTCACTTTTATAAGATCCCATTAATGGAGGACAAACCAACAAAGTTTGTTGTAATTTGATCAACAGAAAAGACCACAAAGATTTCAAAGTTGTCCATAAATAATTCAAGTAGATCTTCAACACAGCGAAGCTTAACTTTGGTTTGTTGAAGAGACAAACAATGTTCTGAGTGAAACTGTTCTGATGTTCAAGGGTCAAAGATCAGTGTTGACATTTTGACAGTCATCTGCTGCTTGGTATCAAGAAGGAAGGCCTCAATGATTTCTTGGTTAATATGTAACTTATCTGACTTTTACACAGTTGTGTAGTAATGTTGTCAGTTTTTATAATTAAAGTCTTCAGCACAATGGAGTGATTTTAAATTCTGGTCTCATATCTAAGGGATTACAAGACGAGACAAGAAGAAGACAAGAAACAAAATCTCCTGCCAGATAGCCCCCCAAAAATCCTCTTACAATCCCATTATTCCTGTTCAGTTCTAATAATCTCAACATCTGTGTTCACGTTTTCCTTAATACTCCAGATAACATCAAAAATCAATGAAGCAGTACATGGATGCATGTACACACAAACGGTTAAAAAATTCCAGTTTGTCACAACAATAGTTATCGGCCTGAATGAACTGTGACAAGGTGTTGGTCACCCCACCCCAAGCAAACACCCCCTCTCAAATCCCTCTATCTGCTATCTTCCGGGAACACTAATAGGCTCCTTGCAGAGTAATGTGACCAATTGAGTCCTCCTGGCCCTGGAGCTCGACGCTGCACCTCACAGTGGAGTAAAGAGCAGCAGCTCAGTCAGAGACAACCTCAGAGGAGAGAAATTTACCCCCACCCCACTTTTTCTGTTGGACTCCTTTTGGGATTTTGAACCCCCATTTTTCCAAGGAATCTCTGAATGAGCCGCAGTCCTGTGTCTGCTTAACAGAGCCAGTCTAAGGGGAACAGGTTAAAGGGCTCCAGGTTGGCCCTGAGTGCAGCTCTAGGTGAGTACAAGCCGCAGCATGATGCTGTCTGGAGGAGAGGTTCTGATACCTGGATAAAAAGGGCCAACGATTGGTGATCAAATCAGACATGAGGACTGGTTGCAGCTGAAGAGGTTGTTTTTAGGAACAACACAGGGAACGTTTGTGTGTGTTTTGTCATTGTTATAAAAGGCTGTAAAGAAAAATGTTGACAGTTTTGTTTTTGTTTAGTTTTTTTTTTTTTTTTTAGCTAAAATCATTTCTTGGAATCAGAGTTGGTAATTGACCGACAGACCGAAAATAAGTCCAAATATTCGTCTTTAAATGAGTTTAGATTATTACACGTCTGATGTTGCAATTCAGACATGCTGTGAAGTGATAAAGTTAAAAAAGTAGAAAACGGTGGTAGCTGATCAGACATTACATAAAGCTCTGCACGAGCCCAAGGTAATGAGCACCATGTCTCTGATGTACTGCTTCACGCAATCAGAAATAACTTCAACTGCAAAAACATGAGAATGATACAATCACATGAAACACTGAAGATGTTTCTGCTGGCAGACATTTTTTTCATATATAAAAGCTATAGATTAGTTAGTTTTGCAATATCAAAGTGATGTTCTTTTGTTGTCATGGTGCAATCGTTTAAAAAAACATGCAGGAGCCTTCAGGAAGCCATAGTGAATCAGTTTACGTCTTAATAATCATGAATGTGTGATCACATTTGTCTGTAAAAACTGAAGTTTTGTTTTGTAGGATACACAGTCTAATCGCAAATCTGCAGATCTCTGTTCTCTTAAGGTCAGAGTTCATGGTTGAACAATAAGAAAGGCAATCAGAGCAGAACTGCTGCTCATCAAAAAGAACTCAAGGGCCCATCTCACCTTTATCAAAAAGTTCCTAATGATATTCATGACATTTAGAAAAATATTCTGTTGATGGATTAGATTACAGTGGGATTTGTTGGGTCCAGTTGTGGGCACTGCAACATCTGCCCCAAAATAATCAGCATTTCCTTAAAACAACATCATCGTTTCAGTCCAGGAAACACTGCAGAGATCCTCCACATGATGATCTGCTCTGTTGATGGAACCTTGAATTCTGCTGTTTACCAGAAAAGCTTGTCAGGAGAATATTCTGCCATCCTAAAGTGAAACATATGTAGATTGTCCATCCATACAATGAGGAGGATGAGAGTTGATTCATGTTCTTGATTTTGTAAAGAATTCTTCTTTGTGCCACCACAAAGTTTAATTTGACCTTAATAATCATTCATTCTTGAAAGCCTATTAAATGTGTCTGAATTGAAAGCAGTTCTGCAAAGTACAGAGCTAAAACATTCACTGCCATCAAACATGTTTGGACTGGAGGCATCATCAGTTATTAGGTTGGGCCAGGCTGGTTTTCTTAGCTTTAGACATTTAATAAATCACGCCATCATTTGAAAAGTGTGTTCGCACATATTTGAAAACATAACTAATGATCTGAAACATGTAAGTCTGATCAACAAGCTCTTTCACTAATCAGTCTAATGGTAGTCTAGAATCATTTCCTGACATCCCGTATGTCAAAACTGAGACCTACGCTAATACTATGCTAATATACATGTCCCCTCATAGCTGTCCCCTCATAAGAACCAGCTATGAGGGGACATGTCTCAGTTTCAGTGGACTTGAAACTGAGACATGTGACAATCTTGCTGAGAATTATCCAACTATTGTTTTTGTTCTGGGAAGAGTAAATTTTCCAACCAAATCAACTCCAACCTAAATGCTGAAGCATGACAACACAAGTTTTGGCTGTGAAGAGTAGAGAAAGCACAAAGCCTGACATTGAAGAGAGTGGCTTTATTCATGGAATGGAAAGATTTGTTATTTGTGGAGAGTCATACAGCCATGCAGGGAAAGCTCCCTGCAAGACACATTCCTACTCTGCATGTCACTGTGTTGCTCAGACTGATTCCCAGCTGAGAGCCGCTCTAATCTCCTGGCAACAATATTGACATAGAAATAGAAACTCTGCAGAATGCAGAAGTCTAGCTGTCAGACTGTCAGGACTGCCGGCACATACATCCTCTACAGCTGCTTAAATTAAACATGACTGTTCTGTACGTTCAACCTAATTTTGAGAATCTGTTTTGGTCCATTACATGAAAACAAGGATCGTAAAATCAGCTGATTTCAACATGTCTACAACCGATTCCATGGCTAGATCTGTCAAAAAGAAGCTTAAGAACAAAACATCTCGCATTTGAATATTTAATAAAAATGTAAAAATGTCTGTGTTTAGAAGTTTTGTTATTTTTTGCACTTTCAGTTCGCACCGTATCCACAAATTATGATTGCAATCATATTTATTAATAACTGACAGCAGTCTCCCTGGAACAGAGGCTGAACGTCAGAGCAGCTTCAGAGTGTTACTGCTGATCAGTCACACCAGTTCCTCTGAAAGAACATGAATATCAGTTTAAAAATGGTCTTACTAACATTATTTATTTTATTTTTTTCAGGGTCAATTTCATTTGCCCTGTTTGAGATCTGCCTGCAACCATGACAACCAAAACCAACAGTAGCGTTCTGGCTGGCAAAGCGTCCTCCTGCCCCCTGTTGTCTTCTCCCCCTCGTCAACGTCTAGTCACCAAAGATGGACACTGTACACTTAATGCCCCTGCCTGCCCCTCAGACTCGTGGCGCAGGAACTGGGGCAGAGTCTGGCTGCTGGCGCTGCAGGATTTGTGGGGACTATTGGTGAGTCTGCGCTGGAGATGGGTACTCCTCGCCTTCTGTGCATCCTTCATTGCCCACTGGCTGTTGTTTGCCTGCTTGTGGTACTTGCTGGCCCATCTCAATGGAGACCTTGCTGTGAAAAATCATGATGACCCCCCACAGGATCACGTGGTTTGCGTGAAACATATTACAAGTTTCACTGCTGCCTTCTCCTTCTCTCTTGAGACCCAGCTGACCATTGGCTATGGCACCATGTTCCCCAGTGGAGACTGTCCCAGTGCTATAGCACTGCTGGCTGTGCAGATGCTGCTGGGGCTTATGCTGGAGGCCTTCATCACAGGTACAATTCTGACCAGAGCATGAAAGAACACTCGATGCTAGACGCAGTTAACACATCTGCAGTGAGGCTGTGCTCAGGGATTATGCATAACGTGAAACTGACAAAGAACTACAGAATTCTAAAGAACAAATTCAACACAATGTGATGAATGTAAGAAAATCACCTTAAATTTGATCTTTAAAGATTCAAAAACGTCATGTGAATTAATTATCTGTGCTTTAATGACAGTAGAGCATATATTTTCTCTATTTTCATAAATGCCATCTGATCCTTGCAGTGTTTAAATTCTGACACAACAGACAATGTTTCATTTCACAAAATATTACAATAAGTCAGAAAGCAAGTATTGGATATAATTCTTCATTTGAAGAGTATATTTTTAGTCAGACATGTTTTTAATTGTTTTTTAAGCGTTTGATTGGCTTTGTTGACAGTCGGAGCGAGACATCGTGCTTCTGTAATTGGTTACATGGTCCTTAATGAGTCACTTGACTAACTCACAATTCTTAATATACTTTTACTCTATGGAGTGAAATAACACCTGCAGAGTTATTTTAAAAGGACACTGTTAGTTTTTGAGTGATTTTCTAATTAATATCCAATAGTGTACAACCTCTGTGTACAACCTCTATAGCACTGTTAATGTTAATGTTAAATTTAACGCTGCATATAGCGTTAAATTTAACGCTATATGCAGCATTAATCTCTGATAATTCAGTGTCAAAAAAAATAATAATTAGATACTGTTTTATTATAAACCTATTCAACATTTACATTTATTGAAATCAATAAAAACATAACATGTTTAGATTATTATCAGACATGCAGTTAAGACTGAATATGAAACTTTTAAGGTAAAGTATTTGTGAATCGTGATGAATTTATGTGAAAATCTTTAACCACTTCAGTTTTTTTTTTACAAAAAAACAAAAATTTACATCATTTATACCATTTGTTATAAGGGACTCCCAAGTATGAAAATAATGAAAGGAAAAGAAGAGAAACAGTTAGATCACAACATTTCTGCTGAAAGTTAAATGTTTCAAGTTTTCCCTGCATTTATATGTGTTGCATATAAATGCATTTATATCAATTTATATGCATCTATATGCATTGTTGGTCAATGACCAACAGTCTGGACCCAGGCAAAAGAATACATGGCAATAAAATAAATAAAAATAGTTTTGAAACAGAATCCATTTCAAACATGACAAGAAACAGAAAAAGCAGAGAAAAGGAACAGATGATAGTTTTTGCAAAAAATATGCAGCATAAACTTTTCAGCCTGGGATGCAGAAACCTTCAGGCTCGGCAGGAAGGAGCAATCAGGATGAGCAGGAGAACGGCTGAAGTAAGATTACCAGAACAGAAACAACACAGGATATGAGGATAACAATTAAAAAAAACTATAAGAATGTTAACACTCGGTGCCACAGAGATGTCCAATTGACTTTGACACCTCTTTGAATTTCACATCTGTCGTGTAATGCAAATTTTTGACAAAAAATAAGTTCTGTCTGCAGAACAACATTACTTTGATATGCTGCTTTCAATAGAAAATTTGAAAAAAAAAATTAAGTTGAGGAAACTTACTGTGATTGTTAGGCAATGTGAAAATGAAAATTGTGCTGAGAAAATTCTGCTCATTCTGGCAGGAGGTGAAAGCGGCGGAGCGCTTTGGAATCAACCTGAAGAGACATTTTACTCTCACTGTTGTTGAATTGACTCTGCTAGGGTTCACATGCTCTGATGTTCTGATTTGACACTTGAGATTTTACTGTGTTCGTTTCCTGCTGCTCTTTAAATGTCCATCTGCTCGTTTCGTCAGGAGAACAGAAACAACACAGACAGAGAGATGTTGAAGTTGGGTGCATGCATATTTTTACTAATATTTTTATGGTGCCAACTTAAATGTATTAAAATTAATTAAAAATCTACATGAATAAATTATCAAAATAATTTGATTATTTATTCAATATTATCAATGTAAAGAACAATATCAAGATTTTGTCAAGTCAAAAGATTCATTGCTATAATAAAATAGCTGACCTCCATTTAACACCATCTAGACACAATAACTTTGAAAAAATCCCTTATTCATCAGAGAGTTATCATATATTCTCTGACAGGCATACATGTGGAATTCTATTATTATATTTCTATATCTCTAGCTTAAATAAACAACTATCCCCCACAGCAAAGACAGGATTGCTGAGCTGAATGACAACATTAAATTATGTTAATATTGGTTCGGCGTTAATTGCTCAATATTTGGAAGCACGGCCAACACGGACTGAATGACTTTGTTCACTTTCTCAACTGCTATTGCGAAACTACAACTATACACAGGCTATAATTCTAAAAGAGTGCAGGGTTACATTTATTCATAGAAATGAAGGTCAATGGGAGAAAAAAGAAAGAGAAATCCCAAAGGGAGCAGTGGAGGGAGATGAGAATTGAGTGAAATTGAAAAGTCCAGCACAATTCATAATCCATAAATCAGAATCTGCCCAGGTCACGTGGTTAGCTCCTCATCCAATCCTACACTATGAGCCTTTGGTTAACAGAAATAGGTTTTTCATATTGTTGTCATGTGTTTTAGGATGTTATTAGATATTAATTTTTTCTCTCAATAACTTGCCATTTCAAACTGTAATGCCCTCATAGTTCATGTCCTCAAGGTATGAACCACCTGTTCACCTGTTCTGATCTATTTGACTGCACTGAAAAACATGGTTGGGATGATGAAGGACTATCTTCAAACTAGACCGTGCATTTGGGATGTTTGAGACGTTTTAGAGTTCATAACATAATATAGTTGACCAAATCTTACCAAGTGCAAGCTCAAACAACTCTGAAGTGAGGCTTGTCACTATGTTACTCCAACAAAATAAAAAACTGTTTAATTATTGGTTTTGTTTTGGCTTTGCCTCTCTTACTTATTGTGACAAAGGAATGAAGATATAGAGGAGTTTCTGGGCTGCTTTGCAACTTGTTTGGTTTCCTAATCAGATTGAAGCAACAGTTTTTTAAGAGACAATATTGTGTGGCCGAGTGCCAGATCTCCCAACTGCACAGTCACGTTTTATTTAATTTAAAGGCAAATAATTTGGTAAACATTGCAGAACTTTGCCTGGTTTTGCAGTTGAGGTGAAAGATTTAATGTAACATTTTGACACTATCCTGACGTATCATTTTCAGGTGCATTTGTAGCCAAGATTGCTCGCCCTCAGAAGAGAGCAGGAGCCATCGAGTTCAGTCCACAGGCAGTAGTGGGCCAGCACCAGGGCCAGACGTGCCTCATGATACGAGTCACTAATCTTATTCAGCGACCTCTACTGGACGTGAAGGTGAGTGCAGTGCTCTATGAGGAACAGGAAGGCCAGGCTCTGTACCAGACCTCGCTGGACTTCCACTTGGACCATTTAGGCCAACAGTCATGCCCCTTCTTTATTTTTCCGCTTACTTTTTACCACCGACTGGACCGCCAGAGCCCTCTCTACCCTTTTCTTTGCGAAGGCACATCCAAACACTTTGAGCTGGTCATTTTCCTAACAGCAGTGCAAGAGGGAACTGGTGACTCCTGCCAGAAGAAAACGTCTTACTTACGACAAGAAATTCAGTTTGACCGGCGATTTCTGCCTGCCTTGGGGCTGGATGCTCGGGGCAGGTACTTGGTGAGCAAAGAGCACTTTGACACCGCCCACTCCAAGGAGCCTTTGAACAAAGATTGTGTGGTTCAAATCAATGGTGATGACACTGACAGGATGGAGTAAACATGATAAACAGGAGCTCCAACTTGGACAGCAGGAGGGGTCCTTTGCACATGGATATTTTGGTCAGGAGTTTCCAGCTAACTTTATTTTTTGACATGTAAAATACTGTCAGGAATAGGTGATCCTGTTTGTTTCCATCAGTAGTTCCACCTGTGCATTTCAGTCTGAAGTCTGTGCAGCCTCTGCCTTTGCTCCTTACCTGATTTACTTGGGTCAGTTTGTCCAAACTGTGTTAAGATGCAAGTAAAGAAGGTGCAGCAGAAGAATAAAATACTGTCTGAAGCTGCGGATAAATAAAATGCCTTAATTTAGATTGGACATGTTGCATATTACATGATTCACATTTTCATCATCTGATCTGACTTGAATAAGATACAGCCTTTAACAAAATCATTGAACTGCTTTTGGATATGTTCACCAGTGTTAATGACAACTGTTACCAGTTCAAACATATTCCAAATGAGACATTTTAAATATTTTAAAGATAAATAGAATATTTGTGATAATAAATCTTTGTAGCTTTCACAGAGTTCTTGGAGGAAAACATAATCCCTCTTCCAGATGCATTAAGAGAAGTGAGATACGTTTCCAACATAGCATGCAAAACAAGAATTCATAGTGAAGAGGAAGCAGGACAACAGGAATTGTTTTTCTAGTAATTAAAAAGAAGCCAGTATGGACACTGCAGCTACATGTGATGGCTGACATGACACCCAGGCAGAGGGCACTGCAGGATCTGAGTCAAGTTGGTGTGAAGTTGGTTCCCTCTCTCATCCCTCAAATTAAACAATATTAGTGCACAATACCTGAGCTGGTTTGTGCAGCACAGGTTTCTTGTTTGTGCCGCCAGGACCAGTTTTAGGCATGGATGCATGAGGAGGAAGGCAGACATACATTATGCTCCATGGTATTTATTAACATTGTTGACTTGTGTTTTCTTCATGGGATTGAGGTAAACTGTGTCCAAACCAACAACAACAAAAATCATATAAATTTATAAGACCTTGATGATTAAAGACGCTCTTCGTCCAAGAATGAACAACCAACAGCATAACATTTATCTACTTGGATGGTCACTATGCAGTTAAACATTTTACTCTACTATATTTAATTACAAACACACACACATATATTAACATCTTGGATGGGGTAGCCTGTCAACTATTGAACAATTTTCCTATTTTATTTTATTTAAAGACCAGAGGTCATCATAGATCAACCAGCCAGTCCACATTCACAAAATCAAAAGTAGCATGTTGTCAATCAACTGAGCTACGTTTGTCTTGGTTAGTGCAGCTAAAATATTTTAGTGCAGATAACTGACACCAAATGTACTTGATTTTGTAAATATGGAGGAGGCTGGTTGACCTGCGATGACCTCTGAAAACATTTGGTAATATCTTTAACATGACAGTGGCTCAAACAAAACATTTTGCTGCACCAGTGTTGCAGCAAACTTTTGACACCAATTTTGTTTAATTTGAAGAAGTTGGGGGGCAACGTCACCCACGTAGCAAGATGCAAAACTGTGCGAAGATGTAAAGATATTTATTCATTTCTGCAATTCTTCAGGTCAAATCATCTGACAGGTCAAAGTCAGAAAACTGAGAAAGAATGCTTTTTTTTCTAAGCAACCATCCATTATTATTATTATTAGTTTCTTTCCTGTTTTTTGAACAGCTGCAGATTAAAAATAACTTTGAAGACATTTAGAATCATAACAGATAAACATATTTTGAGCTGTATATTTAATGCATTTCTTGTATCCTCAGATTTCAGTAGACTATAAAGTATTTTAATGTATAATGTGTGTCCACAAAAATTCTATCTAAAACTAAGCTAAGTATATGGGTCTCTGCAGATGTTTTCTCAATTAGCATTAAGTGCAGTTAAATCATATCTGGAAAAACAAACAAAACATTTGTTGGGCTGACGTGATTTCTAAGCAAGTACCAGTATTTGCAGGTTTGGATCTGTAGGAATTTCAGGTCATTGTTCGACTAGTTACTACATAATTACTGCATAAATACCCAGAGTATGTTTCTGATCATTTTGCCAGGTTTTGATGTTATTGAACATTAGTGTGAACTATTAAACCTCAAAATCAGGCAAGGTGTTCACTTCAAATGTCACAAACACAAGCCAGCTTTCAGTATGACATCACCACATCCATGTCTAAAGTGAGGTTTCTAACATATGAGTGGCCTCCTTAATTACTAATAGACAAACAGTTATTGATTTATTTGTATATTATTGATTTTAGCAGGTTATTGTCTAAAATTATACAAAGAAAAATATTTTGTATTACACTGAATTTTTCAAATGTTTTTGGAGATTTAGCCTTGAAAATAAGCATTGTATGTTAAAGTTGTAGTATGTAACTTATATATATATATATATATATATATATATATATATATATATATATATATATATATATATATATATATATATATATATATATATATATATATATATATATATATATATATATATATATATATTTGTTGAAACTGCATATTGAACAGTATGGTATGAATGTGACAATTAATCTGTCAAAAAAGCTTCTCTGCTTTCTCCCAGAGCTAACTAGAATCAACCAATCAGAGCCTGGAGGTGGGTTTTAGTGCTGTCAATCACTCTGCATGCAGCGCTGCTTACCATTCCCTCCCTCTCTGCTAAGCTGCAGTTTCTTCCTTATAGCAGTGCCTGCTGTGAATGCTCATACTGGTTGACATAGCCACTGATGACAGCAGATAAAAAACATTTCTGTAACGCAAAGTTGTTTCTCCACTATTAGCACATTGTGCAGCATACACAAGTTGATTGACAGCGCTAAGACTCCTCCTGGATCTGATTTGTTGTTTTTTATCAGAAGAGGTTCATTAAGTCAGGTGGTAGTCAATACCGCTCAGGGGGAGCTGCAGGATCGAGATCTGATGTCATTTATCTCATATTATACTTTCATAACATGACAGTTTTAGCAAATATGCAAATACATATTTTATGAGTTACATATTGCAATTTTACAGTAATTTCCTTTATAATACATGTTGTATTTACATTACTTGATTATAATCAGATCATTTTTTTCTATATTGTTTTCAGAGATTATTTAGACGCGTGTAAACGTCATTGAACCTCATGACTTCATACACTGACTATAATGGGAAATAAACTTTTTTAAACAAACACAGAAATGACAAATGCTTATTCCTTTGGGCTCTGTGTCTTCATTCTGTGTTGACTCAACATATTAGTGAATCATTTCACTTCAGTGCTGCTGTCTGCTGGCGTTTGACTAGTTCATTACACACGTTATAAGTTTTAAGTGAAGCTTTTCAGGCTTCACTTATGAATAAGTTCATTCAGTTTATGTAACGGACAACACAACAGATACTAACAGATATTAAATAAAAGAAGGATTCAAATCCAGACATCACCAGAATTCACTGGTGCTCAGTGAATTCTGACGAGGATCAGAATTCACTGGCAAGTCGGCCCCAAAGTCAACAGAGACCCCCAGGAGACAAAGAGGAGACCAAGAGGAGTTTTATTTCAGGTTGATTTTTTTTTTTTTTTTTGAAGATTTCATGTTTTATTTCAGTTTCTCTCCCTTTTTCCCTCTCTGTGTGTGTGTCCCATTAAATCAGGAGTCAAACTGTGCTGTGTTGGAGACCTCTGGTGGAGCCAGCAGCTCATTGTCCAAGGAGGCCAGTGCTCAGATTAGCACTGGGCAAACGTGTCACGTTGTGCACTAAGTGGCCAGACATGTTTGATGTGAAAAATGTCTTTCCATTGCAGTTTTTCAAAATAAACAAATTTCAATACGGCTAAAAAACCACTCCATCCTGGAGCAAAACATTTTTTTAAATCAAGAAACGTGTTTGCTTTTCTTAATTGCTCCATTAAACTAATTTACTTTATTCACTCTAATTTGTGAAATCTTATGGTGAATGGAAACACTCATAGTGTTTGTTTGGTCTGCCTCTATAACTATGAGTTCTGTTTGGAGACGTAATGAAACTCAAATTGTGTTTTACAGTGAACCACTGGACAGGATGCTTCTTTAGGTCGGACTGTGATGTTAGTGAAGTGGAGATGGTTGAATAAATGGCTCATGAAGCATCAGTGTGCATTAAAAGTCATAACAGTCTCATTAAATATTTTTATTATTCTATAAGCATATGTTTGTCTTAAAAATAAATTCTTATCAGGGAGGCTAAACTGCTAACAGTGCAAGAAAACATTCTTTTTGTGGGGAACACAATATTACAATTACAAAGTGTTTGAAACATGCATCAGCTTTCTGCTTATTGCATTTAGACAAATATGATGATTTAGTTGAAATGTACCATGAAGATATTCCTGTCTTGATAAGAACTGTAAACACAGTACTGTATGGAAAGGATTTGGATTGTATCCTGTAAATCTGTGTTTTCAGATTCAAAGGTTACACAAGTTGATTCACATCAAGCCTTTATGTGTGTGTGTGTTCACATGTGTAGAAAAACTGATTTCAGTGAGTTCTCGTTATGTTGATGCTCTGTTCCAGTTTATGAACAGACCATCAACATCATCCCCAAATATAAGTCAAACCAAACTTTAAATATTCCAGGTTTTATGTATATGTGGTTTTAGACCATCAGGGCTGTTGGTACATGAACTCCTCTGCTGCATAACAGAACGACTGGTTCTCTATGATGGATCATAGAAATGCAAATCTTCAATAATGATTTAAAGTTTCCTTTATTAAAGTTAAAATGTTTCATTCCACACAGAGTAGAACATATTCTTTACAATTGCCTAAAAATATATCTCACTTACCACTTTATTATTTGGCATCATATAACTCTGATAAATCAAACAAAGAAGATTTTAACCTTAAAAAAAAACAAACAAGAAGAAAACAGTCAATTTAACACAATGAATACAGGAAAAATTACATCAAACATTGTATCAGTTTGGAATTGTTACACGTTGCTATGAACACACTACAGTTAATACTACAACCTTGTAGCTCTTGTCTGTGGAAATGAAATGGAATTTATTTTCAGCAGATTGTGACGTAATGGCAACAAATACACAGGTAATAACAGCTGTATTCCACTTCAGGAAGGTCATGCTTTCTGCTGGCTCAATGTCACTAAGCACAAGACGAAATAGAGTTCAGCAATAATCTATAATCTGATATCAGATAAACTGAAGCACCGACTGGGACTAAATGTCAAAGATCCCTTCCTATTGGCTGAAAACAAATCATGCAGAAATCTGGCTTGGTGCACCAATGAGCCGGACTTCCAACCAGATCTAGACTGGGGAGTTTTCTCCAACCCCAACAATTACTTTTGGCTCCAGCAAGCCTTTCTAAATTGTGCAACAAATGCTGAATGTGCTTTTAAAAATGAAAGCTGTGATCACTAGTCCACTGTTGACAGACTGCTTCTTTAATCTTTAATCTTTTTTGTCATCGAAACGACTCCAAATATTGCATGTGCCTATAACCACAGCCTCCTTCAAACATGCCCAAAAAATAGAAATCCGTGTTTTCAAATTGTAAGAATCCACAGGTTGATTCACATCAAGCTGAAAGCTAACAGACCCTGTAATTCTGGATCTGTGTAGCACAGCAAGGGACACAGCGTGACCCACCTCAGTAGAACTAAAATAAAGTCTGAAAATGCAGTCTACTGTTCACATTGCTTTCGGTGCACAAAACGCATTAGATGTGTGTTGAGGGAACCCACAATGTGGGATACAGACCACAAGTCTTATTGTTCAACACAGAGCCTGAATGATAAACTTTGTGCTTGGACTTTGTCAAGCAAACTCTGTGATAAAGGAGGTCAAAGTTTCAAACACCTTCTGTGGAATAACACATCACTTTTAGTAAAAAGAGTATATTGTCATCAACACCTGTGATGCTCTCAGACAGGTGAAATTAATTCTGATGAATACAAAGAAAATTCTTCATGATGAAATACAACGGTAGGGAGATGGGAGATTTTATATATTGCCAAATCATTGCCAAACGCATTTTGTTAATTCTCTCAGAGAAATACTGGAAGCCAACAAACGCAGGAGCAGTTTGTTCAAAACCATACACTCACAATATGATCTTAGGGTCTCATTAACTTACTTTTGACACTCTTATTTTTATTTGTAGGAAATATTAAAGTAGGGAAAGTCACACTAAAATTATGACTGTGTTTAGGGTAAACAACATCAGGTGGCACAAACCCTGAAAAAACTGGAATGTTAAACATATTTCACAAGCAGCACACAGTGTAGAAAGAATGAATAAAAATAATTCAGAGTTCCCTCAGGGTGAAATCTTCTCAACAAATTCACAGAATGCAGATTTAGCCATTCGGGTTTACAGAAACTTAAAAGATAACAGGAATCATCGTACGCGTCCGGAGCTATGGTTCTGCATGTTAGAGTTTTGTTAAGTAGCTGCAGAAACTATGGAAAAGTGGTCTGTGATTTCACAGGAAATTTAGTTACAAATACATTAGCGTGAAATACATTTGTTCAACTTTCCTTTCGGTTTTTAAACCTTATTGTTCCGAGTTATGTTGCTTCTTACAGTGTGAGTGGAGTGGTAAGCTCGGTTTCATGGATTTGCTTGAGGTGACGCTGCAGCGGTCATGAGAAAGCAGACTGCAGCTGCTTGAAGGCAGCTTGCCGCTCCTTCTTCTCCACCTCCTGCTTCTTGCGTTCTTCTTTTTCTTCTCGAATCTCAGCTTCAAACTTGCTGCTCTGGGACAGAGCCTGAACCTGACAACACACAAGGACAAAACACCATCAGGCACAGACCTGTCTACATCAGGCACCATAGCAGGCAGTGCAGGTCAATTGATCAGCAAATTAAATAGACGCCTGTCAATTTAGTCAGCTGAATTCACCACAGTTGGACTCTGTTCAAGCTGTGGAAACATCTCTAGGATGATCAGAGGAAACAGCTTAATATTATGTGAATTACTTTCGTTAATGTGATTTATTGGTTAATAAATTTACAAAAATCTCAAGAGCTTATTTTCCACGTTGACATAATAAGTAGAATTTTGAGGAAAGAGATCAATTTAATACAATTTGGAAAAATTCTAGAACATAACGTGGAAAAAGTGAAGTGCTGGGAATATTTACAGCATGCACTATAATATCTCTGCTAAAAAAGAGCTTATCACTACAGGTCAAAGGATAATTATTGTTTCAGAGGAGCATGACCATAGACTTTTTCATGGAAATCAGCCAATTATCATTGGCGGCTGATCGATTGGCGGCTGATCGGTTGGCACACCACTAAAGGAAACAGTTCCCAGTCTCACAGATCTGCTTTCTCAGTACAATAATTCAATCTAACACTGAGCCTTTTCTCACTCGTTTACACACACAGCCAACCACATATATTGTCAAGAAAACCTGAGATCATCCCACTTCCCCATGCTGGAGATTTTACTTTAATAGTAACAATAAATAAAGTTACCTTTAAAATTTGTCACACAAGTGACATCTAGACCCAACAGTAGACCAAGACTTCAATAAGATAAATCTGCTTTTGTGTTTTGTTTTTGTCTCCTGCAAACTTAGCTTTAATTCTACTTACTTTTTCTGTCTAATCAGAAGAAATCATAGTCAAGAGATATGAGACAGGAAAAGCAGGTTTCCTGGAAAAAGAGGAAGTAAGTTTCCAGCTTGCAGATGTATAAAAATAGCTGAGACTATTCCTTGTTTCAAAGCATGAACGTTTTAAAGGATGAAATCTAAACATTTTGAGTACATAAATAAGATTTAAAGTAAAATACTTATATTAATATTGGTTTACTTATAACAATACTTGCACTTACACTTGTGGGAACACTTACAAGTAAAACAAGTAACTAACTTTGGTATCAAAATTATAATAATAGATTATTCTTGGTTTCCTTTCAGAACATCTGTAATAACTCACATTATGGTTATAATAAGAGTAATAAGTTGGGGTTATCATAATATTATAAATGAATGCTAAATCAAAGAAACTAATGTGATTTTGACATTGAACTTGAAATGGTGTAAAATGTGGAACTGCAATTAAAGATCACTGATGATGTGATGGAGGTAGATAGTAGGTGAAAGGTCAGGGCTAAAATGGGAACTAATGGAAGAGCAGAGATGACCAATGCCTTATTTGGAGACAGATGGTTGAACAACTTAAACATTTCAAGGAAAAGCCAAGGGAGGAATGTTGAGCAACCCTGAGACATTACCACAGACATGAGGACATAATGTCTCTAAGACAGTGATGGATACGAGATCATCTGTCCAAGCAGTCAGCCAATGAAACAAGCACAGCAACAGTGTTAGCCAATGCAAATGCACCAAAAGGGTGGATAAACTCTATAAAAGGTGAGAGCAAAAGAGAAATCTTTGGTTGGATCCTCCAGACCGAGATGGACAAAGAACTCTGCAGCTGAAGAAGAGCCGGGGCCACAGAGCCGAAGACTGTCTTGCACATCGGGACCAATCCGTCAGCCCCGCAACATGTGGCTTCAAATCACACTTCTCTCATCAGCTGGGTTCAGACCCCAAAGGCAAAGATGAAGATCAAGGCAAAGATAAAGACTCAAGTCCTGTGTGACCTCATCATCCATGCAGAGATTAAAGCTCATCAGTCCAACAGAGATCCCTGCCTTCATCAATCAACCTCCTCCTGCTGCAACACCTGCCATCGATCCAGTTCTGGGGTTTGAAACACCAAACTTCGTCCCTCTCTCTCAAAAGGTTCCCTTTTTAGTTCTTAGTATCAGCATACGGGAAAGATAGGCTAGATGATTGATTTTACTTATTTGATTATTTCTGCTACTTAATTACGCTGTTCTGACCCTTGCAAAATTGCTTTACTAATAAAATATTCAGCATAAAGAAAATCTAAAAGATGTTGTGGACATTCAATTAATGAGTCACCTTCTTTGATGGTAGTAAAATAGCTGTGATGTTTGATTCTGGGGAAGAAAACTAGGTAAAGTTTTATAGGTTACTTTAACCCAAATTTAAAACTTTAGCCCAAGTCACTAAAACCAACCTGGTTCAGTAACAAATGCACATTGTAATAAAGAGAAGGAGCGACCGTTAACAGATGTGCTCTGTGGAACCAGTTGGCTGTATGCTGCTCAGTCTGGCTAATTCACAGGGGGAAGAAGGGTGGGGGGACATCTGGATGTGGGCTGTCAGTAACCAGGCGAATCCTGTCTCAATGCAGCTTAAACAAAGTTTACTTCAGTTCTGGACAGAGTAAATCCCAGCAGGTTTAGGAAACTCAATTCACCCGTTAGATGGAGAGCTGGTAGCACATCTCCCCTCTCAGAAGAGGAAGTAGTGACTGAGAAAGTAGAGTGAAGGGGGGGGTGGGAGGGGGTGTCACCGCAACAACAATATACACACACAAAGTCTGAAACATGTTTATATATAGTTCTTGTTTCACCTAGCAACTATGTTGCTAAGTAAAAGAGGATGTCAAATTAAGCTGTAGACAGCTTCATAGTAAGAACATTTATAGACCTATTAATTCTTATCAAATGTGTGGATTGCATATCAATGTCTGAGAAAATAGTTCTTGACCCTCTGATGCATAAGTGGGTCCTTTTGGACCTGGTGAGGTCACCTTTTTGCAATATCTTTGTAATGAACAGCCGAAATGGGCTGCTTGACCGAAATGGGTTTTCCCCATAGGGTGTCTGGGCTCTTCTTACAGATAGGGTGAGAAGCTCAGATATCCAGGAGGGATTCAGAGTAGAGGCTCTGCTCCTTCATGTCGAGAGGAGCCAGTTGAGGAGGCTCAGCACCTGGTCAGGATGCCTCCTGGACGCCTAACTGGTGAGATTTTCCGGGCACGATCCACTGGGGAAGATCCACGAGACCCCGGAGGGACTATGTTTCTCAGGAGGCCTGGGAATGCCTTGGGATTCCCCTGGAGGAGCTGGAACAAGTAGCTGGGGAGAGAGAAGCCTGGGCCTCCCTTCTGAAGCTGATACCCCAGGACTCAGCCGTAGATAAGCAGAAGATGGATGGATGGATAGATAGATAGATGCACACTCATACATCCACTCACATGCTTAATACACAAATACAGACAGTAATGTTAGCTAGCTTGGTTAGCTAGCTAGTTTCAAGAAACGTGCTCTTTCGCACCCCCCCATGTCCAAACACACACAAAAAAAATGGATGTTGACATTGTCCGTCATTAACATTTCATCACTGCTGCTGTAAAATTGCTGTTGTTGTCATTTTGTTTTAAAAATGTTCTATAAACTGTCACAAATGTTCTACAAATTTTTCTAAAAACATTTTAAAAAGTGACCCCCCCCCAAAAAAAAACATGAAATAATTCTTGTGTGAAATAAAACACAGTAGAAAGTATTATACAAAACTTTATTTTGAATCAAAATGACAACAGTAGCATAAAAACACATTCATTTTAACCCGGGTCAAAAGACCCAGACATGGGAGACTATTAGCATACCTTGGCCTCAAAGAAGTCTTTGGCCCCCATGACCCCTTCAGTGGAGACGTTGATCTCAGACAGCCTGGCCAGAGCCATCAAGCCGCTCTCCTCCTGCAGCTCTCCAGCTGCAGCTCTACGGAAGATCAGCAAGAACTGCAAACAGGGAAACAACCGAACTCGTTCAGTAGCTCGTCTGTGTTTGTGTAGACATGATGCAGGTACTGTGCCTGGACCACAATGCTTCAGGTTCAGGCCAGCATGAATGGATGACGCCCATGAAAACATAGCAGCCAAAGTCACAGAGGGCTGAACAAGGAGGAAGTCTTTTTTTCCCTCATACTGGCCCACAGCAATCTCCACCAGTGGAACTACTAAGTAATCCAGTCACCACTTCTCTTTTTTTCAGGATGTTGTACTGCCTCTGTTCACACATTTAGCCTACTATAGTTTTGACATTTATACAATTTAGCACAGCTGCAAAAATTCAATGACTATTTCAATATTCAGTACACAAGGACAGGCCACGCTCGTTTTACCATCACCTCCTGCTCACCTCTCTGAAGCTCAATTTGCCATCAATATCTTCATCCACTTCCCTGATCATGTTCTTCAGGCCCAAATGAGTCTGCGGAGCTCCCAACTTCTCCATCAGTATCTTCAGCTCCATCAGGTCGATGAAGCCATCTTTTCCCGTGTCAAACCTGAAAACAGCAAGAAGGCAGCCGAGGTCAGGGGAAGGTTAAACCCACAGCGAAAGCAGCTCGAGTCAAAGCATTTCCACTGAAGTCTTGAAGCTAAAGTCCGAATGTCTCGGCCGGCCTGAGCAGCAACAGGGACTCAGGAAGATCCAGCCTCACGACAAACAGATACTATGGCTTGAAATGAGCTTCTGCTCATACAGTGGAAACCAGAAGTTTACATACACCAAGTACAAAGACTTTTTTCCACTGTCTGAAGTTCAGATCTGTTTTAGATAAGTTACAATTACTAAATGATTATTATTATTGTTAAATTACTTAAGAAATTATTGTCAAATGCCACAATAAGGAGAAAAATAATGTTATTTATTAATGTCTTCAAAATCAGATCTTAATTTGAAGGACTGCAGAATTATTCCTCTTTAAACAATAACAGGAAGTTCAGATGATGTCATGAAGACCAAAGTCATACACACGTTTGTATTTCTACCCATATTAGGACTTTTTCATTTTAATTGCTGCATTTATGTCTAACAGACATTTCCTCTAGTCCTAACCCTATCAGTAACCACAACCTAATTCACACCGTGCCTCTAAAGCTTACACTAAGCAAAAGGGTCCATCGCATTAGGACGGTGCTTTGGTTCAAGAATTTCTGTTAACCTTCTTTTTCTGACAGGTTTTGTTCAAATGGAAATTCTAGTTGTGGCCGACAATAGCAATGCTTGCACCTGCAAAAGGCACACTTTGGCAAACCCCTTTTAGATTTCTACTTCTTTCTACATATTGTTCAAAACAGAAGAAATAGAAATGTCACAAGTACACTTTTTTTAAATCAACTAATTTTTTACGTTTTAACAACTTGAAGTTTCAGAACTGGATTTCTTCACCGAAATGTGAGACCTAAACTTTTCACTGATGAGCCACATATGTTTCAGAGAACATTCTCTGAAAAGCAACTGCATGTCTCTACAGGTTCTCACACGCTCTCTATGGCTCTAGACAACAGACGGCCTCCTAGGAACTGGTTCAACAGCAACATACTGTCAATAAGCTTTTTTTAGTTAGAAAAGCAACTGTATCCTGACAATAAAAGCATGATATTCTGAATATATACAGTTATACGATGACCCAATCTCCCTACATAAAATCAATTGTACAGCTGACAGAGCTCTCTGTGCACACAGCAGTGTGTACTCCCCGTCCAACTCCACGATCACGGTCTTTGACCAGAAACACAAAGGACAGAAACACAAACTGAAAAGCTTCCTGATGAAACATACAGAGTGGCAGAAATGATTAATAAGAACTACAACATTGAAAAGGAACTCTGAAAACAGAAATAGAACAGCTCTTCCGCTAAGCTAAGCAAATCAATCACTAAAACTACAATCTAATCAGTGAGTCATATCAGAAAAGAAGGAAGTAAGCTCTCAATAGGTGACATTTGCAAACTGCTGCTTTCTGTACCAGGAAGGTCAGGAGAAAAGAGATATGCATTCTTTTAAAAGGGGAAGAAGGTATCATGTATTTACCAAGCACAAAATACCATTATCTAGCAATCAAGCAACTATGTTACCTTCAGTTGTTAATATCAAAAATAATAAATTTGACTTTGCATCATATGCATCATCTGACACCTTGAAATTGGGCTCCCTCTCTCTCTCATACCTTTTCAACAATGCTTCTCTAGCTGTTCATCACAGCAGCTATTAGGAGAGCTGTAGTTTTGTGATCATCTCAGCAGTTCTCTCCAGGTGTTTGCTGATTGCTGCCGCTAGTCAGAGGAGCTGAGTGGCTGAGGAAGGCTGCTGTGTGAAACATCATTAATTACACTAACAACAACAACAACACACACTTACTGAGTCCACAACAACAGCAAATATATTCATATTGTTTCAAATAAAACATATTTGGGATCAATAATTTTCCCAAACAAGTAAACAAACCAACCAATCAAACCAGATCGAGTAGCAACAACATAAAGACCATAATACAGATCAATACATCACAACCTTCAAGAAATGCGCTTGTCCAGATTGGATGTTGAGTTCAGGATAGTAAGGAATCGCATGTTTTTATGTTATATGATCCATACGAGAATTCATACTTTCCAACTAAACATGGATGTTTGTGGACCCTATCTATCTGTCTATCGGGGAGCTGGAGCTGGAGCTGGAGCGGGCCTGCAGTGCGTCACTCTGAACAAGATGAATCACGATCAATCTGTACGTACTGCACTCTCATTAGGTTCCAAGCCACTCAACTCCCAGAAACAACCATTCAAAAATGGAAAAGCACGCAACATTGAATTCCTACCGTTTAAACATGGCCTCCATGTCCTTAATTTGCTTGCGGGAGAACTCTTTAAACTCAGTGTAAGGGTTAAAAACACGAGTGGTCCGAGTAGGAGCATTTCCGTCGTTGATGTCAAGCCTGCGATTCAGTTTCGTCGCCAGCTCGGACGGCGTATCTCCACAGCCAGGATCGGATTCCTGGGATTGGACCGGAACCGCACTCTGTTCGGTCTCGGGGTTCTGCTCGGCCTCTTCCGCAGCAGCCAGTCGCGACTGCAACTTCTTAGCAAGCTCTTCAGATGCCATGCTGAAGGTCTAACGTCTCTCACAGAAACAAGTCAATTAAAATGGAGTCACTCAGTTGAGCCAGTTTTCTGGACTGTACGGGCTGCTTCCTGCAGGACTTCACAATAAGAGTCTTGTGATGTCCAGTAATCTATTTTTTGTTCAATCCTCCTGTCATGTTGCGGGTCAAATTGACCCGTTTGAAACTTTAACATTTTTTTTTAAATATTTGGAAGTATTTTTTTGCATGAACCTTTTTCTATTTGTCTTAAAAGGTGCATATAAATTGAAAATTTATTCGTTTCACACATTTGCACCCACCCCTACTGTTTGGGTGAATTTGACCCAACAGTCAAGTTGAAGGGTAAAGAAATGTCAAAAATACAAATAAAAAAAAGTCCAATTCCATATGTTTTCTTGCAGCTCTGAACCATATTTCACCATAAATACTCTCTTTATAACTCAGGTTCAATTATAAAAATCACCCTTTGAAAAAAAATCTAAATGTAGTATAAAAAAATGACAAAAGATACATTTCAAGGAAATTATTGTTTTTTGGTGTCTAGTTTTTTTTTCAGTGGATATGAAAAAATGTTAATTCCATTTTTTATGTCCAAATGAGTAAATGTCGTCATTGAGATTTATGATAAATATGAAAAAAAAACCATCATTGCACAAATATTGATTGAAATGTTTAGTATTGGAATTAATAATCAGATACAAAAATCTTTTGGAAGAATTTTTTGGGTTTCTATTTTTTGGGTTACTATTGCGTGATTAAACACTCCCTGGGTCAAAATGACCCACAAACGTTATTGCTGAACATAACAGGAGGGTAAAATATCACTCATAAACTTTCCATTTTGCAACTCCAAGGAGCCTACCAGAACCTATTTTACATGTCATAAGCATGTGTTCATTCCACAAAGGACTACAGCCACAAAACCCAGAAAGTACTGGAGCTGTGACTCCAGAGTGACTCCGCTGTTGAGAGGTTAGGCTGAAATAAAAATGCTATTCTATCAGCTGGAAATTAAAACCAAGCCTCAGCCCAGTGTTAAAAGCCCAGTCCCATGCAACTTTCCAAATGTCTCAATCCTGATCAAACTAAAAGGACTGATTTTCTGTTAACATGCAGCAGGTTGGGTCACTCGTGGCATTGTGCCACAGTTGTACTTTTCCTTTGTAACATTTTGGTGAAAAAGGTGTGAAGTGGAATTGAAGTCATGAATCATTGGTGTGAAAGACAAAGTCAAGTCCAAAGTTTTTCATAATTTCATTAAGTGAGCTGCGACCGACCAACCAACCGACCCACAGACAGACCTGTGGAAGTGACTGCAGCTCTGGGAAAACAGGAAGACTGAAAAAACAGTCAACTGAAAATCAACTGTTTAGTACAGTACCTGTGCAGAATGAAGTCTGCAGAGGTAAACAGCTGAAAGGGAACAGGACTTTCACTGAAGCGATTCTAAAAACCACTAAACTGGTGGAAGAACTATAAACCTAAACATTCAGCAATGATCTGAAATGGAAATAATAAACTTTAGGAATTAAACTTAAATTACCCAAAACAATCAAGTCATTCTCAAGTCATGTATCAGGGCTATAATGTGTGAGCAAACACATTATATATATATATATCTAAAAATATATATATATATCAAAGTCATTCAGTTGAATAATTTCTCATTTGACTGCCTTTTACAAATTACTCTCTTACATATAGTGACTTTAATAAAATAAACGTTCCTTTCCTTCTCCTGAGTTATATTTTCATTGTACGATATAAACTTTATTTTGACTGTAATCTATGTGCCACTTTCATTGTTAATAAAGTTTTGCAGAAAAAAAAGCCCACTATAAAAGCTCTTCCTGTTTTCCCAGAGCTGCAGTCGCTTCCACAGGTCTGTCTGTGGGTCGGTCGGTCGGTCGCAGCTCACAGCGGGGACTGACTGGACGCCTTCATCGCACCGAGTCAGGCGGCAGGTAAAGTCTCGACAAGGAGTTTGAATGTGTGAACGCAGACCAGCTTCCTGCTCTGTAGGAACTTCCTATTAACGAGGCTCAGCTGTTTGTCTTCATGGTTGTGCCACCGACTTGAGCGCGAGCGCGCATGTAGTTACTGTGTGGTTGTTTTGTGCACCGAACTCATATCTGCACGTCAGATTTTGGTATACGTACCTTTATATATATATATATATATATATATATATATATATATATATATATATATATATATATATATATATATGTATATATATATATATATATATATATATAATAATCAATATAATATATATATATATATATAATATATATATATATATATATATATATATATATATATATATATATATATATATATTAAAAAGCCCAACAACAAAAAAAAACATTCTGATCACATATCCCTCAAAAGAGACAATACAATGTTATGTTTTGTTTTACACCTAATATTCCTGTTTTGCTTTTTGTGCAGAACCATCTCTGACCGAAGGTAATAATAACACCGAAAATGATGAGCTTTCTACTCAGGTGAGTGAAACAGAGTGATGTACTTTTAGCTGGCACAGATTTGTACAAATGAAACCAGATTGTGACCTACAGGAAATTAAGAGGCTCACCGTTTAACATTAAATCAGAACAAACTTCTCTTGTTTTAGGTCAGTTAGAATAATCACATTTTTTATTTATATTTTTTTGCCAATGATGATTGAAAACATATATGAGAGATGTACTTATTAATGTCTTCAAAATCAGAAGATTTGGTACATACTGATTACTATTTCATTAAATAATTAAGGAAAACTTTTGATAAGTTGGCACATTTGAGTTGACTGAAACCAAACCTGAAGAATAAGGAATAACCCACAATCTCAGGAAGAGAAATGTGGAGCTGCAGAAGTCCTGTGAATCCTTGGGAACATTTTCCAGATGTTTGCAAGCTCAACATTTGTCATAATGCTATACAAATATAGGCTTGATGGGAATTTTGGTATGTTTGTGTTCCATTTCATTTCTTGATTTTTACAGATCTGACTCTAAAGTATGACTTGTAAAACTGAACTGAGCTTTACAAAAAAAAAGTGGTTAACCAAAATTAAGAGCCATATATATTTTAGTATTATTGATATTTTAACAGTTCAATGTTAAAATTGATTCTGGCACAACCGGACCTTTAAGACCATTCAGATTTTTATATGGTCCAATTTAAAATGAGTTGTAACAAGCCAAAACTTGTAACCTGATTGAATATGACTGTAAATTTGTGGACAGTTTATTAGAATAAACTTCAAATGAACACTCTGCATCTCCTCTAACTCTATTACATCAGCGCACCAACCTTCTTTTATATAGTAGATTACTATTCTATTTTCCTGCACCCTTTTCTTAGACAGCAGTGTGTACTTTGCTGTGGACCGTCACCATGGTGTACAGACTTGAGCTGGTACATGAGCACAAAGTACTGAAACTGCTATTCACAGCACCACTGAATAACATAGAGGATATTGGGCCGTCCAACTCATTTTAAATTGAACCATATAAAAATCTGAATGGTCTTAAAGGTCCGGTTGTGCCAGAATCAATTTTAACATTGAATTGTTAAAATATCAATAAAAGTGGTTTATTTCAGCATTCCATGAGTGTGTAACATCTTTCTATACTGATCGGTCCAGCCAGGATTTTTTGATTGTGTTTGTGTTTTTTTGCAATCAAAATTACAGATTTTGTGGTGCTAATTTAGAAATATTTGTAGCAACGTATGACGTTAAATGTGCTACTTTTTGTTTGAAACAGTAATTTTTATCAATCACTGTATCAATCACGGACTACAACTTAACATCAAGTATGGCTGAGCCTTACTGAGGATTTAAAGATTTTAAAGCCAGCAAGAAAAATTTGTAGTAAGGTCAGAAAAAAAATACATTTTGTGGAGGGACTTGTTTTTCACAAGTTCCTTATTTTGTATCTGGAGGCCAATCTATAAATCGAGAATCTATAAATCAAGGCCCAGGTGACAGATTTGGCCCCAGGCCTTGAGTTTTACACATGTCATAAAGAGTATTATTATATGTTATGTGTTATCTTGCTGCACTTTAAAAACCTGTGTTTTCAAGCATGTCTGTAGTTTTTTATTTATTTTAATTTAATGAGATGGTTTTGGCTTCACAAAATCTCATTTTAAAAGTCAACATTGGCTTTAATCTCTTGGTTTTTACTGAAAAGGTCCTGTGTCTATAAAGAAAACTAGTCACCCTTGACCCAAAATCTGAAGTTCAACTTGACCTTTAATTAAAAACAAGAACAATTTGCTCGGGTTTAACCTAAATTAACAGGTGATACATGTTGTGTATTCCAGACAGCGAATTCAACTTCCTGCAGCATGGAGGTGGAAGAAGAGAAGAGAGGCGTCTTGTTGTCACTGCATGACTTTCAGCACTGTCTCTTCTCATCAAGGTACTCGACTCTGTTTCAGTCTGAAGACTCTTAGACAAAGATAACAGCAAACTGCTGCCTTTGTTCCATTGCAGTATGTAAAGACAAAGACATCGTATCAGATTCAGAGTAGAATCTGATACGATGATTGAAGAATTCAACAACCCCTCTTGGATAACATTTAAAAACATTTTTTACACAGATCTATTTTTTCCCCCTCTCATAGATCCTGTCGAGATCCACAAGAGGAAACTTTTTCTGTGGTTCAACCACCTTCCCAAAGAGGAGAAACAGTTTGGAGGTCTCTTCAGCCCAGAGACCATGCATGTAGATCCACTTATTGTAGAAAGAAGGGACGAGGAAAGGGCAGGACTGCTCCAGTCACCATACAAAACCCAGACTTCCTCGAGCCATTCACTGACTGTGGAACAGCTATTTGACCCAACCGATGCCTGGAGTGAAGGTCGTGGACTCAATGTGCTGCTGTATGGTACTGTGGGAACTGGGAAATCTACAATAGTTCGAAAGCTGGTGCTGGACTGGTGTGCTGGAAAAACAATGACTCGCTTCAAGTTGCTGCTTCCTTTCACATGTGAAGACCTCAGTCAGCTGACAAAGTGAGTGAACTCTTTGCTGTCTACAGTCTTACCTGTCACATGGACAGTGAAACTAAAACGTGACTGTGCACACCTAGGTAGTGCAAACAGTTGCTCATTCAGGAGATGGTAATGCTAAGTTCTTAGAAAGAAGACAATTAAAGTTATGTTATTTCTTGAGGCAGGTCACATGTAATCCAAAAGGTTTCTGCAGTTCTAAATATGGTTGGAAGGAACAGACTTAAAAGTTCTAGTCACCACAAATCCACTTGGACTTTCTGGTTCCACTGGGTCCAACATAAACTGTGAGTCACTAGAAGTCTGCAGCATTGAGCACAACAGGTTCTGACAAACCCAAGAAGAAGCAAAGGACAAACATGAGAAAAGAATGTTTCACTTGTGCTTACCCAGCTGCAGGTACTTTAGTGCATGTGACAATACATTTTAATTGAATTTCCTGCCAACTGAATAAATTCTGATATTACTCATAAATATTGAAGCCTAGTAATGTGTATAAAGTGTTGGATTAGCAATAAATCTTTGAAACCGATACATTACAGGGTTTCCCCAAGTGTAATATAAAGCAGGGTAGGCATTGCTTGTTTTTGTTTTTATAAACAATAAAAATAATTTTGAAAATTACTTTTTAAACATAATCCCACTGCAAGTGTCTCTGCTGCGCTGATCATCTCAGAATGGTTCCTGAAAGATGCATCGAACAGGACAGGAAGCCTGGAGGATCTTGATTTGGCTTTTGTAAACTCTATAGTTGTGGGTTTAATTTTTGTCTGTAATATATTCCTAGTAATATTTTTTTTACATTTAATGTTTTTGTATTAACATTTTTAAATACAAAAACACAATGAACCACAATGGCTGGTGGACAGCCTCAGCCTCACCAGGCTTAGCAAGTTTCCTGGGGGAAACCCTACTTTAGCTGGGCCTGTGTTTTGCTTTTGTTTTTAACTTTCAATCAAACCTTGCTGTTTAATAATGCTGTATCATTATCATCTCTTAAACAGGGCGGTTTCTTTAAGAGATCTGGTTGCCAGGAAGTATCTTCATTTGAAAAACCACCCTTTACTCAGTGGGGATAGAGACCAAGCTAAGGATGTGCTTTTCCTCTTTAATGGGATGGAAAAGATGCAACTGGACTTCCGAATCGGGTCCTCTGAGCTCTGCAGCGATCCCAATGAGCCTCTTCCACCAAGTGTACTCATTGTGAACCTGCTGAGGAAATATCTTCTTCCTGAGGTAAACTGTTGCCCATGAATAATGTCTTCTAGCCTTTTGTTTCCAGTTTCCCTTTTTTTCTTATTTAGGTTTATGTGCAAAACTCAGCCATAAGTCACCTTAAAGCAAAACAGTTAAAGACTAGGAGTACCACACAGATTTTGACGTGTGTGATGTTAAATGTACATTGAAACTAGATGGCATATATAGTTTTAAAAAATTTAATAAGTATCTAACAGTCCCCTTATAGACTGTCAGAATCACCAAAACCATTTTATTAGAGTAATAAATTATTCCTCTTCTTTTTTTAATGAAAAGAAAGAAGATTCCACAATGTCCTGTCGTTAAGGCATTTGCCACATTTGAGAAAAAAAACTTCTACTTATAAGAAATATCAGAATCAATTGAACATTTCATAAAGTTTCCACTATCTGAAGCTCACAGACTCCACAAACTTTGAAATCTCGTCAAAAAGCTTATCTGACCAGCATACGTGTGTTTTGTTTATGTAGTTGACAATATTATTTAATGTAAGAGAAAAAGACATGGTGCTCAAACCAAATTATAAATACAGTAGATTAAGGGTTAGCAGATATTGTAAAAATATTCCTTGTCAAGGAATGCATGAAGTGTAGTATAATTTTGAAATGTCCAGTTGTTGTTGTTTTTTGTTGGTGCAATAAACTTCTTTGCTCTGTCTCATAGGCCAGTATCTTAATGGCCACCAGACTGTCTGCTGTGGACCACATCCCTCAGAAGTACGTGAGTCGTTACACACAGATTTGTGGTTTCAATGACCCAGAAAGCCAGCGTGCGTACTTCACCAGCCGCCTGCTGCAGAGTGAAGAAGCAGCACACAACAAGGAAGCCCAGACACTGATAGAGCTCCTTTACCTCAATCTGCAGAGTGAAAGCCAGTTGGCTGCCGCTTGCCTTCTTCCGTCTTACTGCTGGCTCACGTGCGCAACCTTACACTTGCTTCATTTTACCACTCCTCAGGCCCCAATTCGCACTCTGACTGGTATCTATACTAGCTTTTTTCGGCTTAACTTTGGGGGTGAGGTGCTGGGCACAAGAACTGGGACAAGTCCATCTTCTCAGGAGTATCAAAGTTCTTTAATGAGGTATGTTGTCCTTACAGTCGGAAAACTTGCGTTTGATGGTGTGATGAACAAGCGCACATCTTTCTCAGACAAAGAACTGGAACAGTGGATTGGTGGAAAGACCAAGACGGACGAGGAGCTACATCAGCTGGCCGTGTTCCAGACTGATGTGCTAGACTTCTTTCTGGCTCCTTGTGTAAAGAGAGGAAACCATTCTTCAAAAGAACTCAGTGAAGGCGATGAGAAGCTGTACGTGTTTGCTGTCCCAGCCATGCAAGAGTACCTCGCAGCTCTCTATGTAGTTTTAGGGGAAAACAAATCTGCTTTGCAGAAGCTAACCAGCCAGGTGTCTGTAGCCATTGGTCAGGCAAGTGAGGACGTCAGTGCCCTCGTGAACATTCTGTCCAAGTTTATTCCACTCAGGCTCTTTGCTATATTCAACCTGCTTAAGCTTTTTCCAAAGCTTTATGAGAAAGTAAGCAGCTTCAACAAAGGCAAAATTGCCAGAACTATGGCAGCGGAAATGTTCCGCTCAGAAGACAGCCATAACAAAGATGTTCTGGATCAAGTGGAGCAAAGCCTGTTGGGAGTCCATGGCCCACAGCCACAACAGTTTGATGACAGGCAATCTTTTGAGCTTTACCCCATCTTCATGGGAGGACTGTTACAATATAGTAATCGGGTACTTCTTCAGCAACTAGACTGCAACATCCAAAGCACCACTGTTGTTCAGATAACACGTGCCCTCAGGAAGTACCTTGTAAGAGGTAAATACACACTCTGTCCAGTTTCTCATTGGTACATGTGAAGCCGATCTTATCGTTCAATCTTACCAACCTCAGCAAAAGTCTAAAAATCAACCACTGTTCTCTTCTGCTCTCCCCTGAAGGCAGTTTGACTGACAGACCGGTACACCAGGTCATGTCTGCATGTTTGCAGTTAATCGTCACCCCCTGTTACCAACAGAGTGACTTTCTTGTTGTATTTAGCAAATTTCAGAAAAAAAAAATTCAGACATTGGGGCCAAAGTTAGAATCCGTAGGTCATGCTTTTTAAAGATCGGTGATCGGCCAGAAAACTGCAGTTGGTGCAGCCTGATTTGAAACTTACTACAAATCCTTAATCATCCAAACAGATTGTTAATCCTACAGGCCAATAAGTATTTTTGAGTTCTGACTATAAATTATACACAACCATTTCAGCACAGAGTATGAATGGTATAATGCCCTTATTAATTGATGAAGAACGGAGTGGCTTTTTTAAAAGATTTCCACTTGAAATAAGTAATAAGTTTTGGAAAAAATGCTTTACAACTGCAAATTACAGTTTACAACTGCCTTTAGTAAATAATTTAGCAAACAAGCTTTTTCTTTATTCCAGAACTAAGTAAGCCCCAGCCACCAGAGGAGCTGATGGATCTACTAGTTCTTCTGTATGAGTTTCAGAATCCCAGGCTGACTGTAGAGGTGCTGTCCTCAATCAACAGCATTTGTCTAACCAACATTCGGATGACTTCACTCAAATGCTTCATACTGAGTTGTGTCCTTTCATGTGCGTCTTCAAGGTAAAGTTCATTTTTTCACCCATCTGAAAAGGTTGTTTAAGCCAATAAAATCTCTTTTTCCTCTCTAGAAAAACTGCTGAAAAAACAACTAAGATCTGAGTTATATGTTACAAATACAAATGAAGATGTATACATTGTTTGTGAAAACTTGCAAACTAAATTTGTAAATAAATTTCAAATTGAGCTTTAGACTCTGTAAAAGTGTGCTGCTGTTTTGTTTGTTTTTCACAGTTATCGCCTAAAGAAGCTGGACCTGTCCTCCTGCCTCCTGACTCATAACATGGTGCAGATGTTGGAGCCGGCTTTCAGGCATGCACAGAGACTCAAGTAAGTCCAGATATCGACGGAGGTCTATCTTTGGCACAATCTTGAACAATATGTGTTTGGCATAAAAAAAAAATAGAAGCAGTTAATTTATATTAGAATGGTATGAAAGTTGAAATGACCATCTGTAACAGAGCAGAGAGGTTTGCTGTTTTTTGCTTACTGAAATGGGTGGAAGTGGAGCTGTGGGTCCATCTTCATCTGGGAGTGAGAAAACCTCCTTAATATAACAATAACAGCTTCTCCAATTCAAATTGAACCAGTAAATGAGTGTTTGAAAATCTGAATGTTCAATCTATTTTCTAACAAGAATTGACTCTGTAGCAGAGCCATAATTAGTAATTTTGTGCTGTGTGTTATTAACAGTTATTAGCTGTTCACATCATTCTTGTTGTTGATTTCAGTCTGCAGTTCAACAACTTGGGTCCCGATTCCTGCATCCTTCTGAAAGATCTGCTTCTGGACCCTAAGACCTGCATTAGTTCCCTACAGTAAGACACTTATGTCAGGGTTCAGCCGTGGGTTTGTGTTCGGCCAGGAGTTATTCAAATCCTAAAGCTGATCGAAAACCTTTTAGAAATTCTCAATTCAAATTTTCTCATGAAAATGAGATGGAGCATAATTCTAAGTGAGGAAACAGCAGACAGGCTTATTTTTTCCTGGAAGACTCTTCACTTCTTGTCTGAAAGGCTTTTTTAGCTCTGAATTTGGCAGGAAATTATAGGTTCTTGGGTCATTTATTTATCTTTGTTCATTTCTCTTTTGTTCTCTGCCAATTTAGTACTGGTGGGGCCAGTTCTAAATAAAAATTTTCAATTGAATTTAATTGAGAAAAAGTACATAAAGAAAAATAAATGATCAGCCAGTACTATTGAACATTTTAAGGTTGGTTTTTCTTTTGAAAATGTCCAAAATCTTTTGAGATATTGTCTGCAAAGAAAGGGTAAGCCAAAATAAATATACATTATATTAAGTATATTAATTGGCATTTTCATCTAATTAATTCTAATAGTGGTAGTGTTTCTGATTTCATGAGCTTGTCTCAGCATGTGTTGTTGTCCTCCAGGCTCTGTGATAACCCGCTGCAGGACTCTGGAGTCTGCATCCTGCTGGAGGCGCTGCCCCAGAACCAGTCTCTGACCTACCTGTCCCTGATGCACACTGGGCTGGGCAACAGCGGGGCTCTGGAGCTGGCTGAGAGGCTGCCGCAGCACCCAGGGCTCCAGGAGCTCAACGTGGCTTATAATGGTATCAGCGACGAGGCAGCTGTGGCTCTGGTTGACGCCTGCAGGGAGCATCCCACCATCCACACCTTACAGTATGTGTCTCCTCACTGCACTCATCATCTTTAGAAGTAGTTCTGGTTGGATTTCATTTCCTTCTTTTTCTCTACTGCTTCATTGAAAGACAGTGAACATTTACACAAAACAAAAAAAAAACCTCAATGTTTTGCAGTAACAAATTGAGTGTGAGACATGTATGAGCTTGAGAAAGAAAAACAAACACAACAGGAAGTAAATAAATGCTTTCAGAAGGTTTCAAAATCAATTTAGAGGGGTTTGGTATGTTAGCAAAGCTGTGGTATGAGGAGTTACTCATTGATTCTCAAATGGTGCTGATTAGTAAAATGCAAACAGGTCAGTTTAAGGGTAATAATGTCAAGCAATGGACAGAAACACAGAACTGCTTCTAAACTGTTTTCTAAGCTTTTTGAGGATTCAGGGTGGATGCATTGTCTCGTAATCAGAAAGTGTGTCCTATTCAGGGGAGCAAATGTTTATGCTACTCTGTCCAGAAAAACAGAGAAAGCATCAAGGTATTCACAGCAATTTACAGATACTTCCATATGAAGCCCATCTTATCCCACGAGCTTTTCTTCCTCACCAAAGGTCTAAAACTCAAACATTGTTTTCTTCTGCTCTACGATGAGAAGTTTGACTGTGAACAGAAGTCATGTTGTTGTGGGGACCACCATCTGACGCTGTTTTGGATAACATGTCTAATCAGTAGGTTGAGTCTCTGCTGTGGATGGGAGCATTCAGAGACATGAGGTGACAGGTTATACAAACAAATCTATATTTGTAAGTATGACTGTTTTTGAAATTGATTCAAATTTAGTAAAATCCTATGAGATGGGAGACTTCAGTTATTTGTATTTAAGTCGGGATCCAGACGGAGATGATTTCTGATGTTATTCCTGGTGCAGACAGCAACATGGCGGCTACCAGAACTGTCTGCTGAGACAATGGTGTGACCAACCATTAACATCAATAGAAAATGAAGCTTTCTCAGCCCAATGACTGGCTTAAACATTTGGTTTTCCATGAGCCAATGAAGGATTAAACCGATATGATCACAATGATCAATGTTCATAGAAAAGTTTTGAACTTCTGGTCACCTGAGGTCTGTCACCAGCTGTGTTTTTTTGCCAAATTAGCCAAAAGTTGCATTTATTTTTCTATTTTCCATTTATGCAATATCATAAAGTTAAGATTTAAATGCAGTACTATAAGTTAAATATAAGTTGAATACGGCATTGTAAGAAAATGTGTGAAAATGTCAATTTAATATTTTTAAAACGCATTATAATCACAATTACTTTTAGTAGAAATTGCCAGATAATCAACATCTGACCTTGTGACCTCATGCAATTCAGCTGAAAAACATCTGGATCTCCTGACCCCCACACCCAACATTCATAAATGTATTTTTGTGTCTTATAGGAATGTCAGTCTATGAATATGTCTGTGTCTCTGTGCAGCTTGTATCTTAATCCAATCACTGACGAGGGGAAGCAGTCGCTGTATGGCCGGGGTGTAACCGGGAACCAAGGCAACAACCAACAAGTCAAAGTCCTGGCGTCTGTCACTGAAGACTCGGACGTCTCAGGTGGTTGGCACCCCATACTCAGAGTGATACAGGAGAATGCTTCATCCTGGGACCGCACACAGGTCAAGCAGCAGCTGAAGGTACGCAGCCCCACCGGAAAACTGCAGGAAGGTCAGAGCAGAGCAGCGTCCAGCTCCTCATCCCAGGACACTGACACATAGAAAAACATTTTGCTACGTAGTCGTTCATCTTATTATTATTATTATTATGAGACTGCACTCTGCCTTCACACATATTTTAGCTTAATGTGACTGTTTTTATTCAAAAACCCAACCATTGCCATAAATAAATGTAACGCATTTGTTTAAAAAGTTGGGTTATTGTTTAGGTTCAAAGCTGCAAAACAGCAGAATGGCACAAACGGGGGTCATGACCTCAGGATATGATCAGGGCCTGGTAGAAGCGTTCAGCAGGTGAGGGTTCTGTCCACAATGAAGTCACAGTTTTAGATAAAACACAAGGATTGTAGCTGTTAGGATAATCAATCATCTAAAATCAGGGCAGCAATCAAAGGGAACTCTTTAAATAACTTGGATGGGACGAGGCCAACATGCAAGGTGGAGGTTCATTTTGATCACTGAGAAAACTCAACTGACTGAAAACAGTCCACACATGTAGCTGTAGCTGCAATCTCATAGTTTGCCACCATGTGTGGGTAAACGACCGAGTTGAGAATGAGCATCAAGATGTTTCTCCACAGAGCGATGGTGTTTCCTACACCCACCTAGTATCAGTGTTACTATTTGCTCACTATTTGTTCTCACTCTGAAATGCCTTTCCTCTCTTTCCTCTATAAAGGTTTTCCTCCAGGACCTGGAGTGGGGACGTGGGAAGCAAACAAGCTTCTGGAGGAGGCTTCACTTTCGCAAAGTGCAGAAAAAAGTCCAGGCAACTTTACAACGTTTAGAGAAGGACTCTTCTTCCAAGACCAAGTAAACCTCAAGAGGGTTCAGAAGAGCAGTTATTTGCACAACATTAGCATCTGTATTTTTTTAGTTTAAAAGGACAGTATTATGTATTCACCATGCACATAATGCCATTTTATATCAATGAAAGTACTGTTACCTTCAGTTGTGTTACAGGACTGTTTGAGAGTTCCTACTCTTTCTAACACTGTGCTTTCAGCACGTCGTCGCAGCATTTCTCCATTTGGCCTTTAACAACGTTTCACCAGGACTGAACTATGAAGTAACATGTATGAGCTGCTCTGCAGATGTGCGGCTCCACCAGGTGTCTGCAGCTAACTGCTGCTGCTGCTAGTCGGGAGGAGCTGGGGGTGGAGGGGGGCTGCTCTGTGAGGTTCACCTCAGAGCCTTCACTCCTAAACGTTTGATTTAAAGGATTTCTCAAACATGCATGAAAGAATCAAACCACTCTATGTATGTTTCTGATGAGGGAATAACATTATAACATGACATAAAGCTCAATAAAATCCATATTACATCATACTGCCCTTTTAACACTTATAACCAGCGGATGATCCAGTTTCACAGTATACACAGGATTTATTTAACAGCTGGAAGACAGGAACTGTTCATAATTGAGTTGTAAATGACAAGAATAGTTTTATGTAAATTAAATTTGATTGACTAGATTTTTTTGTACATTTTATGAAAATTTTTAAATGGAAAAAAACAGTGAAATTGAAAAAGTTAATTCCTTGGTTGTTTGGTTTTGAGGGTAAAGATCAGAATTAAACAGTAAAACATCAGGCTGGATGTGAGAAACGATTCTGTGATTTCTAAACTATGGATGCTTTAGCAGGGGTGCCAAACTCCAGTCCTCTAGGGCCACTGTGCTGTAGAGTGGCACAGTGGCCACTCTGTGCCACTCTACAGCACAGTGGTACTGGAATGATATGGCTTAATTACCTCTTTATTGTGTAGATAAGTTCTCCAGAGCCTTACTAATGACCTAATTATTCTATTCAGGTGTGGTGCAGCAGAGGCTCATCTACAGGTTGCAGGGCAGTGGCCCTCCAGGTCTGGAGTTTGACACCTGTGGTTTCATGGGTCGAATACTGAACTGAAATTCACTGCATCTCTTGATTTCTGGGATCCAGTTGGAATGTGTGTGTGATAGACTTTTATCTGTCTGTGTGCTCAGATTGAATTGTCTTTATTTTTGAAGTGTCTTGACACATTTATTGTTCATTTGTCGCATCAATAAACTGGTCTAACCAACTCAAGTTTATTTATATTGCACATTTCATCTATAAGGCAGTTCAGACAGCATCCAGCCGTCCATTATGCATTCTGTTAAATGTTATTATGAACTACAAACATTCAGATTAATGTTTAATAAAAGGTGTCTAAGCTGGAGGGCTTTCAGGCTGAATTTAAAGGAACTCTGCAAAAGCAGCTGCTTTGTTTAGAAGTTGTTCCAGATTTGTGCTGCATAGAAGCTGAATGCTGCTTCTCCATGTTTGGTCCTGGTTCTGGTGACGCATGAAATGCAGAGATCCACAGCTCAGGTGGGGAAATCTGTCCACAGGACAAATATTAGTCATCCCTGCACAAATGTGGTCTTTGTGGAATTGTGGCAAGAAGAGGAAGTCATTGTTGAAAGTACACTTGTAAGAATTCCACTTCGCAGTTTACCCGAAGCCGTGCTGGACACTGGTCAGACCAAAACAAAACTGGTCTGACCAATTCTTGGTCAACATGCAAACTGTTACGTGAGAACGAACACTGCACCTCACTGTGTGTTAGTTAGTGAATGACATAAATGTTAAAAATAAATAACAGTTTTAGTGAGATTTTTATGTTAAGAAATTAAAAAATATTTTAAATGTGCAGAAAAGGGGATAAAAATGTGAAATCAGAGGATATTTAGTTACATTTAACTTCAGTTTGAAATTGTTAAAATTCTAAAGATCAATAAAGTTGACCTCCAGAGTCTCCTTGCGTGATCTCATCTTAAAGGTAGCTGTGATGAGTTGTCTCCCCTCCCTTTAGAGCTACAGCGTCTTTGTGATCAGAGATCCTGAAAACAATGAAAAGAGAGAAGCAGGTAAATGTGTTTTCAGAGCGGTAGGAGATTGTAACTGAAAGCACATCTCTGTCTGTTCTCCTCGCGAGTAAGAAAGAATCTAACTCTTTTGTCTTTCCTGTCTTTGTTAATGTGTTTTATAGGTGTTTAACATTTTTGGGTTAACTTCACTTTATCAAGTGAAGTTACTCATTAAAACTTGTTTTAATTGTGGAGCCTTAAGTTTTTGTAAAGGTGTAGCAGAGACTAGAACCAAACTCATATCTAAACATTTTAAACTTAGTTTGACTTCTGTGGGTCTCAACAGAAAAGCACATTTGTTATGCATTGCTATGTACTAGTTAGTCGTGGTTCCCTCAATAATGAAATGGGATTCCACCCTTGTGCAGGAGAAAGAAGGACTTGTCTATGAAGGAGTTGTTGCTGCGCTGACAAGTCAAGACTAATCATGGTTCTGTTCTGAAAGTGGCTTTGAGTAGCTATAACAGATAACAAACCAACACTGGTAAAATATAAATAATGACAGGTGTCCCTCTAAAACTTTAGGGACTAAAAGAAAAAGCTGTTTTCAGCAAGGTGGTATAAAAGCTAATCTTGAAATTGTTGTGTGGCTCTTTACAGAGATAAGCTTAATTTGGCTCTTAATGCAGAACTGGTTCCCCACCCTGTGTTAGTCAGTACTTATCTATCAGGTACTAACTCAGTAATAGACTGGATGGATACTTTGCGTATGGAGTATTGAGTACATTAATCAGTACTGTATTGTGAGGTGTGCTTTAGTTTTAAGATGCCTTTGATCCTGTACTGTAAAAATAAAAATAAAACAAAATCCTGCAGCTTTCCACCATAAGGACCAGGCTGAGTTCACAATCATTTTCAAAGTGTAGGTCAATATTTAACGTAAGGTTTTGTGAAGAAAGGAGTTACTATCTCACCTGCTGAGTTGTGAACTTTGTCCCTTCAGTTCCTCTTTATGAGTCGCTGAAAACAGAGAACTCCATGTCTTCCTCTAAAGGTAGGCTGGCTTTTTCTTCTTTCTTCCTCCAACTGATTTACGTCGCCTTTGTGCTATTTATGCATTCTTCTGCAGACAAAAGTTTTAATACGTTCATGACTTCTTGGCAAGTTCATAAAAATATGAGTCTAGTACCAGCTAAAGCTACAAAAATGATCTCAAATAGTAGTAAATACAGCACCATCTCTGAAGTGTCTTCCATTGTTATGATTTTTAATTTAAAAAACTATGAATCTGACTCCAGCACTAGTGGTTAAAGTTTTATAGTGTGGCATTATCTAAATCAAAATCTGATAGTTAGGTCCGAGCAATAGACGCACTGCGAAGGCCTATTGTAATCACAAGATTTTCTTATTCATTTACATGTCTGTGTATGTCCATAAAGTAGCTAAATGCTGTCTATTTTTTATTAAAAAAAACTTTAATACCAGCCCTCTTAATATTTTAAGAAAACATTTGGTAAATCAATTAACCAATGATGCCATTATTTTCATGAGCAGTATAAACAAAACTCCTTACATCTTTAATTTTTTCGATATTTTCAAAAGCCTCTTGTTTGTGAGTCGTTTTGCTCATTCTGACTGAGATTTAGAACATCCCAATCAAAACTTCTATCTAATATTTGGCCAGATTTATTTCTGAAAATATGAGTGAAGAATGAAAGACAAATTGCATGGATGGTGATAGTCAATTTATGATTGATTGTTATCCAGCTTCCTATCAACATTGGAAAATTTTGTACCACTAAAAAATAACTAATTTTTCCCATATATTAAATGTATCCTGAAGTATGATTTTATGATGCAACATCTCCCTGTCAAACTTTCAGTTTCACCAGCAAGTGTTATTTGTATTGGAAGACTTGGTACAATCATAATTTTACATTGTACATTTCACCCATATGTAATGACTGCAATATCACTGGCATTGTTTGATTAGGATTGGATGATGAAAGATGTTTGGTCAGTAATACTCCAGTCGACAGATAGATGGCTAACTTTTGCTTAATGATGCTTTCTGTTGTAAATAGGAATAACAATTATTATTAATGCCGGTCCTAAACATGCTGTGTTATGTTTAGTTCTAGGTGCTTTGGCTCAGTCAAAAGCTGTTCCTTGTTTACCAGAGTCTCATTGTCACGTTCCACCAGGACACCAGGATGTGATGGACTGTCCTCGGTAAGTCAACTATTCATCCTTTGATTATACGCCTCTTCTTTAACTTTGCTGTTGATTCAAACATTTTCAGAAATAAATTCTTGAGTAATTTGTTTCGTCTGGAACGTTGGAGTTGTTTCTTTCCGATATACATTGTGTTCGGACCTGTTTGTGTCTGACTGGTGTTGTAGTCAGACTTCAGTCCCTTTGGCTCTGCAGCTTTTAGGTCTTGCAGAAACTCCTGCTGAAGGAGTTTCCTATCAGAGAAACTCACTTCCGTTATATTTGGCAGCATACCTCTCTTACAGACAGAAGCCTATATATTATTAAACATCAATAAATTCTACCAGTATTTGAAAATATTTTCAAATATATTTTATGTGGTTATCTGGCCCAATTTGATCATTTCATTTATTTATTTTTATTATTTTAGTTTCACCTTCAACCCAAAGGAGGGGATTGATAATCCAGCTCTGGTCATCACTGATGATTTAGGTGAGTGTTGTTGTGTTTTTTGTTCTTTAATCACATTTTAGTGCGAGATAAATGTTACTTATTCAACTGTATGTCCAGAACCTGACCAGTGCCTGGTGCCCCGCCTCTGTCAGCTGAAGCGTGTGGAGGGTCAGAGCTTTGGGTTTCACTTACACATGGAACAGAACAACCATGGCATCGTAATTAGAGAAGTGGAACCTTGGAGTCCTGCAGAGCACAGCGGCCTCAGAGGCGGAGAGCGACTGCTGGAGGTCAATGAGACGTATGTGGGCAATATGGACTTTTTCAAAGTAAGTGTCCGGACTCCAGCTCATATGTTCCCCGCAGATGACGGGGAATATATAACCAACGTATCATATAATATACATACGCAATCTATAGAAGCTTGGAGGGTATGATGCTGGAAGATGAATGGTATAGAAATCTTTTCAGAACTATTTTTCCACCATCTTTCCTGCTAAAGACATTCTTATGCTCACTTAAATGTCCTCACCATCTCCAACATTTTGCCATGATATGAGCACCAAGGTGCTTTGTGAATAGATTTTCTCTAAGAAAATTCTTACAATTCCAGAAATTCTAAGAATTTTCCTGAAAGGACGTCTCTGGGATTCTTTGAGAACACAGTCCTGGATTTGATTGTGTTCTTCAGTCCTGTCTATCATCCATTCTCTGTCTCTCTGTGAACTTATTCTTAGTGTTGACTCAAATGGCAATGTCCCAATATTTTTGAGTCTCAGGAGATGGATGTGAGTTGACAGAGATAGAGAGAGACAAGTCTCAATATTGTCCAAGAACGATAAGCGACAGGGATGCTGAATACACCACTTTCCTTCTCTGACCTCCAGTCCCATCCTGTCAGATCTCTATCAGAGGATGGGACGGACGGACGGACGGACGGACGGACGGACGGACAGACAGACAGACAGACAGACAATCAGGAAATGATGAGGAGATCTATCTGAAAAGATCTCAGGACTCTTAGAACCTGAATGAATGACATGTTGAGTTATTATACAACCAAAACTTCATGTCCAATATGTTTTCTGTAAGTAGATGTTTGCTGTTGGTGTTTTCATTGTTTGTGTTTATATTTGTTAGTCTGGTTTATTGTTTGTTTATTTTTCATATAGCTACCTGTAAATACTATGTAGATTAGTTTTATTCAAGTTATGGCTCCAGGACTCGTCTTCTGACAGGAACAAGTCACAGAAATTAACTCACAAAACATGTAGTGGAAAATAATTTGTCTGAGTAGCCGTCCTGTCATGTTCTCCAGTCTGTTGTCTGTGTGTCTGTAGTGGCTGTATGTAAGATATAAAATGCATAATTGATGCATTTTCCTTCATCTTCCGCAGGTTGTGAGAAAGATCCAGTCGTGTGGCTTAGACTTGTTTCTTCTGGTGCTACGGAGGGAACAGTATGAGCAGGTACTGCTGCTAAAGACCTGCTTGGATTGGATCACTGTGATATAAAGGCCACTAGAGCTGGAAAGACAAAATCGATTGATAAAAATGTCAACACAACTTTTGTTTCTTTTACATAAAATAGTCCTGAACCTTTGTTGCGTGTTTGTAGTACAATTGTAAATCTGGTACACAAGTTATATCCACAAACTGACGGACAACAGAGCTGCTGGTTGGACCACAATGTTTTCAGCTAAGCTGCATGATTGACTAAGTCTTGAGTAGGGTTGATTGAGCTTCATTTAGCAAAAGCATATTTGGAATTGGAAAAACTATGTAATTATATGAGCGTTATTGTTACTGCACCGTGCGTAATCTTCATTCTCCACTTTGCTGAATCCTCCTGTTGTGCCTCATCAGGCAGTGGTCATGGATTTAGACCTACAACAGCTTGCTAAAGCCACCAAAGGAGACAGGTGGACTCGCCCAAGACTGTGTCACATCACCAGACACCCAGATCATGGACTGGGGATGACTGTCTTACCAATTACTGGTAACTTCCACTCACGATTTGACAGTTGTGTTTGTTGGCATCCTCAGATAACAGTAAGCAGGCTTTGTGACCTCTGTCCTCTGAGACGGTGGAAGGATATTTATTCCAGTTTTCTTTTGTCTGTCCATTGTCCCTTTGTCTTAAGTTGATCTAAATGTTTCTTGCTTATTACACTACTGTCCTTATGATTGTGTTTTGTATTCAAAAACAGAAAAAGTTTACCATTTTCCTACAGCAAGCTTTTTATTAACATAACTTGTAATTAAAAATCATATTAACTGATTTGCCTTGACTTTCCTGGAATTCTGTTGCTTAAGATAGATAGTAGGGCGTACTTACCATACAATTTCTTGTGAACGTGTCAGAAGGTCAGAGGGGTCGATACATGGTGAACACGGTACCTGACGGTCCAGCAGAGGAAGCTGGTGTCCACTTTGGAGACATTTTGGTCTGGATCAATGGAGTCTCTGTGTCAAAGCTCACAACCACCAATCTGAACAGAATTGTAGGTACATCCTGCCCTCAGTGCTACCTGACATGATTCATTGGTTGAGTAGGAGTCTTCTAAGATTGTTTTCAGATTGTGTGTTTGGTTGTCAGGTAAAGAAGAGTGGGAGCTCAGTGACAGTGCTGGTGATCGACAGTGACAGTGAGTCCTGCTATCTGAGGCGGAGGATGCCCATCCTGGCTACGCTGGCAGAAAGCAACAACCTTCCCTACTACGCTAAGAACTTACATTTGCTGAAAAGACCTGATGGATTTGGTTTTTTGCTAAGACAAGAGCGAGTGGAGGCCCCTCAAAAGATCGGTGAGCAACACAGGAAACAACAACCCACTCCTGCAATCTGTCTCTGACATGAACATGAACTCATCCATTTACAGAAACTCATACATTCAGCTGATGAAATAACCTCAGGATTTTTTTTAGACTAGACCATTTTTTTCTCACATTTTCCATTAGTCATTCTGATTTGACTCAACCGCTACAGAAAGCTACCAAAGAAATAACAAGAACACTTTGAAACTCCAGTTACAAAAGTGAAACCATGTTTATAACATTTCTACATCCACCTAAAAATGTTCCAGGTTCTTTCTGGTTTTGACATCCTTGCCTTCCATACACTTGGTGCTAACTTTTTCTTTTTTTTTTAACACTGCTGTAGTCCCTTTAAATCTTACTGAAACCGTTCAGTACAAGCTGGCAACATTTTGTGCCGTAGTTCTGATTGGGTAAACAAAGAAAACGGCACATTATTCATGTCAGTGACCTCAGACACTTCACCCTGACAAATTCACCAACAGAGCAAATGTACGTCCAATAAACAGCTGCTGTTTCCATTTCCCTCAGCTCATGTACTGAGGGAAGTGGATGTGGGGAGTGCAGCAGAGGAAGCAGGTATGGAGGATGGCGAACTGCTGCTGGCCGTCAATGGTGACCTGGTTGAATCCTTGGAACATGAGGAAATTGTCAGACTGATCAGAAAGAGTGGTGACAAAGTCACACTGACATCTATGTCTGTGCAAGGAAGAAAATATTACAGAGAGGTAAGTCAAATAATATAAAATATTGTTAAGCAACTTCTATATTTAGTCTGGATTTCTCCTCTCTGACAGTTAGGAGTTCCTCCTCTCTTGTTCCATGAAGAGTATTCTCCAAACTGCAACAACACAACCAGCAATCAGGATGGACGGGATACAGTCCACCTGGATCACTATGGAAACGTAATCACACAGGTATGTAAACAGTAGCTGAAATATGCTTCAGCTCCAGTGGCAGCTCATCTAAAGTTAACTGACCAAGTAAAACATAGATACCTCTGCAACATGACGTGTCAACCACTGACTGATGTTAAACCTAGAAAAAGAAAGTTTGCTCAATTGTTCTCAATTTCATTCCACCCTCAATTCTGGCTAAATCATGTCCACATTTAGCTATTTAAGCACTAGATATCGCTTTATTTTGAAAGGCTCTGGATAGCACTTAAAACTGTGATATCCAGTTTAAAGTCATGCGATATATTACGGCTGATATCACAGTTAGTCATTATGACTTTGTTTAAAATTAGCCCAAATTATTTCAAAGTGTAGTTTTTTTATTTATTTATTTTTTTTCAGTTAATTTTGTCAGTAGTTTTTTTTCCTCATATTTTGTCCCTCTTGTGTTCGTTTTCTATGCTCAGGACTCATTTATTTTGAGCAGTTATTCCGTTTTAAACTTTGCTCTCGTCTTGTTGATGGTATCATCGGCACCTCATGCTATTCATAATAATTTGGAGAAACTGCATGTGTGAATTATCTGTTGTTTCTCCAGCTGTCAGAGAGAACAGAGGATGTTTTTCTGTGATGAGAAAGATGTGACCAAAGCGATCAGCAGTTGGAGGAGGAAGCTGGACGGGTCAGCAGGAGCCGATGCGTCAGGATGGAAATGTGATGTTTGCAATTCACCTGTTCAGAAGAAGGCGTCAAATGAATCATTGCAGCACAGTCGTCTCATTTAGTAGGGTATATCTACATTGTCTTCAAATATCTTATGCAGTAGAAAAAGATATTAAACAGAAAAATAATCAAGGCCAGTGTCAATTCTCATTATACACTGCATTTGCATAAAGCATGAACTGATCAAAGACCTTTTAAATATCTGAACAAACATCTTATTTGTTGGTTCCTACAGTGTTGGAATTAGATTTCTTTAAAATGTTAAAATGTGCTTTTTTTTTCTTTGTTTGAAGTGATTTTAACTGAAAAACCCTGGAGGTTTTTTTTAAACACTGGATGAAATTGACATTAAAACTGTAATGGTGTGTGTGTGTACGTATACAAAGTTGGGGAAACCAGAAGTTTTTCCTATTATTGTGGCAAATACAAACATGTTTCTACTGGCAATATTGACCAAACCAAAACAAAATCAGTTTGGTCAGATTTAACCACAGACTGAGATAAAAGGAACATGCATCTTTCTATTTGGTGAATGTAAACTTCTGGTTTCACCTGTAATTATATGTATTTTATTTCTAGAACAGTCGTGGAAAAGGAGAGATGACATTTTTAAAACGTTATATTGTCTTCACCAGTATTTTCCAGATGAAAATATTTCTGTAAATATCACTTTCTTTTACATGCTTTATTTAATGAACTGCAAATTCTATTTGCATCTGATTAAAAAGACCAAATTGTGATTGGGAAGGTTCTCGAATTGTTAATTAGTGGTTAATCTCTTATTTAAAGTGTAATTATTGCAAAAAATAAAATACTTGACATAGAAACAAAGCAACAGCAAAATACATAAAACATAGGAGATGTAATCTGCACCTTTCGGTTGTCATAAAAATGGTCTGTTGATATCGACCCTTTGCAACTGCAATATTTAATCGTTGAAGGCGGCGTGTCTGATGTCGAAGTGAGGAACTGGAACCAAGAACAAAGCAACTGAAGCTGTTTGTTCTTTGCCAGTGGAGCCATGGATCCTACTTGTCTGTGAATGCAACACGTCTAGTAGAGGATCATAGACAGTCGTATTTACCAGCGTTTTGAAATAGCCGGCTAAGAGGAAGAGCAGTGCCTCCTTCCTCCTGAGGTGTTGATCAAATTGCTGACTCACGTTCCTGCATGAGTATCATAAATTCACATCACATGATTTATATCACTGTCATTAACAGACTTGCAAGCGAACAAAAGATTAAATGCTAATCTGTTTTTTATAGATATTTGGCTACATGACAGTGGAGCATTTCCTCCATGGTCACTAATGCCTTGACGCGCATCTTCTCCATCACGGGTATATTTGATATCTTTTTGATCATATGCACTTATAAAACCTTAACAGCCTTGATCTTCATACCTTGTAAAAACGATTCACTCCAAATCTGTAATCTTGGGCCGACATGATGATAGACGGCTGCTGTCCATCAACCTCATCAAGTCAGAGAATAAAATAGCAAGTTTGATTTGCATACATGTCCATTTGTGAAACTAACCACGTTTTGACCTTTAAGGTAAAATCAACTCAAAAGAAGCAACATTGACTATTCTTTATTCCATTCTTTAGATGGAATAGAGACCATCCTTTATTTCTTGATTTAAGTGCTAGAACTGTAAATCTAACAATAATATGGATCATATTATTGTGCATATTATGCATGGCGCCAAACTAGCACCATGCTAGTTTTGGCGATTGTCTTATGATTTTTACTTTTTTCACCTGATCTGGTACATGGTTCCTGACCTGAGAAGCATCTGCACCTTGCAGACTGACCCAACGTTCCCAGTGGACTTTGGAAGAGACATGTGAGTCACCTGACAGGGAACCACAGTTCTGGAAACCTCTAGTCATACCTGGCTAGATTCCCCATAAAAGACTTCAACAGCTGCAGGCCAGTGGCTCTAAAATTCCACCTGACGAACAACTGGGCCTTGTGCCGCCTTGTGCCGCCTGGTGAGCGCGTCACTGGACCTGCTTCAGTTTGCCTGTCAGCCTGGAACTGGAGCTCATGATGCAGTCAGGTAGAATATTGTTAAATTCTGAAATATTCTCTGGTAATTTAACAATTAATGATCAGCAAACATTTTCAGAGTGACATGGGCCCGGCCAATCAAAACATAAAGAGGACAGTCATTTCCTATCAATTCCAATTCTCAGTACTGAACTTTGAAACAGCAGCTTTTCCTCTCTTCCTCTCAGAGTGGAAACCCTCAGGAAATGCTTGGAAAGCAGCACTTTGAAACACTTCTATTCAAATGTCAAAGAGGCAATAAAGCGCATGAACATAGTAGCTTGAATAAACAGTCAGCTGTTTAATTATTCTCATCTCCATGAATTTAAAAAGGGATAAATAACTCAAGGTCAGTGAGATCAAGAGGTAGAGACTGAAACAGGAAACCCTTTATACATATTCACACAGTGTTGCTATAAGAACATCATTAAAAACAATAACAAAAGACATATCCTTGGATATTTGTACATCTCTGTGGTATATACATCATGTATTCTCTGCTTAATACTGTACTTACAAGATTTTTAAAAAAAAATCTAAATATATAGATATACATTTGTAGATTTAAAAAATAAAATCAAACTCTAAAGCCTCTAAAATAGGCAGGCTAATACAGTTTCAATACAGTGATGCTGATTAAGCAGAGTTGCTTCTCTATTTATTATCAACACAGTTACTCAAAGTGTGAGGATCACATGCAAACCAACACTACATAACAGCTGTAAAAGTATATTACATGTACGTTATATGAGAGTATTTGTAGTGAGTATGCGTTATATAAACATGAACTGAAACTGAATTATTTCATCTCTACAGTGATCTTTCGGCAATATGGAAAACTATTATGGTGAAATTCTTCACTCACGTACTTGTCACTCATCAACAGTGATCTGCATGAAAAGGATATATGGAGCTAATCTGCACACAGTTCTTAATTACAATAGGTAGAATAAAGACTATCGGTACATTCTGGTTCTGCAGCGTTAAGGAGTCGGGATTTAAAAAAACATTTTTTTTAACCTCACCAGGATTGGAGTCTGGTCAGCAACATGTGCTGCCCACAGGGAAGCATCGACAAAAAGAAATGCAAACCTAAAACAGGTTAGACACCAAACATGACTTAGGAAAAACAGAAAGAACAGCCCAGGGCAAAAAACTTCACAGGATTGTGAAGACGTGTAGTGAAACCAAGTTCACAGTGGACCAAAGAGCAAGCTCAGCGATTCTCTGCTCTGCAGCTGTTGGAAAGTAGAAAGCAGCTGGATTTAATCTTTTGGTTTTAGAGACGGTTCGACTGTCCAGGAGCATCAATCGTTTAGTTCTAATGATTAGTGGGGTTAATGAAGAGCAGAAAGTACAATCCCAGACTTCCTGCTTGTTGAAGTCGCCCACTTAATTTCATTTCCTTCCAAAGGGTTAATCACACTAACAGGGTTGTTACACGTTTCAATCATTATGCCATTCTATATGTTAAACACTCGATTTTCATATAATCAGTTATTCTTTTCCAACTAGTGATGCTCAGTAAAATGAGTGTGGAAACAACACTGATAATGTCCATTTCAACACTGAGCCAGAGAGCATGTGGTCCAGCCCTGTACAGTGTCAAAGTTACACTGATCAGTGTTAACTTTTCAGAGTTGCTTTTACTGTAATTGGAGTTAAATTGAGTTACACAGTAAACTTTATTAACAACTTCAATTGTTAATATATTTTTGCTCTATAGAGATGCTTGAACTCTTGCAGTGTTACTTTTCAGGCGTTATTCTGATTGATGTCCAATAGTGCCAGGTGACAAGCTGCTGGATTATAGCGGCACCATCAGCCCAACACCAATGACCAGCGTCTTGCTCAGGGACACAAACGACCAGGGCAGGTGGAGCGGGAATTGAACCAGCAGTTGACCGATTGCAGAGCGAACTCCTACCGCCGTCCTCCCCTCAAAACTATATTTCTGTGATAAACTCATTTCTGTGAAATTACATATTTCTGCGATAAACGTAATTAACTGAAAAGACATGGATGATGTCTTTGTCCTACTAATGTTTATCTTAAATATTTTAAGTTACATTTTATCTGAGAAATATCTACCATAAATATTTTAAGTTACTGTTGATTTCAATAAATGTATATAATGAATAGGTTTATAGTCGATTGTATATAATTATATTATATTTTTTGACAGTTTGGAGAATTTTCAGTAACACTGACATATAGTGTTACTATCACAGTGAAAACCACTTTTATTTTCCCTGTAAAAATCTGAGAGGCCAGATTGTGGACCTGCAACTCACTCCAACAGAACTTTAGACAAACTGGCTCAAGAACCAAGACATTAAATTGAGCTGCTCTCCAATCAAGCATCGACGAGCCTGTCAGGGCCATGTGGGACAGGAAGGCAACAAGGTTCACACAAAATAATTACATTGTTTAAAACCTAAACGTTGTGATTGGTTGACAACTGAATGAGCGTTGCTATTGGGCAACGGCAACACTGAGCTCCAGCTCCGCTTCCTCGGCTGGGCTCCTTCCTCATTGGCTGCTGCATTTGCTCCGTGGCAGGTAAAGGGTTGATCATGTTCATTCAAAGTGAAACATCCACACTGAAATTCTCTCACCACTTTTTCACAGTAGTGTGACAAAGTGTTTGCCCTTCCTGATTTCCATTTTTCTTCACTTTTTTTTTTTTTGCATCTTTGTCTCACTTCAAACCAAACCAATTTCAATGTAAGTCAGAGACAAGACAAGCAACAACCCCCTCAAAAAATTCAAACCTTCTAGGCCCAGTGTGAAAAAGTGATTGCTCCGCCCACTTACGCATGTTTCATCATCATTCCAATCAAGACGTCGCTTTGATCGCAAGTCACTGCCTGACAAAGTGAAGTACACCAAGTGATCCTCAAAGGCTAAACATCATGCAGAGATGCACAGGAGTTCAGAAACAATAAGAAAAAAAATAAATAATCGAGATCAATTGGTCTGAGAAGGGTTACAAAGTAGTTTTTAACGTTTTTGGACTCCAGAGACGACATCTGTTATGGTGAAGCTTCCCACCAAATTTACCCCAAGAGCACAGCGGCGACTCATCCAACAGCTTACAAAACACTCAACAACATCCTATCGACTGCAGACCTCACTTGCCACACATAAGGTCAGAGGTCATGCTTTCGTCATAAAAAAACAAACAAAAAAGACTGGATAAAAAGGGCCTGGCTGGCAGAATTCCCCAATGAAAACCACTGCTGGGCAAAAAGAGCATCAATGGTCTTTGAAACATTCTGTAGAATTATGAGACAAAAAGTAAAAGTCTGTTCAGATGTGTTAACAGTGGTTCAAGTAACACCGCATTTTGGAAAAAGAACATGGTGGTGGCAGAGTGATGCTCTGAGGCTGTTTTGCTGCTTCGGGATCTACTAAACTCGCTGAAACCAACGCTGGTTCTGCAGCAGGACAATGACCCACAACACAGCAGCAGGTCCACCTCTGATTGGCTGAAGGAAAACTGAACGAAGAGCATTGATGGTCAATGTGACTGAATTAGAACAATCAAAATTAAAGCAGAGATGGAAAAGACTCATCACAAACTATTGCAAATGCTTGACTGCAGTTGGTTTCACTTTTTCACAAAGGGTAAATGCAGGTTTGTATGTTTTTCCTCCCTTAATAATGAACATTTAAAAACGGCATTATGTGTTTATAATGATGTCGTTGACAAATATCCAAATTGTTTGTGTTGAAATGAGTATTTTTTTTATATATATAAATAAATAAAATCAGGAAAGAGGCAAACCCAACTTCACACCACTCTACAGATATTGCTTTTCTACAGGAAGTTGTTGACTTCTTCTTCCACTGACAGGTTCTGCTACTACATTTACAATCACAAAGATTCAATCTTTAAGGCCGCGAATCGACGAAGCAAATGTGTTTTATTCCAACCTCACCACAACACAGCATGTCGAAAACAATGCGAGTGTTTTTTAGGGCTAATAATCACTGAGATCTGAGTTCTTCACACACATCGCAGCTTTTAGAGGAGGGCTGAATATTCCAGAGGAATGCTGACAGATTGAATTGATTCCAAAAGGAAATCTAAAGAATGGTACCATTATAATCATGCCAGTGATTCACCATATGAATTCATATACAACTACTCTGCTGTTAGAGAAAATTGTAATCAGGTAGCGGTCCTAAAATGCTGATAGGATTCAGACTGTGGATTATTTTTGGGATACACAAAATGCCTTCCATAAAGAGGTGCTCTAATCCTGCAATGCAGTGGTTCTGACCCGGAATGTTGCTCAGGGCATATTTTAAGTTTTTAAATAAACTCTTTGTCGAGGTGTGGTCGACTATGACGGTTAGAAACGAACATGTACAAACAGACCAAAAAATGAAAAAGTTGGATATTCTTTCCAGTATATCAAGTCTCCACTGAAACCTGAAATTTAGAAGCAAGTTCTGAACAAAATATGCTGTTCATGCAAGTTTGAGCACAAAACCAGTCTTAGAAACGACATCATTGCTGGCCCAAGAGCAAAGCAGTCCTGTGTGAGAATCTTTGCACAGTCACTTTGAACGGGTTTGGAAAAAGTTCTGCTGTATTTTTCTTTTTATTTACTTAGAGTAATTCTAACCCAATTCAAATGTCCAATAAAAGAACACAGACTCCACATGTTCAATGTTATTCAGTAGCATACCGCTAACATTAGCAGCTTTACTTAAAAGTCTAACTTTCCATCACAAATATTACAGCCAAGATCAGCAAAATATTCTGCAAAGTGATTCGAATGCATAAATATTTGTATTAAAACATTGTTGTATTTAAAAGAAAATTACATAAACCAATTAAAAAGACAAACAATTTCTTCCTTGCTTTCTGAATTAAAATCAGACCAAAGGTCTCATGTTAGATCAGTTAGAATTACATAAATTATATCCATTTATTAACTGCCAGTTTTTTTTTAAATGGAACTTTCTTTAAATTCACAAGTTCCCGTACATCAGGGGTGCTCAAGTCCAGTCCTGGAGAGCTACCGTCCTGCAACTTTTAGTTGCAGCCTCACTCCAATAGACCAGGCTCAGCTATGAACATGCCTGGTAACGAGTCATTCATTTGATTCAGGTGTGTTGGAGCAGGGATGCATCTGATAGTTGCAGGATGGTAGCTCTCGAGGACTGGACTTGAGCACCCATGCCCTACATTTACTTAGTGACAACTGTCTTTTAAACTTTTTTGCTGGATGGAAACTTCTGGCTTAATATGCAGGAACAGGAGTAGTGACAGTGAAAGGAGTGGGAACCACTGATCCATCAGAATCTGAGAATCTGAACAGAACCAGGACATCCGAACAGAAGTAAGTGATCGTGCAAGGAAGGTATGATGGCAGAATCTTTAGAACTCCTCCAACTGAAACCACTTGGAACATCAGGAGCATCCCTCTATAAAATATACGCTTATCCTTCTACATTTTTGCATGACGTGAAATCCGTGCAGATGAATACCCATTAAGAAAGCATGTGCTGTTTGTACACGCGGCCCGTTGATCACCTCACTGCATAATTCCTGAACAAGGCTCCTAATCTTTGGTAAATTAAACATTTGATGAAGGGGGGGAAAAAAAAGACAAAAGCTTCCAGCAGCCAAAGTTTAAACATTTTTCACATCTCTCACAGCATGTTTGTTTTTTTTTAGTAAAACTTGGGGTATCTGTCCATTCTACAGACACATTTACAGTTGATTGTCTGGATACGAAGCAACGTGGGATCTAAAGAACCATTGCAACATTGCTGGTCGATGTAATAACAGGAATATGCCAAAGTGTACGGTTTGCAATAAATGTAAGTAGTTTACATCTAGCAAAAAAAAAAATCTATACATCTTTGCAAGTATTGGGTATGATCATCAACAATTGTACTTTGTTTTCTGAAGATTTTATTGTATATTCAGCAACTAATACATTAGTACACCTTCAACATTTGTTCTATCAAGCTGCTGTCCCATTCATTTGTACATCGAGACTTCAAATCCAAAAGGTATCAGTCGTTTTCTCCATGTGTCCACTTGAATAGATCAGAGCCGCAAGTTCTTCACTCCAGTGAAATGCTACGTAATTTTTAGGTGCTTTCGGGTTCCAACGGGTCAGCGGGAGAAAGGGATGGTGCACAGCAGCATCTATTCCCACACAAGCGGAGACGGAGGCATTTCAGAGGGTTGAGCTACTGTGGAGCTGTTTGAAAGCAGGCCGACAAATTAATCAATGGGGAGTATTGGCTCAAAGCAATATCTACGTGATTAATTACAATATGGTTATTCATGTCATAATAGTTCAACACACAAAGTTCATGTCAATATTTCAACCAGAAGCTTCATAGAACTGAAATCAATGAAATAGACACTTAAAAATAAGTGAGGTCGATGGCCATACAACTCCATATGGACAGAAGATGACTGGCCAACGTTACCTTGATTGTTTGGCAAGCTTTACGTGAAAATAAAATGTCAGAACATCAGAATTTTTCATGAAGTAATATGTCCTTTCAATGTTGCAAGAAAGTGTTTGAGGGCAAAACCTTGATATCCCAAAAGAAGCCATGTTTCCACAGGCTACATGCTGCTTCTGGTGACATTTAAAGGGGATTTTCTTCATCAGTATCAGTAAAAGACAAGCTCTTTTTTTTTTAACTGAAAAAATAAAAAAGGTAATTTATGAAGCCATGCTTCTGTTCCATTTCAAAATGACATTTTATTGTCAAATAGACAAGTTATTGTCAATTACACAAAATACAAATAAAATGTACTGAAGCTTTATAATAGTTTGTGCTGGTTCAGACATGAGGAGTGTGGAAATGTGTTGAGACCGTAAACACTTTTCCTCACAACAAAAGGCAGAGACAGCATGAGATTCCTAATCTTTACAGAGGTTTCAAACTTGCAGTTCCTACTAACAGACTTGCTTCAGTAGATTTTTGTCTCATGACTAAATGAGTTTTTGGCTTCATTAAGCCAGTTGAAGGCAGCTGAATCCAAGCCAGTTTAAAAGAACAAAACATGGAATGGAAAATATTTTCAGTTTCCAGATGCCACATTTTTGTTGCACATCCTATAAATTGAAAGATTTCAAATAATTTAGCTTTAACTCACAGGTGTGAACAGCGTTGTTGCTGTTTGTGTTTTTCATGATGTGTCGTTGGGAGCGTTTATTTTTATGTGAGGTTGTTTGTGGGTGTTTGTATTTTACATTTCTGGTTATAATGATGGTTCTTTCAATCTGTTTTTTTAGTTGTGGTTCCACAACAGGCTGTTTTAATGAGGTGGGGAAAGCGCCTGATGACAGGTTAAACACTATGTCGATGTTTAACCTGGATTGCCCATAACGGTCAACATGGACCGTTGCCATGGTTATTCAGACTCGGTCACAGCCTTCTCGGTATTTATGCAAATGTACACATGTATTCATGGGTGGAGACAGAGTGGTGTATGTGGCAGCTGCAGCTGCACATGGTTTTATACATGTGGAGTTTTTAGTGAAATGTTTCCCTACGCCAACTTTTAGTGTGAAATACTGTCAATACGTGAGAACTCAAGTATGCTTTTGATGAGGAAACACTATCACATGATATAAAGCCAAAAAAGTCTATTTGACATAATATACTGCCCCTTTAAGTCTTTCAGCAGAGGCAGGACAATTTAGAGTTATACTGACAGATGTTTAAGACTTTTCATATCATCACTATCTTGAGAAAAATTAACATGATTTTTAGTATGCTGTGATTTTAGGTGATTCAGAATTTTTTGTTTCACTAAACATTATATCACTGAAACCCGTTTAGCTGGGTAGCTTTCTATATCTGCTGTTGGATAACTGTAAAACTGCGACATCAAGAAACATGTTACTTTATTACTTCACTGAGTAACAGCAGGCAGATGTACCATCTGTATGAACAACAGTCATTAAGAGCAGTTCTGCTTTCTGTAATCTTCTGCTTGATCTCTTTCTGCTGCCATCATAAGTTCCACAAAGCATACACTGCCCTCTACTGGTTAAAACCTAAGATTACAGCTTGATTTATTATGAAGCAGTTAGGATATAAAATGTTTTCAGGTACATGTAATAAAAGGTCATTTTCTCTGCTCTGTGGGTAATCGCTGACCATTCCAATAAAACCAACCATTTATTCATGATCCTCTATGATCTAGAGGAAAGTTTCTGAACAAAAAACAAGAAAACTGACAAAGAAGGACTGATGTCAAAGTCAAGACTATTTCTCTGAAGTCAGGAGATTTGATGGTTACTACTAATGATTCGGACTGTCACCACTTTAACTGGCAGCTTACAGGAAGTTTGAGCACATCAGAGGTTTCAGTCTGGAGCGGGCGACGTGTACAAGCACTTAAAATCAGAAACTTTTTCAAAGAGAAGCAGATCACATTAACAAGCAGGAGCTGTGATGGAAGACATGGAAGATATGGCAGTAGACTTTCTAAATAATAAAACCTCTTGGTACACCTGCAGATAAAATGAAAACACTAGACACTTCTAAATTTCAGGGATCACAAATTCTCTCTTGGGCATTACTGAAGCAAACAGGGAAGCTCCATTTCTTGGCAGTTAGTTTGTGATACTTTAAGCACATGCAGATTGTTTGACTTGTTTAAAAGAGATAAACCCAATGAATGAAAACATCAAATGAAGGCCTTTTTGAACATCGTCTGATGATTGTATGTAGTGAGAACATGTCTCCTTACCTTATGAAGCTCTTGAAAGCAGCTGATTGAGGGTTGATGCAGAGCGGCACCCGACTCCCCTTCTGTTGTTCCAAAATGAACTGATGGATGATCTCTATGCAGGGGAAAAAAGAACTTTTCATTTATCCAAATTCATGCTACCGTTTCAAATTTCTTCAGTTGCATTTGAAATCAAATAAAAATGGTCATTTGTGTCATTTAATCTAAAACAAAACAAGAAAATGTTTCTTGTTTCTCTGGTGTCTTCAACAGAGGACAAATTTCTTGTACTGTACTTTTTTTAACAATTTTTTATCTGCCCAACAAATGTTTATATATTAATGCTGTCCAATACCAATACCACTGAAATATGAGACTGCTAAGAGCAAAGAAAGCTTACCTTTGACCTGCCTCACAGAGGTCAGGTTTTTTTCAAAACCATCGTCAAACTTGGAGTTTGTGACCGGTTCAAAGTCACTGGTGTAAACACGGCCGGAGGATGTGGTGTAGCAGCATTTGCACATACACGTGTGGTAGCGCAGTCGACCCTCGTCTAGGTAAGGGTGAGCCAAAGCATCCTTGGCAGAAATCCTCTTAGACTAGAAACCAAATGGAATAGACAGACGGTCTGAAAGGTCGCTTAGTTGAATTCCATTGAAGACATTAGCTTTTGAAGGACTTGTATTTTCTGAGAGTGCTGTTCACCCTGAACATTTTAGGAATGGTCATCCTCTCTCAATAAAAAGGCTTGAAAGCCACAGAGGAAGAAGAAACTTGTTGGGAACAAACATGTGAATAAAGGACTGTGTGGCGTTCTCATCTGGTCGGGATTCAGATAAGAACTGCAGATTCACAGGAAAACTGAAATATGTATACTTTCTACAACATAGGCTGCAAATTTCACCTCTGTTGTGATGTAGTGTTAGTAAAAGGCTTCAGATCACCGACAAGCTCTTTGTTTGTTGATGATCTGGAGCAAAGAGCTTCAGATCACATGAAAGCTGAGAGCTAATCCCTCAGCCATGATCACCCTCTACCAATGAGAAGAAAGAAACCACCCAAAAAATAAAGAAGCAATGAAAGCAGTACATTGGATTATTTTCCTCAAGATTCTTGGAGATGAGTGAAAATGCATGCAGAAGGGTTGCTTTACTCTGATGTTCATCTCTCTGCTTGGCAAATTCTGACAGTATGATTACCATTTAAAAAAAAAAGCAAACAATTTATGCTTCATGATTAAATTGACAATCTTTTGTTGTTTTGTACAGCCCAAATGTGAATGAGCTTCAGTGCAAGTAGGGAATGGAGATCTCTGGAAAACAAGCGGATTAGAGCAGCAACGTTGCATAAATCTAAATATGAGAACATACATGATGTCCAGGAGGAACACTGAAGAACATACATGATGTCCAGGAGGAACACTGAAGAACATACATGATGTCCAGGAGGAACATTGGAGAACAAGATTTCCTTTGAATACTTTCACACAGTTATACTGTTCTCTAGACTTTAATGCAGTTTTCTGTTGCACAGCCCACCACCGTTTTCGAAAGTCCTAGAGGGAAAACATTTGAACATGTAATGAACAAGGAACGACTTACTGGATCAAACACCAGCATCCTGCATAACAGATGAACTGCTTCATGGGTTGCCTGGCTAGACAGTGTGTACAGCACAGGGAGGGATGGCTGTAGGAACAAACACATTGAAAGGAGAACCAGTTCAGTGACTCCTGAACAAACAACAAAAAAAAGTGCCTGGAGACACTGAATTAGTTTGATGTACTGCAATAGGAACTATGTGATTTCTTGAAAATCTAATAGCCAAAGAAGTATTTCACCTTTACATGTAAATCTAACAAATTAATAAATTTTTAGATTAAGAATTTAAGGTTTTTCAATGAGACTCGCAAAATTAAAGAGTTCTGGATATCTTTCCAGTTTGAGAAAAAAAAAATCTATAATGTCATGACCTCATTACTGCTCTGTGCAATGTACAATCAGTAATAAATATATTTTAAAAATCTAAAATAAAAGCAAGGAACATAGAGGCCAAAGAGCCTCTACATGGGCATTATAGGTTCTCTTTTCTAATGCAATGATGGCCCACATGACCTTTTTATTAAAGTCATGTCAAACCATTCAAACTCCAGACTGATTACCTGCTTATGAGTTCCTCTGAGAATGTGTGCCCGTGCGCCTTCACATGCTGTCCTCATTGCCTCCATAGAAGGCGTCCCCAGTAAGTCAGTGATTAAATCCAGCTAAACACAGAAAAGTCCATTTTAGAAATACCTCCAAATGTGTGTCAACATGGACTCTTTAATGAGTGGCTGGTCAAAGACCCAGAGAAAAGCAAGTGTGAAAAATAAAGCAGCTTCCAAGCTTCACTCTCACATAGGCATGTGGCTCTGTCTTGTTTTTCGTGATGATCAGAAGTTACCTGCTGAATGGGACTTTGAGCTTGGAAGAGGATGCGCCGACCGAGCAGCTCTGCAAAGATGCAGCCCACAGACCAAATATCGATGGAGTTGGAGTAGTGCCGGCTGCCCATAAGGATCTCTGGTGCTCTGTAGTACTGCGTCACAACTTCCTGAGTCATGTGCCGGGACTCATCCAACTCCTCCACACGGGCGAGCCCAAAATCACAGATCTAAACACACAGACAGAAACCTTACCATTAACATTGTTTCATTTATATTAGTACTAGTGTTTATGCTCCAGATTCTTGATTCTTTTACTGAGAGCAAAGAGTCTTTGTTTTTGACATGCTACCAAGTTGAAGATGGAACAAACAAGTCCCCTGTTACTCATTCAATTTTTATTCTCAATTCTTGTTGATTTTCTTTTACTATGGAGACAATTTTTTTATTCTTTTATATGTTTATTAGAAATAAAAAGCCATCATCCAGATATTATTTTCTCTTTCTCTCCCCTACAGTTTCCCCAAATAAGCTCATGTTTCTCACTCTGCGTCACGACAGACTCTGTGACATCACACTTCAACTTTGACAACAAACCTCCCGCATTTCAAAAGAGTGTCTAACAGAATTCTGAACTATTACAACTACAAACCCAGCGAGCACTGAAGCTGGAACATTTTCTAAAATCCAATAGAAGAAGGTTGCTTTTTTTTCTGTCTGTTTTAGATCATTTTCTTCCAGATAAGCAAAACAGATTGAAGTTAGCTGTTGGATTTGACAAATCCATCGTCAAATCAAACATTTGTGAAGCAGTAAACATTTTAAAACCTTCTGACAACACAGAATGAAAGTTAAGCAGAAACAAACTACTTTATTTCTTTAAGGATATTGACCAAACTCTTGCTATAAATGTAGACCTACAGCATAAATGCCTCTGATGACATAAATGGTAGCAACATAATCGTTTTCACACACCTTGAGCACACAGTTGCTGTTGACCAGGAGGTTGCCAGGTTTGATATCTCGGTGCAGAATTCCAGCAGAGTGTAGGTATTTAAGTCCTGCACATAACAAACCAAAAACATTTAGTAGATGAAAACTGTTCTGGAACCATTCAAATAACCAACTCCAGTCCTTCACCGACTAGTTTGAAAGCCTCGACTTTTACAGTTAGTTGATAGAAGCTCAGCATCGTAACGTCCACATCATACTGATACTTGATGTTTAAGTTTGATTCTTAGGGGGTAAAGTGAACAAATCTTCCTACACATCTTCTAAATATATATATATATATATATGTTACACATTGTAATATTTATTAATAAAGGTTCCAACAAAGAAAATTATGTGAAACTGAAATATAAATTAATTACACATGGTGAAACAAAATTAAATTATATTTCTGGTCATTTTGATTATTGTGGTTTACAGATAATAAAAACACCAAAATCCTGTGCCTCAGAAATGATCTGATTATTGCAGAAGATCAATAAAGATCTAAATCTCATACAGAAATCTGAGGCTTCGTTTCATTGAACTCGGTTCTTGGTTGGGGCTCCTTTTGTATGAATTACTGCATCAGTGCTGTGTGACACAGAGCTGATCAGCCTGTGGCTCTGATGAGGTGGAATGGCTTTGAAAGTGACCTCTAGGTCATCCTCCTCTTAACAGCTCAGAGAAGATCTATGAAGTTGGACTGAGGAAGGGATGCTGAACCTCATCCTTGGCACTATGGTTCATTTTAGTACCATAGGCAGAGACGCCAGATTCTTATGAAAAATGAAATGACTATGCAGTTTGTTAGCATGAAGTGTCCTAACGCATGACTGTTGACTTCAGAAAACCCAGTAGACCAACATTCACAGATGACGTTCCACCTACTTGCCTGTGAAGGAGGAGGAGCTTTTTGGTTTTACTTTTGCATTTTGAAAGTTTTTTATACAACTAGCTTTGGTAGTTATTTTTAAAATTCTCTACCCTCACAACTGGATTGCTTAAAATTAATAGATTCAAGGGATTTTTTACCTTATTTTCTCACTTACAGGTTAAAAAGGTTCAAGACATCTCGTCTCCACAAAGGACTATGACAAACTATTGCAGAAATGAGCAGTGATGGAAACGAAGATTGACTCGCAGAGAGAAAGTCAAGACTGGAGATGGAAACGAGACTTTACTGATGATTCAAAACAGATAAAGTGTAAAGAAGTTGGAAGTCTCTCCATGCTAAGGCACTGAACAAATTCCCTTTCATCAACTCATGGAAGACGTTAAACGGAGCGAACGTCACACTGAGACAACACAAACTGGCCAGCCTTCTGGCGGTCTGCCTCTTCAAACCCTTCACCAGGGAAAAGCAGCAGCAACCCATAGTCAAAACAAGTAGCAGCAGCAGCATTCCATCTGGGAACACAATGTATCCAATATTTGAATTTTTCACAACATCTTAATTTTTAGACATTGAATTTTCAGTTTTCATTATCTGTAAGCCATAATCATAAAATTACAAGAAAAATGATTCACTAAGAGATCTATAAAAGGAGTTTCACTTTATGAAAATGGTGACAAAAAAGGTTGAACATTTCTAATTTTTGGACATGCACCTGCATGACTCACTGAAAAATCTGAAGCTACTAGTTTTTTGGGGGTTTTTTCATGTATTGCAGCAGGACTCATCCCATTTCTTGTTTCAGTAAATTCCCTCTTACCCCTACCATTGTGTTGGTAAGAACACCAACATAATAAAAAAAAAAATGAAATAAGCACTCACCCCGAAGAATCTGATACAGAAAAACTTTGGCATGATCTGAGCTCAGAGGCTGTGGTGATACAATGATCTTATGGAGGTCACTTTGCATAAGTTCAGTCACAACATAGCTGAACGTTGGGAGATTAAGGTTGAAAACTAGAATATTAACGGTGACATAAACTGGCTAGCTCAACAACGCTGGTATGCTTCAGTTTGAATGTTCAGAAAACTGCAATGGAGACACTTTTAGTTCACGAGATCAAAAGCCAGATGTCACTGCTGGCGAAAACGAAGAAGAAGACGACAGGAAGTGGTACGAAGATGATTGTTTGTTTTTGTTTTTCCTCCGACAACAAGCAGCTGGTTCCACCAGAGCTCTCGCAGCATCACACACACATACAAGGTTGTCTGTCATTTAAGTGAACCAATAGCTCTTGTGGAAAACTGCTGACTACACTTTCTCCAAAATGACACAGATGTAGTTTTTCTCAAGTATAAGGAGACGGTCGCTCCAACGCCCAAATAAGACGCCGACTTCTCTTCTGATGGCCAACAGATGAGCGCTACCACCGTGGCTGAATACTGAGTCACTGTTTACATCTGTCACCGCCATGAACTTTACTTTTTATTTAATAGAAATACAACATTTGCAAAATTGTGTTTTTTTTCCAATCTTAGTAGAACATAGACAAAGATTTGCACACATTTGTAGTGGAAACACAGCTACGGTCTCCTTACACAGAAAAAGGCCATCCAGTATGTTGAACTGTGTTATCGATCTTAAAGTGAATCAAAAGCGTAAAGGATACATTTCTTCAAAGTAGTCGATGTGTGGAGGCTGCAGTATGTCCAAAGCAGAAAGTACCTGAGGACACACAATGTTTACGTCATAATTAGGAATAAATGTTTTTTTGTTTCTTCCAGTGATTATCTGGAATCACCTCAAAATGTCTGGCTGTAGCATTTAAGATAAATGTGCACTTACATTTTCATGTTTGAAGAAGCACAACATCTTCAGTTCCCGAAAGACCCTTTTGCAAGAAACAAGATTCTGGAAGACATTGGGCATCTTCTTGAGAGCCACTCGCTTTCCATCTCTGGGATCCGTGACCGACCTTAAAGCAGAGGATAAATAACATCAGACAGACGGTTATCAGGAGAACTTTAGTATCCATTGTTCATAAATTAAAAGACATATCTCCTGATCATGTTGATTTCTATGAGGAGCCCCACCTCTTCACACTGTGAAGACCCAGAAATACATTCAACTATCACTGCAAATGCACAGCAGAATTTTTGATGTTCTTACTGAAGTAATTAGAATACAATATTAACAGTTTTTATTGTGCTTTCAGGAAGAGCGAATCACTAAGTGACAGGATAGAATTATTGAATCCAGAGATCAATTCAGAAGAAAGCAGGTGCAAGTACGACTCCACTAGGATCACACAACTACTACTGATGCACTCTTCCGAGTCTTAGATATGATACAGTGAAAAATAATCATTCTTGTTGCTCACCCAATACAATTATAATAGTCTTCAACAGATAGCAGCTCTTCTTGGAAGGGAGCTTGTTTGTTGGTTTGCCACCTTGAAAATACACCTTGACATAATTCTCTCATTCTGTACCTCATCTCAGTGTTACTTCCCATTTTTCTACAACAGGCTAGTGCACCATGCCTCAGATGTCCACAAGCCATTTTGTTAAAGTTTCAAGTCCTCGCTCTCAACTGGGAGAGAGCATACAAAGATTGTGAACGTACAAAGCCCTGCAGTCAGTCTGACATTACCACCCAACCTGCAGCATACCCCCAACCAAGAGTCAGAGCAGAGGAGACCCATTCCACTCCATGTCCACATTGCAAATAGAACACACATTTATACAGCTTAGTGAAAATGTTTGTTGCAGCCATGCTCACTATCCCATCTCCTAACTGGCCACTGAATGGGGCTGTGTGTCTGAGAGAGAGATCGTTTTAAACCTGATTGGTTTTGAGTGATGAAAAGCGTAAAGCTGTACCTCCTTTAACAAAAGGAGAATTTATTTGCTTATGTACCGTTTGACCAAGGGAGGCCAGCACCAAGATGGTTTATAGGCACAAACAAAAATGCAGAACTACATGAATTTACACAAAAATGTCAACATTTGCACAGAAATATAAACATACGCTTGTTAATTGTGAAATGAGGTTACTGTGGGAAAGAGCGACCTCACTTTCTCTCACTGCTTCGTTCTAATACATCTAATTTATCCCCTCTCCATAATTCTGCTCCATACTTTGGCATAGTTGCCAAAAAAAAAAAAAAAGTGGCTCGCATGGACAAATGGAAACTTGAACGCAGCATTCTGAAATCTATCAATCCAGTCTGACATGATTATTTACATAAAGCCAATAATGTTGTTTCCACAAGGATTATTGAGGACACTTTGAACAGCTGCTGCTGCTTCAAGTTGTGCCTCAGAGCCTGTTAGGTTGGTGCACATTTTTGTGTCTCGATAGTCATATAGTTTTCACAAGACACAAAATATTTGTTCTTAAAGGCTGATTCTTTTCTAGAAAGTTCTTTACCATTTCACATACAATATGAATAACATATTTCAGATATTACCTCATGTTTTGTTTTTACTGAGCTCAGTCACATTGATGTACCTGAGCTTAAGTTAATATTTTTATTGATGCCAAGTTGTTACAGACTGTGTTTGAATCTTTTCAACCTTAGATTTTTTTTAAGCATAGTAAATAAATCTACAAACATATTTATATTAACACTTGGAGCCGATTGAGTTTAAGCCTTGGCATAAATTCCAACTGGAAGACTCTCCAGCCTCACCTGCATCATCCAATCGCTGCGTCTACCGCAGTCCATCAGCGTTGGACCACGGCTCGTCATAGCCAATCATCAAGCTAGCCTCCGTTTATCAGTGCCTCCATCTGCTCACCAGTAGAGCTCAAGCCACCTCCGCCCCTGCTCCACCCTCATGCTCCAGGCTCCTCCAGTGTGCTGCCCCAGCCAGGAAAATCCTCATCGTCAGCTGATTATTCAAGCTTATTGCAATGCACTGTGCCCACGTCTTCTGCCCGGGTCCGAGCCCCAGAACTTTAATTCATTCATGTGAATAAAACATTTTAACTCCAGGTTGAGTTTTAAGTTTATTCTTTTAGGACAGCATATAGTGACTGCATATGCTTCTCTGTTTAGTTACTGTTCAGGTTCTGGGTATTTGGTGTCAGGTGTCATTATGTTTGGTTTTGTTACATAATGTTCAGGGAAGCAGCTCTTTCATTTTCTTTGTTTTAGTTTCTTTTTGAACATGGCTGCTGATCTGGCAAAAGCTTTTATTTTCACCTTGAGACGTTGGATGCTATAGTGTGCAACCAGTAGCCAAAGTTTTATAGTTTTTGTTAGTTTTTTTTTTCAGATAACTTTTTAATGGTGTCGAAATCAAATGCCTTTGAAATTAAAGGTCAAAAACATTAATGGATTCTGTACTTTAAGAATTCCTCAAAACAGAATTTTAAATATTTTTAAAAAAACAATAAAAAAAAAAACCCAATATAGTAAGCTAACTTAAGAATGACAACAGATAAGTTCCAAAAATAAATTTTAGGTCTTAGTTTAGTATGCGTGTCATTCTAATATACGAAGTAGAAAGCGAGAGATAGCTGAAAAGGGAAGATGTGACGAAGTTAAGCAAACTTAACAGCTGTGTACTTACCAGACGACTCCAAACGCACCGTAGCCGATGGGCCGATCAGGCTCTATGTCAAGCTGCTGCTGAAGGTGATGCGTGTTTTGCTGCTGCTGATGGTGGTGGTGGTGGTGGTGAGACTTGACAGCAGCGGCTTGAACCTGGGCTGGAGCTGCAGCTGAAGCAGGTCCTGGAGCCTGTCCAGGCGCAGGAGACGGGAAGTAGGGCTGCTGCTGGCCAGGATTGAGCATCACCGCTGCAGCCGCAGCAGTGGATGTGTGCTGCTGCACCGTGCGCACGGCTGCAGCAGAACCCGGGTGCTGCAAGTGATGCTGTCCTGCTTGGTGGTGGTGGTGGTGATGGTGCATGTGGGGAGGCGGGAGGTGCTGCATCTGGTGATGGTGATGAGCAGCCACTGCTGAGGAGCCACCGTTGTAAGCAGTCATCATTTTTGGAACGTTTGTGGCAGTTGTGCTGCAAAGAGCCATTCAGCAAGGCAAAAAAACCCAAAACAAAACAAACAAAACGTCTACTGGGTCAGAAAGTGGTGATTAAGACTACCAGACTGAACCCTTACACTGAAAAATCAATAAAACAGATTCTGGCTTTAAAAGACTAACCATAAGTTACTTTAAATCTTCACACAAAATGTAAATAAAACTGTTTGCCATAATGTTTATCACAATGCAACTTAAAAAAAAAAAGAAAAAGAAGCAGTTAAAGGACTTCAGCCACAGTTTTCTCTCAGTGATCTGAAACTAAAAATATTTTTGCTAAAAATTTAAAGCCGTGTCAAGTGTAAAAACAAAATATTTGAAAAACTTGACACATCAAAAATAATTAGTGGAAGTAAACCTGAGCCCCCCTGAATAAATAAAGTTGTTGGATTTGGATGTCTCCCATCGTAGAGCGTGTTGATTCCACAGCAGTGTGATCAGGAGCCCGTCACATGGGAACAACATTCATCTAAAACAAGTGCCAAAGTTTTCCACAGGCTTCGAACCAGCGCCGCAAATCCTCCCATAAAGGGGGCTCCGCGCAGCCGGAAAACTGCATCTGTTTTTCCAAACGGACTCCTCTTCCTATTTATGTATTTTTGCGCGCAGAGCGAGGTAGCTACTCCGTAAACAGAGGTAATCTCCGAGCCGTGATTAACGGCGCAGATCCGGTGCAGAGGGGATGTATCCCGGCTAAGGCGATAATACAACAGCAGACGCAAGTAGACAGACAGGCCCGAGCCACCGCCATCCACTCACATGGAAGTGTTTGTTTAGAGAGAAACCCCCATCATCAGCCCGAGCAGAGGGGCTGTGACCATTGCTCAAAACATTAGAGAACGAGCCCTCATAGTTCCTTCTAGATGACTTGATTTTCCGACGAAATCTTTGTTTTCGGGCTGTTTCGCTCTGTCCTCGAAATAAGTGCAGGTCCAGAGAGACGTGATAACAATGTGACAAAAAGTTCTTCTTTAACGTGGGCTAAATAAATTTGCGTGCCGCCCGTGCGAAGGCGAGAGTTTCTTAACCTGACAGCTCGGAGCTAGCTAACAGAGTGGGCAGCTTCATCTCCACATCGAAGTCCTCCTCCTCCTCCTGTCGGTGTCAGGAAGGCTGACCGCGGCGAGTCGGGAGCCGGGCTGCGGGTCCTTCACACTCCAGCACGATGACGCTCCGCTGACATGATCCAACTGATCACAAGGTAAACAGGATAAACACTTGATCCAACATGGTGAACATAATCTTACCTACTCGGCGGTGAGATTTTACAGAACAGCTAACCAATCAGCTGTGGCGCCTCGATGACGTCGGTACATTCCGATTGACTGTCAGAAGAGTCAGCCAATGGCGCTGGCTTGCAGGGTGACGGGGGCTGAGCGCTGCTCTGTGCGGCCAATCAAATGACGGTATTTAACAGAAAAAGATCTGCATATGTTCAAAACGTCCTCATGGGAAAAAAAAGCTCTCAGTCAGTATTGCTTCAGTACTTCTGAATTATTACTTCAGGACAGCACGCATGTTCAATAAATGTACTTATTTTCTTATCTAAAAATGGACATGAAATGAAGTTTTTATAATTAATAGTTAAATTGATTAGAGCATGTGCCACTGCCAACATGAAACAGATTTGTCTTTCATTTTTAGAGTCAATTACAAAGATGTCATTTGTTCCAGTTTCTTTATTTGAATCTCTGAACTTTGCCAACACAACAGGCTTACTAAAGTCATGACTTTCACAATTATGTTCATCCAACCTAGTGTGTTTTGGAGGCGTGCTGTTATGCAAGTGAGCAAAGGTGTGTTATTCAAAACAGAATAAAGCTGTACATTTATCAATAATGACTGATCAGGTCATGTGTTCGAAAACCTTAAAAATAAACCAGATTTCGCTCATTGGTATTTTGTGTGTAGATAATTCGGTTCAATTCAGTTTATTTATAGAGTCAATTCACAAAATATGTCTTTTCAAGGCACTTTACAAAAATAATGCAACAAGATTCATCTCATATGAATCCTACTCAGAGAAATTTTACCTCAATTTTCTAAACTCAATCCAAAAACTGGATTTGAGAAATAAACCCTGGGGCATATTCTCAAAGATTTTCAGTCCTCTCAGACAGTGGCGCATATAATGTGATCAATAACAGTGGGACAATGCTGATCAGGCTCCTTTCTGTTCCTTCCCTTCTTGCCATTCTCCCTGACACACACTAAGATGCTGCATCCAAGCAGTAGTTGTTATCCTAACAGAATATTATTTAAAATTAAAATATAATTTCTTTTTAATATGTGGTTTAACTGATGTATTCTTATAGATACTCTTAGCACGTTTAAGTCATCCAGCTGTGAGGATGAGAGAATCATGACATCAGGGGAAGGCAGCAGATTGGCCTTATGCAGAATGGAAAAGCAACTTAAGCGAAAAGTGATTCGTTTTAAAATATAGTTTCACTTAAAAGTGTTCTATAATCTTATTATGCTTTGTCTTTGCAGCCACTGATTTTAAAACTCAATTTAATGGTCAGGAGAGGAAATGCTGTGAAAATGATCATACACATGTGAACTTGGATTCAATTCATTTCCAGCTTTTGGGAGGCTGCTCTCGGTGCGAAAAGTTTTGATTATACTGTTGTGACTATGTGATAAGTGTTTATTTTGCTTTCTGCTAGTTTAACAAGAATACAAACTCACAAGACTGGTTAAATTGCGTGGTTCTCTTTATTTTATTGCAAAAATAGATATTCCATTAATTAGAATTGCATCGGTTTAGATTAGTCTTTTAGCAATATAACACTTTCTTATGTTGACAATCGGAAAATCCTCGTCCCTCAAATTATTTCCAGCAACTTGACTTAGTGTTTTTGACTGTAATCCACATCTACAGCACCGAATACCTCCTACATGATTGTTTTTGTCAGAGTTTGTATAAAATGCTTGATTTTTAACAATTACTGATGTTAAGTGCAGCAGTTTGACATCAGTTAAGGCATCGCAATAAAATTACACAATTGTAATAATTGATTTATACAAAATGTAGATTTAGTTTTATATGTTAAGCAGAAAATGTGAAGTGTAAAAAATGGATTTCAACAATCCGGACTGCTAAGAAATTAGCCAAGCAGTCCATTTCATCTAATGGACTGGTTGGGCCCACCAACATTAAGAAAACCAGAGAGGGATCATTCATGAAATGCATTTTCAGTAACTCAAAGGCACAATCTATAGAGTCATTGTTAGACATCAAATGTGTAGACAGACATTATCTGTGTACAGACATTCTTTGGTATTAAGCGTGTTGAGTTGTATTCCAGGACATAAAGACAAATCAATATCTAAAAGACGGGTTTTAGTCAATGTTGACCTTATTCATCTTTTAAAGGCACGAAGGTTTGACATGTTCTTCCTGTAGCTGCTTAAATCCTGGACAGGGATTCTTTGGATGCTTTCATTAAGACAAATGGTGGAAATGCTCTCACATCATGGAGGGAGTCCTTGGTTTCATCCATTGTAATATTGCTGAAGAAACAATGATGTTCATTCCATAGCACCAGGCCTGGTCGCCACATAAACGAACACAACGATGAGTAGAACCACCACAGTGAGTGTAGGCACCACCACTGTGGCCACCTGCTGACGGGCTTCCTGCATGGCCTGTTTCCGCTCCTTCTTGTCCTTTGATGTCTCTTTCTTAGGTTTGCCTTTAAGCTGCCTCATGATGTCCCAACGACCCTCTGACTTCACTGATCTCACACCTGACAACAACAGACGTCACAGAGACATAAACATCAGCTTCACATGAACATTTTTCCAAGATTAACTTGCTAATGGATGATTATTTAATCCATGCTAATATATCACGTTAAGCTCATACAGCTGTAGCTACTATAGCAACAACTTTGTTGTTGCCAGTGTTCAGAGGTGGGCAGTACTGGTTAAATTTACTTGAAAAACCTTTTAGGTTGAAAAAAAAAAGAAAAGAAAAAAAGAAAAAGTTTTTGGAGGGCAAAAGGTGTAGTTTATACTGAAGTATAGAAAAGTGCAGTAGGTTTTACAGTGCAGTAAAACCTACTGCACTGTAGGTTTTACTTTTACTTGAGTAGTATGAACTATTGCTCTTACTTGAGTAGATTCATTTTGCTTGTGTAGAAATAGACTTCAGGGATCAGAAACATTAGATTCTTTGATTTCTGCAACGTATGAGCTAATGTTTATGCTAATCTGAGCACAATTACTCAGGGTTTTCTACATGTTACTATTTACATCAGTATTTTTTTTATTAATAAACATGGTTATTTTCATTTGAAAGGTTACATGAATGTATTTTTATTAAAACACGTTTATAGCCAAGCCCCTACCCTTTCTTTTGAAAGCTTTATATTTAAGCTCAATTGCATTGTGATACACACCCTATTACACATCACTTAGTATTTGTCTTTTGACATCTTTAAGCTCCTACAGTTCTGGCACTGATATGTTCTTGTTGTGGCAAGGGAAACTTAATCCAATCTTCTAAAATGTGCCAACTCAGTTTGCTCAGGATTTACTATAATTTGTAATTACTGGGGTTTTCTTTGATGCTAAGATACATTTCAACACACATCAATTGAAGCTTGGCTTAATATCAGACAGAGACAATTATCATTATTACTAATACTCATGATTTGAAACAAAAGAAACGCTTAAGAAATCTGTGAAGCGCAGCTACTTTGTAACTTTACAGTATGTTCTTACTTCCGTAGAACTGCTGGCAAACTGGAGGAGGAAAACTTGAAGAACTGTTACCACCAAAATAAATGTGGACGTTTGTTAAATTGTACAGAATGTAAATTGGAAGGTGTCATTTAATCTGTTGATAACGTGATAGAAAACAGAAACGGAATTATCGGCTCATAGTCTGGAGGTCAACAATAATGAAGTAGTGTCGTCAGAAACTCTATAACACACTAACCTTAACAAATGTGGTCTTCAACACTCCTGCTTGTGCTGACGACTCGTTAGGCTTGACGAGAATGTTTTCTAAATGTTGAGGTCCAGCGTGCAAATACTCCCACTGACACAAGATAAGAAACAGAGGAAGTAATACCAGTACTAAAACGATGAATGTTTTTGTTTCATGTTATTTAATTATTTCTTCTTCTTTCTTCTTCTTCTCTCCTTATTCGGCTTCTTCTTCTTCTTCTTCTTCTTCTTCTTCTTCTTCTTCTTCTTCTTCTTCTTCTTCTTCTTCTTCTTCTTCTTCTTCTTCTTCTTCTTCTTCTTCTTCTTCTTCTTCTTCTTCTTCTTCTTCTTCTTCTTCTTTTCTCGTCTTCTTCTTCTTGACATTTATTGGCGGTTGGCAAAAAAAAAAAAAAACGTGAAGCAGGATCACTGCCACCTACTGGTATGAAGGATAGGTCTATCTATCTATCTATCTATCTATCTATCTATCTATCTATCTATCTATCTATCTATCTATCTATCTATCTATCTATCTATCTATCTATCTATCTATCTATCTATCTATCTATCTATCTATCTATCTATCTATCTATCTATCTATCTATCTATCTATCTATCTATCTATCTATCTATCTATCTAATCTATTATTATTATTATTATTATTATTATTATATTGTCAAAATTTTTCCTAATCCTGATAATCCATCTGTGATTTGTTTCCCTATTTTTAAAATAAATTCTGCTACTACCAATACTATTCCTGTTTTTTCAATTGTTTTTTATGCATCTATATAGATGTGAATATAATGACATATACATATAGTTGCGCTGAATATAGAACTACAGTAATATAGTTTGACTCATTTCTAAACAACGAGTTTGAAAATTTTCTATTTTTTTTAACCTTTGAAGATGATGATTCAAAAAAGGATTCTTAAAACCAAGAAAAATGAACAACCCTGACCATCCTCTTTGAGTCTTGGGAAAGCAAAGTGTCTTCAGTCAGAGGTGTCTTCAGATTTGCTGTAAGACAGACAGAGCTCTTTCCTGCCAACAGCCATCATTATATACAATAACCCTGAAGAATCTGAGTTACTGAGTTACAACAACATTTAATTTCCCTTTGGGGTCAATAAAGTGTTTTTGAATGGAATTATTCATCCGAAACTTCTCGTTTCTTTATTTTATTCTTGTGTTGTCCGACCCAGCTTATTGACTTATACGTTTAACCAATAATTTGTCTAATTTTGTTCTCAAATCTAAAATCATTCCTCCCATTTCTACTCTTGTAAACTCTACATTTGATAAATTGTTTCTTTGTCACTCAGTGATAAATCTTTGTGTTTAAGTTTTATATTTCCTCTTTGCTAATATTTGAACCATAAATTTGACTAAATGTTGTTGCTAATATTTCAACTCTTTCATTGATCTTTTATTATACTTGTGTTATCTATTTTTATAGATGAACACTTTTTATGCAATTCATTCTTTTAATTATCTTCCTTTTTTAAATTATTATTTTTGTTTCTTTCCCTACTGTAAACCAAACACCAGTCAAATAACACCAGAGTATTCCTTATGAATCTTTTGTTACATTTCTTGTCTATAAATTCACAGCCATTCATAATCATTTTTTTAGTCACAGCTGAATGTGTAATTATGTCTTTAATGAGCCGAATCACAGGACGAATTGCCATTAAGACTGTTAAATTTCATCACATGTGTATTTGTTTGTTGAAGCAACTTAAAAAATGGCCATCTTGAAAATTTGACTATATTTACAGCGCAAACTGTAAATATATTTTTTATATTTAAAAACAAATTAAAAAAATAAGTTCACTTTGAGTCATAGGGGGGCTGTCAAAAATTAACATTTTATTGGTATATTTGACCTTAACGTCAAAAAGTCTTATTCCAGACATGCCCATTTAATAATAATAATAATAATAATAATAATAATAATAATAATAATAATAATAATAATAATAATAATAATAATAATAAAAACAGACAAAGGGTTATCTGTTATTTTGAGTTTTGTCCCATATTCTTTTCCCAAAATAAATAATTTGTAAATTCGTATAATTTCAGTCGAAAATGCGGTCTCGCTTGACGCGAGAGTACATAATCGAGTATCGCGAGATTTGAACAGCTGTTTGCACTGTTTTTACAGATTGAGGCAGATCGGTTAAACACGTGGGGAGGAGATCAGTAAAGCGATTGAAAACATTCAAACAGCTTTGTTCCTAGCGGGGCAGCATTGGGGACCTTAAAATACTGTAAGTAAAGGACACAGGTACATTTTTGGACGGATCTTTGTACGTTCTGTGCATTTGACATTGTTATTGCTTTGAAAGCAGAGAATGCTAACATAAAAAATGTCCTCTGATATTCCCTGGGAGTCCTGCAAGCTGCACAAAGTAAACTCTGTAGTAGAATAAGAGCAATGATCCTATGTCATTGAACAACCAACTTCCACGTTTCCCCCGGCTGTCAGCGGTGCGCTTTAGCTGCGTCCCTGTTACGAAAGTTAAATAACCGGACATTGTGCTGTGCACTTCAGGCATGTCTTCAGGCATATGTTAGTAATATTCGCAGTGGCTCCATCTGACGACGTACTAATTGTCAGAGGCAGCCGCTGGATGCCGTCTGCTGTCGTGCTAGCTGCGGCGGCTATGAGCTAACTGGCGGCTGTGAGGCCTGTTCGGGACAGTCGCTAACCCGCGTTTAGCACACACGTGCCCTTTGCTTAGCTCAACTTGTGGGATGTGTCGTCCGGTTGTACGGTGGGAAGGTCAAATCGTACAGGCTAATTTTCAATGAATTGGAATTGCGTGTTCTCTTAACGGATACAGTGAGGTGGTCTCAGTGCGTTGTGACTGTACCGGAGCAGGACAGTGGCCTCCAAATGGGCTACTTTGTCCTGCCTGTATGAACAGGATCTCCTACAATAAGGGCTTACGCTGCTGTAATATTGAAAAGCCCACCAGCAATCAGACATACACCTGTCGAGACTAAAACCACGACTTCCTGAAATGAATTAAATGATTTAAGCTGTGTTTTATTGCAGTTGTATCAGAGCAGAAAGGATAGACTGATAAAATACACTCAAGAGGTTCTAGGGGGGTTCTGACCCTCAGGGTTGAACTTGTTTTGGTGTCCTTCACACCAAAACTAGTTCTAGTTTATTTTACACCTGCAAATTGTAATCGGTGTGCTATAAAGTCTGGAAAAGTATGATATTTGATTTTTACCATTTTCAGGTTGGGAAAAAGCCAGTAAAACTGTAAAGTATTTGTATTTGTTTCCTCTGTTTGTGACCTCTCTGCCCTTGTAATTTGCTCCTTCCCTTCCTTGTGTATTTGACTTATTTTTTAGCTGTAGGTGTCTCCGATCTTTTCCTTTTGTTTTCTTTCATTCCATCCCTCTCATCCCTTGTTTATCTTCTGCTAGTATAATTTGTTCCTTTGTTGTTTCCGTTCTTTCTGAAATTCCCCAACTTTCCTCTTGACATGATTTTTCTTTTCATTTCTTTCTGGTCCTTGTTTCCAGTTTCTAGTTTTTTTTTCTTCTATTTTTTACAGAAGACGTATTTGAAGCCTGTCTTCTGTAGAAGTGTTTACCATTAATTTCCAGTGAACTTTAGTTATTTATATTTTGTTTATGACAAGTAATTTAGAACTCTGAGAAGTTGAGTCTGGAAAAGTATAGAACTTTGAACATAAATTAAATTGTTAAAATTAGTGTAGCAATGCATCCATGGGACAGATCTGCACACACAAACACTCGTAAATTATTTTATTGACGACAGACATGCTGTCCAGATGGGAATCTCCTGCTTTGTGGTAGAAATCACACAAAAAGTCAAAATTAGCTTTGCAAAATAAACAGCGTCATACTGAAATATCAGTATTGATGCCCTGAATTTGTCAACATTGGCAACTCATCATGAACTGTTAAGATTATTCCCTTCCTTATGTCAAAGCAAATATCCCTTATTTTGGTTTGTTTTGTTGTTGCGTTGAACATGTTGCTTTTTGATGCATTTACTTACCACATGAACTGGGAGGTTTTTTTTTTGTTTGTTTGTTTTTTTGCCTTGTTTTTTCTTGGTTAAAAAGCAAATAATTTCAAAAACGTTGCTAATTCCAGTCAAATGTTTGTGTGTTAATTTCAGGTGTAGCATTTGGTGTCTCGTCGAAATGCCAGTTCGGTTTCGGTCTGTTGTTTCCTACACGATGCCTGGAGTGCTTGTGCTTATTGGCTGGTGGTGGTACACCTCGAGGAAGAAAGAGCGACCCGTCGGACAGAAAAGCCCCGAGGTCTCTTCAACTTCTGTGAGCTTTAAAGACTCTCATCAAGATTGCAACAACGGTTTGCTATATGAAGAGGAAAGCCCAGCCTTCACAAATCACAGCAAGGAGAACTCAGAGAATGAAATTATTTCCCAGACGCCTCCCCAAGATCCTGAAGCGATATCCTTACTGGAACAAACGTGCAATGATGTTCGTTTCTGCGGCAGAACGATACACGAGGAAGCAGACCGACCATCAAACATAATTACACCAACATTTAGAGACAGTGATTTGGTAGAGGAATCAATGAAACCCCTCAAAGGCCCCAAATATGACACGACCCCTGACTTTTTTGGCGAGTTGGAGAAATGCCCAGCCACAGACTTGGATCTTCTTCCAGAAGACTCGGTAGAGGAAGTTGCTTTGTTGTCCAATGAGTCCAAAGACCCCAGATTTTCTCCCATGGCAATAAATCTTTCGGATGCGGAGCGGCCAGAGCCAGAGGGTGAAGTTGCAACGCATCACAGTGCTGTAATTTCACAAGAGGAGGCCGTCTGCTTATTCACATCGGCCGAAACACACAGGATGGCGTCGTCAGACGGAGACTCTCTGGAAAATGCCATTTCAGCACAGGATTTACACAAATGCATCCTCACCAGCACACCTACCATCCTTTCCTCCGAAGTCCAGGGCACTTCCACCTCTTCAGATATATCAGTGGATGTGCATTCTAAGGAAAACCCTCAAGAAATGAGTGATCTGGAGATACTGGCAGCTGGACTCATTACTGAGGTCCTCTCTGCAGCCACACAAGAAGTTCTCGGGACCAGCAGCTGTGATGTTGCAGCAAACACTAAACCCTCTAACATGAGTGTTATTCTGGCCGATGACACTCAATCCTCACAACTTGATCCAATGATGGAAGACTTTCCTGCTGATGCTCCCTCACAGGAAAACCATGAGCATACAGAAGCTGCAGAGAAGGAAGTCCAAGCAGTGCCAAAAGGTTTCTCAGTGACTCCAGAGTGGGGAAATGTCGAAGCAAGGATTCTGAAAACCAACAGCGCACAGAATGCAGCCTGGCCAACACTACCACACCAAAGGGAAACGCTACTTAATAGATGTGATGATGCTGCAGTGCTGAATGAAGACTCGGCTTGCAGCACATACCACTCTGAGGAAGGGAACAGCAGCGAGGACCTGCAGAGCAGCATGCTGGGGAATCCAGCAGGTGTTTTAAAGATTACAGACTCATCAGTAAATGAAACTGCACCGCCTCAATCTGAAGCTGGGAGCACCACAGAGGAAGCTGGAGGAAATTCTGATGCTGTGTGTGGCATAAAGAAAGTTAACGGGGACGACCTGAGGAACGGAGCTCATGGGACATGCGAGTTGGACACAGATCAGTCTGGAGGTGAGACATAATTATTCATGTTTTTATTTGCGTATCATTACTTCTGAAAATTTTAGTGAAAACTCCTGTTTTCTTACACATGCATTTTATGTATGAGCAGAATAAAATTGATGACAAAAAGAGATCACCAAGTTACTAATTAGGTTTAAAAATGAATAAGATGGACTGACATTACTGTTTGTGCCGATATTTTGTGCTTCCCTAATTGTTTTCGATGTTAAGGTCAGTGCAAAAGGTGAAAAAACTGCTAGCTGGTCTTAGAACCAAATAATCAACTTAGAAAGTTAAGTAAGGTTTCATATTATGCAGTGAATTCCCTTTCAGTCGTCAAATTCTGTCCATGCTTCTTCCGTTCTTGAAACCAGATGTCCTGAACTTCTTTAAGCAAACATCATTATATTAAGACCTAGTTTATTCATGGCACTGTCATCCTAATGATGACACGGTTATTGATGGCTTTCATAATGATAGGCTGGGTATGCATGCATCTATATTATCAAAAGCTCAACATTGCATCCTGTTCTTGATATTTCTTGCCTGAATATGTCCTTGCCTGAAAACTGATGGCCGTGTCTCTCTGTCTGTCTCTCTGTCTGTCTGTCTCTCTCTATAGGTTCTGATGTGAACAGCATGGACTCTGTGGACAGCGGCTGCACTATGAGTATTTGTGAGAACCAGGGCAACAACTCTACATCATCTACCTCAGAACTCGTCATCTGGGAGATCGAGGTCCCAAAGGTTAGTCAAAACAACCAGTGATGCCTAAAAGACACGACCTCTGTCTTCATTGATGCCGCCTTGATGTGTGTGTTTGCACCTGTGTGTGTGTGTGTGTGTGTGTGCATAACCTAATTCTTTTGTGCAATTGTGTTATGTAGTATTTCTCTGAATACAGGATACTCAAATACTCAAATGCACTTACAAATACAAGTTATTTTTCTATTTTGATCAAATGACCTCATCTGAGCTTTTTAACAATATGAATATTTAGTTTGAATATCAAATAAACATGAATGAGAACAAGAAACCTTTGTCATAAATAATGAACTCATTTCTAGCAGGTATGTTAGAAACATAAGAAAAGATTTCATAAATGTGTAGGGGGGTGGATTGCTGCAATTGTTGAAATACTGGGAACAATTTTTGTTCCTGAAGTTAGATTAAAACTTGCAAAACAAAGTTACCCAAAATGTGTAAAACAAAATGTATAAATCATGTTTTTACACATTGCCATATATGTGCAAAAACATTTTTGATGTCCAAAACGGCTTCTCCACCGTTGGCACATTGAGCAGCGTGTACGTATAGTTGATTTGCAGCACCAAGACTTTCATCTTGGCTTTGACTGGTTGGAAGCAGGGCACAGGGAGGAGACGCTTGATCTCTTCACTGATTATATCTCATATGAAATTGATGTTTTATATGAGATAGTTGATCAGTCTGATCAACTGTCACTATGCCTCGACATAGTGACAGTTTTAACAAATATGTAAATAACAGGTTTTATAAAAGTTACATGCATTGCCTGGCTCTGCCTATGCTGTAATTTAAAAAATAAATATGTATATACTAAATGGTTTGAATTGTACAAAAATAGAAATAAATTACCAAACGGGTGCTGCATGCTCCCCCAAAGTCTATTGACATGTTGGACCTCAGATTGTTAATCAGTTTTAGCTTAGGCAAAGCTCACTATCTCATTTCCTCTTAACCCATTTGCTTTCTTGTGTCAGCATCTTGTTGGACGATTGATTGGGAAACAAGGGAGATATGTCAGTTTCCTGAAGCAGAACTCTGGTGCAAAAATCTACATTTCCACTTTGCCTTACACACAAGATTTCCAAATCTGCCACATTGAAGGTGAGTGTGGAGAAAATTCCCTTCATCATTTTAGCCAGAATGAGTGCTAGAGGTGTTCTTTTGTCATAAAGTGGGAATTTTTAAGTTTGCCAAATGACATAAATAGGACTAACTTGGCTATCATTCTGCTTTCGGGTTGGTCTGGTTTAATGGTAATTGTGCTTAATTTCTCTCCAGGTTTGCAGCAACAGGTTGATAAGGCACTGTCATTTATTGGGAAGAAATTTAAAGATCTAGACTTGACAAATCTATACGCACCTCCACTCGCGTTGCCATCACTTCCCATAACCTCTTGGGTAAGACTGAGGTTCCTTACAGCTGCTGTTTTTGGAATACTTGCAGGAATTGAAAACTTTGGGAGTCGGTGTGGAGGAGTTGATATTGACTTCCCCTTTTACCATGACGTTTTTCCTCAGCTCCTTCTGCCTAGTGGAGTGACGGTTGAAGTGATTGTGGTCAACATTGTGTCAGCTGGCCACATCTTTGTCCAGCAGCACACCCATCCCACCTACCATGCTTTGCGGAGTCTCGACCAGCAGATGTTCCTTTGCTATTCCCAGCCGGGAACTCCAGCTCTGCCCTTACACTCTGAAGGTAAGCCTTGCAAAAAAGAAATGTATATATTTCCTTATTTTTGTTGAGAAATCAATGGCTTTTTGCATGTGTTCATTTCAAATGTTTGAACATAAAGATACAGCTCTCACGTGTGTCTTGAAATATTTTGTAAGCAAGTTTTTTTTTTAAATCTACAATTGATGGTCACAGTTTTTTACTGTAACAAATGGATGAACATCTGCTCAATTGACAGTAAGGTTTTGTTTTTGTGTTTCAGTGGGTGTTATCTGTGCAGCCCCAGCAGTGGACGGAGCCTGGTGGAGAGCTCAGGTCATCAGCTTCTATAAGGAAACTGATGAGGTGGAGATTAGGTATGTCGACTACGGGGGTTATGACAAAGTGAAGATCGATTCACTCCGACAAATCAGGCAAGTCACATGTCTTATTTATATCATTGAACTTAAAAAATAAAAACGTTACTTAAAATGCCTATTTGTTCATATGTGGAAGCAACCTGATATGCTAAAAATATTATCTTTAATCGGTGATGTAAGTAAAGAAGGAGCTGGATCTGGAAGGGTTTCGTGTTACTCATCTTGGAGGTGGGAGGTCATTTATATGAGTGATGGGTCATTCTAATAAGCAAAAGGAAAACCAAAGCATGAAGACAAAATTGAAGAACTAACAGCCCTGTACTCAACCTCATCACCCTCACTGATGCAGTCACCCAAAGGTGAGTCACCCGAGAGCTTTAGCAGATGATGGCTGTCAGTGCAGCAGCTGAGGTTGGTTGAATGGAGGATGAAGAAGAAGGGAGAGAAGAGAGGATATTTCCTTGTGGAGCTCCTCTGTTGCCCAACATTGAGTCACAGACACATCAACTGTGAAATACAGCCACATTTTCCTCCAATGGACTCAAATTCAGTAGTCAACCTGTCAGAGGTTGACTGCTAACAAAGCCATGACATTCATTCGATATGTACACGCCTGATTTTGAAAACTGTAAAAAATCTGACATTATCTTTCTCTCATTATTGTGGCATTTAGCTAATGGCCCTCATTCACTTTTGCAGCCATGACCTTCATCCTTGCCGAAGGTCATGGCTTGAACAATCCAACAGAAGAACATCACCTTCAAAAAGCAAGGAGCCTCCAACATTCCCAAACCAGACATCAGCCGTTCCAAACGTCTACCAGAGATCTTGTCCATGAATGTCACTAACAGGACGGGGGGGGGAGGGGTAAAAACCCCTCAGAGAAAAATGTTTTATCAACTTCACCCCTTATGGAAAGACTTTTATAAATAATATTAAAAGAGCATTTAATATTGAGTAGCTTTCAGCATGACTCCACTGTTATTTTTAAACATTAATCTTTAGCAATGAGCATCAAGTCTTGAGTTTAGAATAAATTAATACTGTTTGTTTCCAAAGTAAAAGTAACTTCCTAAATCAGAATATTGATACAGAGTAGTTGTTATTTATAGTTCATACAATAACTTTTACAAATGTTTGTTTTTACACAATATTATCATTAAATTTCTACATTTCCATACAAAAAAGTTTTTTATTTAGAACAGAGTGACTCTTCTTGTTAAGCCTCAGACATTTAAACCATAAATAGAGAATAAGGAATAACATTATCACATGACGTAAAGCTCAAAAAGGTTGATTTTACATAATACTGCCTCTTTAAAATATGTACTTTGAATCTGTAATAGGTAAAAATAGGACATGAGTCTATAAGGTTAAACTTCCAATCAATGACTGGACAGTACAGCAATCAATATTAATCTGAAACTATTTAAAGCAAACTGTCTATTTTTTAAAAATCATAATTTATCATGATACTGTCAGTGTATAGGCAGGTGATTTCTGTTCATGAATTGTATGCATTTATATTTTGTAATATTTGGGTCCTTCTTTCCAGATCGGATTTTGTGACACTACCCTTTCAAGGTACAGAAGTACTGCTCGACAACGTTGCTCCACTTCCAGGTTTGTGTTGATCATATTCTAAGTGTTTGACCATTAACTGTGCAGATGTGTGTATGTAGCAGGAGGCTTTCAATAGCTTCCTGCTTTTGGAGCAGTCTCCGGTCCACTTGCATTAATGCTGCATTCAAACTGCACCAGCGTTCCCTTCAACTGAATCGAAACCGGAGTTCACTTTTTTGGTTTGCATTGGATTTAATTTACTTTAAAGTTTGGTTCTCAACTGAACCAGACTTTCTAGACAAGTGAACGAGGGTTGACTTAAAGCAAACTAAACAGGGCTGGTGCGACAAACGCCTTTGGTTGGCTCATCGATGTTGTTGAAGTCCCAGATGCATTCGTAAAGCAGGGAGCACTTTTACAATGTTTTGATTTTTACTGTGCATTTTAAACACCAGCTCCTCTTGACTTAGTAGGAAACTGAAGGAGACTCCAAAATGACTTCACAATCCTCTGCATGTAAGTTGCAGTTATCAAATAGACAAAATTTAAACACAGAGCAGGTAGATGGCAGACCAGGACCATCCACTGTTTTTTTTTTTTTTTTCAGACTGTACTTCAACTCGGTCCTTTCAGCTGCAGATGTTTCCAGGAGGCTCTGTAGTCGTCAGGTGTCTGTGGCAGACTTGAGAACAGAATTTTTTAACACAAAATTTACATTAAAGAAATTCTAAAAATGATTAAAAGCTCTGTTCTTTTTAAGGTTTATTTGGCATTAGTGGCCTTTATTTGACAGTAATCTGACAGGGAAGGAGCAGAGAGAAGGGGGAGGGGACATGCAGCAAAGGAACAGGATGGGAGTTGAACTCAGGGCAGCTGCATTAATGCTACTGTTTACATCTGGAAATGTTGCACGTGCACACAATGCTGGAGGGCGAAAAGGATATTCTTCCTGCCATCCGTAGGCGTGTTGCCGTGGCCTCATTAAGTTAATGAAACCTGGAGGGTTTAGGTATTATTAATTTAGTGCAGTGGAGAACTGCAAAGGGAGAAATTATTCTTTAACAGAAGAACTGTTAAAGAATAATTCAAAACCACAGCTGCCACAACAACACTAATGGATCAGGATTCAACAACAACAAAACACTCAAACATTTCCCACACAAAGAACAGAGCATTCAGGCTGTTATAGTTTAGTTTTTTTTAGGCTTGATGTTTATTTTTTGATTATTAAGTGATCGGTGTGGTAGATTAGCTGATCTGACACAGCAGTGTCCTGCTGTACTGATGATCTGTCAGATGTGTGTGGCTCGCCTTTTTCTTTTAACCAAAACAAACTGGTTGTGGTGATTGTCACATGCTTCTTTTTAGAAATATTTAGAGAATTTTTGGACAAACTTAGAATTTTCTTAAGTCATGGAAAAGGCCCTAAAAACTTGCATGACACTTTGTAATTTTTCTGTGGCACAACCAGCTGCTGGGTCAGTTATTGTGATTTTAGCTCAGTGAATTGTCATTCATTTTTCAGGGGAGGATTGTTTCTCGACGGATGCTACGACCACATTGGAAGAAATGACCCGAGGTGTCGCCTTGCTATTACAGGTGGGTCGACCACGATTCCCAAAACCTTCTACAGCAGTGGTTCCCGAAGATTCCACCCCTGTTCTAGAGTAACAGAGTGACTGCATGACCGCTGGCTAATGTTTTCTTTCTCTAAAGGTCTCACACTACGACAACAACACTGGCCTCCAATTTGTCCACCTGTGGAACCTTGTTGGAGAAGAGGTTTGTCACAGACATGATCTTACCTGGTTGCTATTAGGGATGGACATATGAATTTTTGTTTTCTAAACTTATCAGGGTTGTAGCTTTTGCTCAGTAAAAGTGACACATTTTAAAATTAATAATTTTGAAATGGCATCTGTCTCTGTACAGACAATTCCCATGAAAAACAGCTGTATTTTAAGTGGGAATGGTGAACTTATAAGGTTCTTTTCCTGACATTTTGACCACTCAAATCGCTTTACACTAGGGTCACATTCACCCATTCAGACTCTCAAACACACATACATTTATACACAGATGCGCAGACCAGTAGACAATTTGGGGTTAAGTGCCTTGCCCAGAGGCACACTGACATGTGGCAGGAGGAAGCTGGAATCGACCCTACAACCTTCCGATCGCAAGACGACTACTCTACCATACAGCCACAGGAGCTATATTTTCATCAAATACAGCCAAAATTTACACATCAATTTAATAACACGACATTTTTAAATGTTAATTGAGGTCTTATGGAACCAATGACACATAAAATGGTTCAGATAAAAAAGTAATCATTCCAATCATGCTGTCAGTTTTGGCAGTCGGCAAACATCGTTAATGTTTTCTGTTTTAAATTATGAATCAGAATCACTACAATGATGATTGATATCATTGTTTCATTAATTAAAACGATTGTCTGTCGTTTCCTCTGTCATGTTCTCCTTAAGGTTTAAGTAAATGAAAATATGTTAGTGGCTGCAGCAAAGGCTGCCCACAGTTCTGTGTATCAAAATTCATGATGTTAGTTTGTTTTGTCTCTAAAACATAAACCATAAGACGACTGTTTGAAAAAGAGGAAAGGGAATAATTGTTGTTGTGCTTTATATTTAAATTCACTTTGTCTGGTACTTATTTTAGTAAAGTTAATTTCATTTGAATAAAATTGCTCTTTATGATGGGTGTTTATCTGCATTCTATATCTTAATTTAAAAAATGTTTTGTTAAAACTGTCTTGACAGTAAAAGATGAGAATCTGTGAAAAAGTCAAGCTTCTCCTATAGTCATCTATAGAAATGTCCTTCAGAGATATTTGATCAGAGCCAGGAGGAGGGTCTTAGCGCTGTCAATCATTCTCATATGTGCTGCTCAGATCCTTCCCCTTTTTCTCTGCTGCTTCCTCACAACAAATTCTGCCATAAATGCTCAGGCTCGTTAGCATGGCAACCAATGTCATGTCGGCGAATAAACAGTTTTCCTGAGATGGAACGTTGTCTCCACCATTAGGACATGAAGCAGCACGTATACAGGGATGATTGACGGAGCTAAGACCTTCCTCCTGGCTCTGGTTTTTGTCCGTAACAAAACACCAGAAGGAAGTGGAGGAGCTTGATCTGTTCACATTTTTAGCAAATGTGTAAAAAACATTTTTGTGAAAGTTGCATCCTGCAGCTTTAAGTGGAAAACCTCACAATAGTACAGATGTCAAATGTTTCTGCATTAGGTAGCACAAGGGTGACAGTAAAGAGACTGATTTCTGGGTGTTGAGTCTAAGCTCTTTTTTTAACTTTGTCTTTTTTGCAGGTCATTTCAGTGAACCGCACTCTGGCAGAGAGAGGTCTGACAGTTTGGGTGGATGGATTCTGAATTCACTGATTACCATAGAGGCTAACAAACTCACCCACAGAAAAACTGAAGGAAACTGAAGTTCCTTGTGGTCAGCAGAAGCTGACCCAGCTCATCCTAGGGATCCCAACTGTTCCAGGCACGTGACTGAAAAGATTGGTGTTGGGTTTTTTTGGTTTTTTTTTTTTTTTTTTTTTTGTGTGTCTGTTTGCGTTTTGTTGCCCCATTCTCTTTTCTCAAATCGGCTCTTCAACTCTTCAATTCAACTGACAGCAGAGACTTTATTCTCAGACATAGTCGACAGGGAAACAGCAGCTCTCTTAACACAGACTTCTGTCCTGGAAATACATAAAGAACAAATGTACATGTAATCTTTTTTTTTTAAACAGTGAATGTAATGTAACAATAAAGGCTCAAATTATATATCACCTCCCATTCTGCCCTAAACCACCTAGCTCCACAGACTGTGGCTCGTTATGCCGCATATGAGGACAGACGCATGCGACTGTATTTTTAATTTTTTGGTAGGTCAGTTTATTTTCTGTTGGACTGTGTGGTGGGGATGTTGGGTGACAGATGAGGCAGCTTTAGATGGACCATTCCTGTCTCAAAGTGAGACAGGAGGGTAACTTTCCTCTGCTCTTTCTATTCCCACATCTGGACTGCATGTTCTTAGAGGATCCCATGATTCCTGATTTAAAGAAAAAAAAAGCACTCCCAACTGGTTAATGAAAGATGGGTTGATTAAAATCTCACTTATAGAAGATTCATTTTGCTGACCTCTTTTCAGGAGGTGTACCATTGCCATCATGTGAACTACAGCAGGTTGTATTTGTCTGACAAACATACACATTGACTTTATTTTATAGTATCTTCCAATTTCAAGACCCTCCCCAACATCCTACAGGTACAGAAGTTTTAAATGTGTGAACAGCAAGTCTTCTGTTTGCTTTCATCTTAACCATTGTGAAAGTTGGAAAGGACTTCTGCTGCTGTGGCCCAGAAGTTGAAATCAAATTCATGTCCTTTGAGTTAACTGTAAATCTAAATAATTACAATTGTGTGGTTGAGCAGAGATCTTTTTTTTATTTTTTTCTAGATGGGAGGTTTGTTGTTCCACAAATCCTTGAGGTTTGTGGAGCAGTTTGAAGAACACATGGTATATTAGAGAAACACTACAATGTTTTTTGTTGTTTTTTTTTTATGCTGCTGTGTAATTTGGAGCTGCCGTCACGTTTCACTAAATTCAGTTTGTTGTAATGATGTCAAACCATTCAATAACTCATGTACTCGGTGAGCAATCATTTCCATATTGAGGTCTGTCATTAGAATCTGAATATCAGAGCAGGTAAGATGCAGTTTTGCTGGCTGTGGCATTCAGGTCTGATGCTCAACTGTCACCCAAAATGAATATTGCATCATAAAAATCAGTTTGTTGGAAAGTTATGTGAACTTATACAAACGTTAGATTTAGATGTTTGTTGTGACACCAGTTGAAAAAAATATCTTAAGACAGGAAATGTAGTCAGTTACCAGATTTCCGTTTGATATTCAGAAGAAGCCATATTTCACAGAATTCTTCCTGTTGTATCATTCCAGCTGGTGATGTGGCATTAGGTCTGTTACCGCAGAGTTAACCTGCTCTTGATCGCTGACAAAATCAAAAAGGCAGTTTAGGCAGCCGAGTAGAATGCGATAAGTGCAGCGTAAAGTTCCAAAGAGGAGAGTTTATTAGGACTCACTGAAATATTTCAATTTGCAGAGGAGAAAAACTCCCAGTTTGGATTGTGGCACAGATCCAGCCTCTGTGACAGACACTAATGTGTATGAACTTACCTGACAAACATCAAACTAAACAGGAAAATGTAATTGCTGTATTATTGAAGCCAGGAAGAACCACTACTCTGTCACTTTAACAAAACAACTGTCAACATATTCTTCCCAGTGAAACTTCTTTTCTCAGATAAGCACTTACAGTAGTAAATTATTTAGTATACATGGTGTCGGTGTGCTTTATTTTTAATACAATCACGTTAAAAGAATTGAAACTGATTTCCTGCCTTTTTGTTTTTACCCAAGAAAGGCCGAATGGGTTTCGTCATAGACTTGTTTTTCCAACTGACATGTAAAAGCTAATTCTAATACAATTCTCATACTTAATTGTTTTTGTTTTTTATACCTATTAATAACCTTAAGCTTGCCCAAGTAAAATTTAAGGAGAAAGAAAATCCAGCCATTGGATCAGGTTAGACATGCACCCCCTGTTCAGGCTGTGTATGTCTAACCTGGCTCCTCATTCTGGGCTCCATTCAGTCACAACATTTCTCAGTTGCTTGTGTTTTTGTCCCATAATGTCTGAAATTACCAGTTGAGTAGTTAAGTCAATAGCCCTTAAGACATTAATTTGAGTTTTGTCCATTTCTCTGTAAATAAGATTTGTAATTAGTTTTCTGCGACACTGGAAATTTAAGTGTGTGTGTGAGCGTGCGCGCGCGGTGGGGCGCAATGCGTTTGAGTCATTCTGTCCTTCCCTCATTCACCATTTTCAAAGAGTGGATTCCACAACAAGCTCCGATTTGAACATTTAAGTGGGTGTCAAACAGCTGTACCTGAAAGCATTTAGATAACATGTACATATCTGACCTTGTTAGATACGCTTTAATTTAATTGTACAGTTATAAAAGGGAAAAATAAAGATATGAAGAGTTTAAGGCACTTTATCTTTTTCTTTTAATAGTGGTGGGATTATTGGGTTCTGCTTTCATATTGGTGCTGTAGTAGTAAGTGGTTTACTGACGGGACATTTTGCCAGCAATGTAACGGGATTATATTTTGAAAGTCTGCTGTTACCGTTAAGACTCACTTACACTCTGCTTGCTTAGAAATAGTCATATTAAATAATGATGAAAGTTCATTTATTTCAGAAACTCTTCACTGAGATACATGCACATTGGAGTTTAAGCAGGTATTTCTGGTTTTAAGTCTTTAGTCATAAAGTCTTAATTTTAAGAAACAATCTAGACAGCTACAAGAAATACTTCCTGGCTAAAATCAGAAAATGCCCAATAAAGCTGACGGCTAAAATGAAGAAAGAAAAAAAGGTCATAGAATAGAAGCTGAAGGCTGAAACAGAAGAGAAAGGATTACATCATATAGCAAAAGGCTGAAATCTTAAATCAAAGATAGAAGAATGCTGAAGTATGCTTTTCACACTTTTTAGGTAAAAGTAATCCTTGGAGGAAAAATACTGTCCAACCCAGAACCTCAATCTCAGCATGAGAAAAAAAACACTTTATCCCTGCCTTTCTGGGAGTTTGTTTTTTTTTTTTTTTTTTTTGAATTTGTCCATAGGGGTCGTTAACTTTATGAAATGATGACAATGACTGAGCTGCCACTTTCGAAGGGCTGTCGTACCAAAATATTAGCTAGAGACATGTGTAATTCATGTATATTTACTCTTGTTCCTTTTCCAGTATGAAGGCAAACTAATGACCTTTCACCCATAATTTCTTCAACTATAATACCATTGTGGTCTATCTTCCTGCTTCCCCAAAGTCTGTCATGGGCGTCTGACCGTGGAGTCAACGGACCGGTCCCAATACTTTCACCTCCACCCGTTCCGCCCTTTCAACCTTCAAATACTGAAGGATTTGAGTGCATAGCAAGTCCCAATTCTTCACATCCGTCTTTCGTCCGTCACTCAAAGCCTTCAACTTGAACGAGGATTTGAAAGACACGAGGAGAACAAGGGTGGAAATGAGAGTTTTGGGGCTGGACTTTCTGCATTTCTGCTAAGAATGTAACCATGTAGTGATCTTCCAGTGAGTACAATAATTAATGACGGTTGAAACAAAGATTTCAAGAAGGAGCTAACTGGTCAAAATGAATCCTTATGTTTTCGTCCAGCTAATTTCTGGAAATCGGTCTCCTGCACTGTTTGAAGCTTTACACTGGGAGCTCAAGTCAAACGTCTCTGGAGTCATCCCAGAGCTGGACTTACCAAAACAGAATGTTCTCATTTCCTTCATCAATTTCCTGGAATGCTGTCTTGTTGAGGTGGAAAGACCCAGCTCACATTCACACTGGATAAAAGATGGTATATTTTTTTATGGACTTAGAAAATAAATCATTTACTGTCTGAGGTTCTGAAAATAGATTCTATAAAGCCTGACACCTTTTTCTATTTATTGTCTCTAAGTAAAACTTCCCTCCTCCTTCATTTCCCCTTTCTTATGTACTTTTATTTGTATTTTTATTGTTTTTTATATTTGTGCATAATATATTTTGTCAGGGTTGCCTCCAATGACTGTTGTATCTTTTTTTTCTACCTTGTGCAAATATCATTTCTATAACCTCAGTTTAGTTTTGTGTAGTTGTTTCTGTGATGTGGGGATTTGTTTGTGGCTTAGAATCTGCCAAAATGTCACTATACTTTGTACCATATTTATCAATATATGGCTGATAATCAATTCAATCTGGAGAGACTCAGACAGAGAAAAGCAGCAATAGGAGTTTTATTTGACCTGAAAGTAGGTTTCGTTGGCTCTCTGCAGAAGACGGAGAATCGCCGTCATCTTAAATACAGCGCTTGTGGCGAGGATCAGGGTCTTCTTACCCCGCTGCCCAAATACTGGCGGTGGAGGAGGGAAAGAGGGTGTAGACTGGGTAGATTGGGGTTGGAACATGTCTGGAAAGCAGGTGGATCCATGGATGAAGAGCCTCATGAAGGGATTCTTGATCTGTGATTGGCTGAGGTGGAGACAAGCAAACTTCTCCACACAAGTGAGGACTGAGAGTCTCCCATCTTGGATTTGCACCATGTCTTCATTGAAAAGACATTTGAAAGAACATTTTCAAATGAACTGAGAAAACCAGCCACATTTAAAAGCAACATATTAGAAATCAGGTAACATATTTTAAATGCTGTAAAGAAGTAAAAGGTGAGAAAAAAGTTCTTCCTTGGTGAAATGATTAACGTAGCAGAGCAGTTAAAGACATTTAAAATATTACGGAGTATGTGACAACTGAAAACCATATCGAATATAAAATGAAAAGAGCAGTGACTCTTAAAACTTAAGGATGCAAAAAAGAACAATGAATATTGTTCATCAGAATCAGTGACTAGGAAATTGAGAAGTTGAAATATGGCAAAAGGTGGAATGAAGACAAATGGTGTTTATATAAAATACAAACGTCAGTGTTGAAAATATTAGAGGAACAGAAGGGAAGAAATAATGATTATGATATTAAGGGTCGGTCATACTTACAATCTAAATGGTATTTTATGTTTACCTGTGAGGGAAAAAATAATGATAAATATGAAGGATGTGGAGGGAAAGAAATGTTGAACATTTATTGATGGATTGTGAAAGTTATGAGCCTGAAACGGAAAGATTGAGAAAAACGGTAAGAAGAACAGGACAAGAACGACATCTTAAGAAATATTGCTAAATGAAGAGAATATTTACACATTAAGAAAAGCTCTACTTATTTGTCTTCATACTCAAAATTGAAAACTAGAATCCAGAGCAGAGAGCAGTGGTGGGCAGTAGGTGGCGCTATGCACCTCGAAGCATTCGCCATAATAGGACAGAAGAAGAAGGAAAAATAAGGAGAAGAAGAAAAATAGAAGAACTGCTGTAACAGCTGAAAGGCTTCGTGCTTTAGTTTTAACAGTGGTGCTGGAAGTAAAGGATTTATCATTTGCCATCACAAGCAGACCCACTGAGGAGCTTCAGTCCGTCTCTCCTGGCTCAATAATCAGTGAGTGAATCCAAATAACTTCCACCACCGCTAGCATTGTTGCTGGGAGGGAATATTTATGTGACAGCGGCGATTTGCTGCTTTTAAAAACGTAAAACCACGAGAAGTGGTTTTCATTGTCATGTATGATTATGTCAACAGCTTCGGCCTCCTATGCAACAGGTTAGTGGCGCCGGCTAGCTAACCTACAGAGGTTAGCAGCTGGAGCTCAGTGAGGTGCTGTAAAGCCTTGACTATTGAAAGGCTGCTGGCACCGATTGAGAATCCAGAGCAGGCTCATGTTGTGTGGAGTGGCTGATGTCGGATATTTGACGCTTTGTCTAGTTGGAACATCATCTTCTACTGTTTGGTTTTGTGAATAAAAGTTTGAAACCTCCAGCCTCTTACCGCTAACATGAATTCTCCCAGTTTGTAAAAACAAATTTAATCTGGACAGGAGAGAGCATCCCAATATACTGTTATAATGAGCAATACCATTGAGGAAGGGAGAGAATAAAGAAGCCTTTAGGTCATAGGTCAATAAATGCATAACAATTAATTTGCACATTTTAGATATCAACTTGTAAAACAATTTTCATCTTCTACATTTTCAATAAAATCCAGTGACGGTTGCAGTAACTTGCAAAGGGCAGCAAAAATGTTTGTTGAAGCAACAGCTGTTAGAGGCTCAGACAGACATTAGACTTTTATTATTATTATTATTATTTCAATATCAGATGGCCTGTCAGTGTATCAGTGGTAGGTCTTTTGTCCAATGAATATTATTTATGTGCTGGCTTCAGCAAACCAAACGTATGCGTATGTTTTTTCATAAAAGTATGAGTACAGCATATGAATTGCCCCTGTTGGTGAAAATGATCTTTGTGAAGTGTCTTTGTAGTGAGCACCATTTCTCTCTGTTGTCTCTTCAGGTGATGACTCTCTTCTCTCCCAGTCCTTGAAATCTGAAGCACAACTCACAACCTCCTTACAAGTACTAAGATGGACATTTAATTTTAAAGAGCAAAATGACCGTCACAGTCTTTTAGTGGAAACCGATAAGGAATGCTGGAAAATCATGGAAGATTAAATGCAACCAATCAGTTTTCTTTTTCCTTGTAAATTTGATCTTTTAAATCATAATTAAATCATTTTCTTTTCAAGCAACTTCCGCTTGGGGATTGATAAAGCGTATTCTGATTCCGATTGGGTTGGCAGCACCTGAGACAGCCACTCTCAAAGGATGACCAGCCTGTTCAGGCGGAGCAACAGCAACAAAGGCTCTGAAAGCAGTGGAGGCAGAGATGGGGGCGGCACTACTAGCGGGCAGCTCAACAACAGCAGGCCGAACCGGCCAGTCAAGCACCTGGAGTTCAATCAGGCCATGGAAGACTTCAAGACCATGTTTCCCTCCATGGACTATGAGGTGATTGAGTGTGTTCTGCGTTCCAACAAAGGAGCTGTGGACGCCACTATTGACCAGCTGCTTCAAATGAGCATTGAAGGACAACACTCAGATGATACCTCAGACTCAGATGACAGCATCCCAGCAGAGGTCAGTAAACTGTGTTGATAGTTTGCGCATGAGCAAATTACTCAAATTTATATCATGTTAATCTAAATGTAGTTTTTCGCTGGTAGGTGAGATCTACACCCTCCGATGGCGGCACAGTTTCAGTTTCTCTGATATCCCGCGAAGGCACCAAATTAATTTATCAGCTGGAGTAAAGGGATGAATATCATATCATTATATTCCAGGATTAATCTTGCATGGGTTTTGATTTAAGAAATCATCAGCATATGCTAAAAGTTTGTGAGGAATACCTTGATGTGTTATTGGTAATGTATCGCAACTCAGTCATTTATGGGCAGCTACAGGTTTTAGAACCAGGACAAAAATAAAAGGAGCAATAGCATCTCCTTGATATCTGCCTTTCTATAAGCAAAAGGGTTTTGATATATGGAGTAACTGGTGCCATTGGTTGTTTGTACAGAATCTGCAGTTTGCAGTTGTGTGAAGTGTATCTTTGCCGTTGTTGCCAAATTTGTCCATTAATTCTCCTTATAATCCGCTAATAACTGCAGGCATTTTGTCTTGGCATTAGCTTTCTTAGGATCGGTTTAGTATAATTTATTTATTTATGCATATTCCAGGATTAATCTTGCATGGGTTTTGACTTAAGAAACTGAGCTCAACTATCTAAACAATAAAGTTTAATCACAGTTAATGTATGATTTCATGGATGTTTTGTGTCCATTTCAACAGCATTATAGCTGCAGCATGCAGCTTTTACAGAAATGTTTATTTCCGTAAATGTTAAAACTTTCACCATGTTGTGACGGTATTGTGTGAGACAGATAATCTGTAAAAAAATTTAAATAAAAAATGCATCGCTCCCAGTCAAAAACAACCAGAGCCAGGAAAAGTACCTTAGCACTGTCAATCATGTTTGTGTACGTTCTGCTCAAGGGCCGAACAGACGTAGATAGCAGAATAGTGGAAATAAAAGTAGTGTTCATTTTTTAAATTTGTTTGATAAAATAGATTTTTAAGATTAGAAAGTTGGCCTTGTATTTGTTTTTCAGATTCTGGAGCAGACCCAGGAACCCGACAGCTCAGATGAAGAACCACCTCCAGTTTACTCTCCACCAAAATCCAACATCTACTCTGACTGGAAGCACCCAGAGACACACAAAGTGTCTCCTCCACAGTAAGAACTTGGGACTGCTTCTGCACCTTTACAGAATACACTTTAAAACTAGGACCAATATGTGTTCTACTGAACACAGGGACTCAATATATAAAAACAGATTTGCACTAATGTGGAAGAAAGCCAAATAAGAAAACAAAATTCAGTGAGAAAATGAGATTTTTTTTGTACCTTCTTTTTTTATTCACTACTTGTATTTCAAGAAATGTGCAAAAAAGAAATCTAGAAACCTTACAGACTATGAAACCAATAACTAATAATTTAACCCCCCCACCTTCTTGAACTCTAACAAAATTGGTGTCAAATGTTTGTGCAGTAAGGATTTTTGTTTGCGCTGCTATAATTTTAAAGATATTACTAAAAGAGTTTCCAGGGATCATTCAAAGTAAAAGCGATGCAAACGAAAATTCTTGCTGGACAAACCAGGACAAATGTGTTAGATTTTGTAACTGTGACCAGCTGTGGTTGATTTCTTATGACCTATGGAAACTTTTTTTATTAGGATTTTACTGCACATACAAGCACAATCCTAACACAAACATTGACACCAATTATGTTAAAGTTGGGTTAAAAGTGGGGAGTCTGGTTGACCTTTTCACCTTTAAACTTTGATTCGTACCTTCAAATAGTTCGGCAAGCTGATAGCTCTAAGAGAACAAAATGTCGTCATGTGTCTACATCGATGGGAAGTGATTTTTCCACTTCACATGGCTGAATGAATGAATTTATTGTTACTTAACTGGCTGGCAGTGAGCATCAGTTCATCAATGTCAACCCTGGGGAATCGACAACTCGAAGATTCATTCAGCAGAATTCTGAATAAGCCACTATTTGGTGTACAAATACTCATTGGTTCTGAATTCTGTTGGTGTTTTTATTGGGAAGCATCCTGTAGACCATGGTGTGGATGAACATTTTGGGTTTGTTGCCTATAATGTGTCTGGGCTCAGAGGTTGTGCAGGGAAAACAGTGCATGGATGAACTGAAAGAGTCTAGCATCATGTAGTTGCATATGAACAGCTGACTTCCAGTTACAAAAAAGGTTTAGAGATAATTCAAAGCAAATTGGAAAGGTTAAGGCTCCACACTTTCTCCAGCTGTTCAAGATAACTTTTCTTTTCTCTTCACTACCAAGCAAAATTGCTGGGGTATTGTTGTCTCCAGAGTTGATTCTTAATTGAATTGCATCATTTTAACACTTGCACTCATTTAGCGTTGAATTTTAATTTGTTATTTTTTTGGTTGAGGCAGTCATGACAACCTGCTGCAAAGCAAGCAGTCCATAATCTCAGGGAGGGTCAGGAATAAAAAGTAAATAAGTCTGTATCCAAAAACCACCCCCAGAAGTTCAGAGAGTGATTTATGAAATCCTCCTTAAAAGATTATCATCAGTGTCTGGCAGCCTCAAAGACGTTCACTTTTCAATTCACAACCTGAACTTTGTCAAGTTTTAATTGTGTCACAAAAGAGGATAAGCCGATGATCAATGCTAATAATTTGTTGGTCCCAGATCAGAGACCCATGTGGCAGCAGACGACCAGCAAGTTCGGATCTACAGGAACTGGAACCCGCCGCTGCTCGGAAACCTTCCAGAGGACTTTTTGAGGATTTGGCCTCGGCAATCAAACAGTGTGAAGGTACTTTATTTTCTTCAGAAATTACTTACAAACAACTCAAACTTTTGATGAATGAAAAATGTTTTGCAAAAGTGATGTATAATGTTTTTCTGTTGTTCTTTTGTTTTGGGAATTTTTACCCTGTTGGCTTTCTTTTCTCCTGAAATCTACATTAAATGAACATTTTAATGACTTTACTTTAAAGTGGACATATCATGCTTTTAAATCCTTCCTTTTCACATGTGAGTCACTCACTTATCATAGTCTATATAAAGTAGAACTTCTTGGATGAGGGGAAAAAAATGGCAGAATAGAGGAAATTGAAAAGACTAGAAGATATAACCCCCCAAAATATAAAGACATAAACACAGCATTGGGAGAGAATAATTACATTTTTGCACTACTAGACACTCAAAATACACAAAAACATATAAAAAGTGAATTTTGCATGATATGTCCTCGTTAAAGTCTTACTGCACTTTTTAACCAATCTTGTTATTTTGCTGATGTAGTTTAAGATGTGTTGTAGCTAGGCCTGTCACGATAAGAGATTTTGCTGGCCGATTAATTGTCTCAAAAAATTATTGCGATAAACGATAATATTGTTTGAAGACCTTTTCACAGTGATTTAATGGAAATTACGTAATTACTGTAGATCGTTGTGTGTGACTGTAGATCGTTGTGTGTTACTGTAGATCATTGTGTGTGACTAGATCATCGTGTGTTACTGTAGATCGTTGTGTGTGACTGTAGATCGTTGTGTGTTACTGTAGATCGTTGTGTGTGACTGTAGATCGTTGTGTGTTACTGTAGATCTTTGTGTGTTACTGTAGATCGTTGTGTGTGACTAGATCATCGTGTGTTACTGTAGATCGTTGTGTGTGACTGTAGATCTTTGTGTGTTACTGTAGATCATTGTGTGTGACTGTAGATCGTTGTGTGTTACTGTAGATCGTTGTGTGTTACTGTAGATCGTTGTGTGTTACTGTAGATCTTTGTGTGTTACTGTAGATCGTTGTGTGTGACTGTAGATCGTTGTGTGTTACTGTAGATCGTTGTGTGTGACTGTAGATCATTGTGTGTGACTGTAGATCGTTGTGTGTTACTGTAGATTGTTGCGTGTGACTGTAGATTGTTGCGTGTGACTGTAGATCGTTGTGTGTGACTGTAGATCGTTGTGTGTGACTGTAGATCGTTGTGTGTGACTGTAGATCATTGTGTGTTACTGTAGATCGTTGTGTGTGACTGTAGATCGTTGTGTGTTACTGTAGATCGTTGTGTGTGACTGTAGATCGTTGTGTGTTACTGTAGATCGTTGTGTGTTACTGTAGATCGTTGTGTGTGACTAGATCGTCGTGTGTGACTGTAGATCTTTGTGTGACTGTAGATCTTTGTGTGTGACTGTAGATCGTTGTGTGTGACTGTAGATTGTTGTGTGTGACTGTAGATAGTTGTGTTACTGTAGATCGTTGTGTGTGACTGTAGATCGTTGTGTGTGACTGTAGATCGTTGTGTGTGACTGTAGATCGTTGTGTGTGACTGTAGATCGTTGTGTGTTACTGTAGATCGTTGTGTGTGACTGTAGATCGTTGTGTGTTACTGTAGATCGTTGTGTGTTACTGTAGATCGTTGTGTGTGACTGTAGATCGTTGTGTGTGACTGTAGATCATTGTGTTACTGTAAATCTTTGTGTGTGACTGTAGATCGTTGTGTGTTACTGTAGATCGTTGTGTGTGACTGTAGATCGTTGTGTGTTACTGTAGATCTTTGTGTGTGACTGTAGATCGTTGTGTGTTACTGTAGATCGTTGTGTGTGACTGTAGATCGTTGTGTGTTACTGTAGATTGTTGTGTGTGACTGTAGATCGTTGTGTTACTGTAGATCGTTGTGTGTGACTGTAGATCGTTGTGTGTGACTGTAGATCGTTGTGTGTGACTGTAGATCGTTGTGTGTGACTGTAGATCGTTGTGTGTTACTGTAGATCGTTGCGTGTGACTGTAGATCGTTGTGTGTTACTGTAGATCGTTGTGTGTGACTGTAGATCGTTGTGTGTGACTGTAGATCGTTGTGTGTGACTGTAGATCATTGTGTTACTGTAAATCTTTGTGTGTGACTGTAGATCGTTGTGTGTTACTGTAGATTGTTGCGTGTGACTGTAGATTGTTGCGTGTGACTGTAGATTGTTGCATGTGACTGTAGATTGTTGCCCAGACTGGGAGCTGAACGCAGCCTGTTGAATGTGACCGGGAGCCAATCAGAAAGTGCGGATTCCCCTCCTGCTTTCTGAGGGGAATCATGGAGGGGATCCCAAACAAATATCCTTCCAAATATTTCTAAATTAACACACAAAATCTGATATATTGATTGCAGAGAACCACAAAAACAACCCTGGATGGACTGATTAGTGTGAAAAGATGTTCAATATTATATTATTTTAAGTAACAGTTATTGAATGCTGAAACACCAATTTATTGATATTTTAACCTTTTAATAGTTTTTATCCAGACGTTCTGGCCCAACAGGCCCTTTAAGAACGTTCCGGTTTTTGATCTGGACCCAAATGGAAATGAGTTTCATGTCCCTGATATTCGGGATAAAACAAGAGAATCCTGTTTTGAATGTAAACAAGAATGAAGATATTTGGAGGTGGAATGATGTCACAGCACCAGCAAAGATTCTGTGATGTCACTGGCGATGTAGTCTGTGATGTCATCAACTGCAGAATCGTATGTAACACAATTCTGCATATTTGTCATTGCTTGCAATACCCCTGACCAGTTCAGACGCCCGCAAAGCACTTTCCAATCGACCGTTCACTTCGTTTCGAAATCGACAACTTTAGTGATTTTACTGAAATAAAAATGTCTCAAAATACAGAAAGACACCAGAACCGCAGACTGGCCCACCTGGAGGAGGAGCTGGAAGAAACCAAATTCCAGCTGCAGAAACAAACGGAGCTCAAAGTGGGTTTTTTCAACAAGGCCCACAGAGCAACTGAGGAGTTGAAGAGACTCCAGAGATACACTGACACTGAAACACTGAAAGTTGTTGCTATTGCTTGTCAAGCTCACTTCAGTGTGGAAGACCTGGATAAAGAGGAGCTGCAACAAAGATATGAAGATTTAAAGGTGTCTCAGTTCCACATCCAGGACGCACTGCTGGCAGAAATGCATGATGAGAAGCAGCGAAATAAAGTCCTGGAAGACAAGCTGGATGACCTGAAGGCTTCGTATGAGGAGCTGCGCCGTAAATACGAAGCAGACGTTGGTGATGAGGCAAAGCTACATGAGGAACAGAGCCTGGAGAAGCTCAGAGTGGAGAAAGACAAGATCATACATGACATGACCCAAAAGATCGACCTCCTGCAAGAAAATGAAAAACGTTTACAAGCCGAACTTGAGGAGAGCAAACGTGGAACAAACGAACAATCAAAATTAATAAACGAGTTAAAGCAGCAGGCGGAGATTTACCAAGACAAAATAAAGAAAGAGGAAGCTGCACTTTACAAAGAAAGAAAAGAAAATGTCATCCTTGGATTAAACTACACTGTATTGATTGAACAATTTGAAAAGCTGGAGACACAGAAAGAAACTCTGATGGAGAAATCAGAGGAGGACACGGCGCTGGTGGAGAAAATAAGAAAGGAGTACGCCATCCTCCAATGCAAAGCAAACCAAGACACCAAATTCCTGAAGAACAATGCAAAGATTTTAAAGAAAGAATTGGATGAGAGCAAAACATTTTACAACAAGCTCAAACTTAAATTTAACATGAATATTACTGGATTAAAGGAGGAGATGGAAAGATGCAAAGAGAAAGTACAACAAGAGAAAGACGCCTCATTACAGTCAGCGACTGAGAAGCAGCAGCTCATCGACAGCCTGCGACAGGAAAACGCCGTCCTGGAGGAAAACACACGGCGAGAAATCCAGGTCCTCCAGGACAAGGACAGAAATGCACAGGATGAACTGGAGACGCTCAGAGTTTTGTTCAAGGAGCTGCAGTGTTCTTACATTCATGATGTTAATATGTTGAAGACACAGGCAGAGCAGTTCCAGGAAGAAATAAGCAGAATGAAGCAAGAATTGGAGACAACCAGAGATAAACTGCAGCCAGACACTGAGGAAGATCAACATGAAGATCTGCAAACTACAGTTTCACAACAGGAGGAGGAAAAGAACCGGGTCGACCCGATTATGAATTCTAGTCATCATATTTCCTCGGAGGAGGATTTAGCAAGGGAACCAATACCAGGATGTTCAGCTGAACTGGAATCCATACAAGACGACATCGATGAGGAAACCATCCAGCAGGATTTAGAGACTCCAGATATGAACAGCAAACAAGAAGGAAAGAAGAAAAAACAGAAGACTTCCATTTTGAAAAAAATTCGAAACATCTTTAGATTGAAGAAGACAAAAAAAACAACACAGGAGTGAATTCAATAAAAAACGCGGCCTGTGGCGATTCGGCCTGTTATGATAACAGATTTTACTGAGCGATTTAATCGTCTCAAAAAATTATCGCGATAAACTATAATATTGTTTGAAGATCTTTTCACACTGATTTAATGGAAATTACGTAATGATACATGCGATTTCCTGCCACAGATAGATACACTTTACTTTCAAAACAACACAGAGAGGAATCCTGAACAGCTAACACGGTGCAACCCGAAGTCCAGCAGACATCGGAGATGATATGTGGAAACATGAATGTTTATTCAACATTTCATGCAAAGAAAATATAAATAACTAGGGGAAGAGTTGGAGCGAAATTTTTACCAGAAAACCCGGTAACTTTTCTGCTGTTCTTCGTTAAGGTGACATAAAATGGTTCTAATGATTTTCATTCAGTCAGACTGACACTAGCTACATGCATTGCTGGTAGATTGTAGTAAGGAATTGATTAATGCCTGGTTTCAATATTAGTGAACTGGACTTATTATTTTGTGTCCATTGTTGGACACAACATGGTTCGATCGAACCGTTATAGCGAGGATTTCTGTCGGTTGATGTGTCTCTCAGGTTTTGATAGTGGGCCGACAATCGGCGACATCAGATGGTGCAGTGCGTGCTGGGCATTACGCTAAGGAAGTAAGGAAGGGAGGGTCAGTGGAGAGCACCGGAGTTTCATTCAGTGTCATCAACAGTAAGAGAAAAAGGCAGGAAGAAACGTCTTTGCACCACATTGTTCTCATTTTCTCATGTTAAAAAACAACATTCTTCTTCTCTCATTTCCTCCCTTTCTTACATAATTTATATATTACTTAATATTCATACAATTTCACACATACATGCACATTTTCACGTCCCCTCCATGGCTGCCACCTTATCGTGGTGGGGGTTTTTGAGTGTCCCAGTGATCCTAGGAGTTCTGCTGTCGGGGCTTCATGCCTCTGGTTGGGCCACCCCATGCAGACGGGTCCAAGGTGAGGAACCAGACCAAGTGCAGCCCAAAGATCCTTATGATGAATACGACCTTTGGAAACAGGGGTCGTATTCGCCCAAACATGGGGTCCCACTCTGGAGAGGCCTGGGGGCGGGGCATGTGGGCGAGAGCCTGGTGGCCCATGGAGCCCGACTGGGCCTTAACCCATGGAGCCCAACCGGGCCTTAACCCATGGAGCCCAACCGGGCCTTAACCCATGGAGCCCAACCGGGCTTTAACCCATGGAGCCCAACCGGGCTTTAACCCATGGAGCCCGACCGGGTTTAACCCATGGATCCAGGTCGGGCTCAGCCCAATGAGAGCCAATCTGTTCACCACCTGTGGGGTGAGATTGAGAGGTTCCGGCTAGAAATAGTCAGACTAACTTCAGTGGGCGGTTCTGTTTCTGGAGCCAGTCTCCTTGAAAGGGGTTGGATGTTCTCCACTCTGGGGTTGCCCCTTGTGAGAGGCGCTGGGCAGGAGGGGCATATTTGTTGCCTCCCATCTTGTTCACCCCAACGCACCAAGGGGATAGCCTCTCCCTCTACATATGGGTTTGGGTCGGGTTCTGGCTACTAGTTCAGATTACTCACTGTCCTTGGAGAATCTCTGAAGAAGAAACTGAGCACAACTTCCTTCTTCACTAAACATAAACAAAAATGGAGGCCTCAGATTTTAGCAGTTGTAGAATTTCTTTTTGCCTTTGGAGATTTAGAAATCAGTAGTTATAGATTATAGATTTAGTTTCTTACTTTTTCCATGATGTTTACATCTATTTATTATAAATGTTGTTCCCCACTGATTTTTTCTTTACGCAAAATAAAATAAAATGTTTGACTGAACCAGTAAAATTAACTTTCCAAAGAACAGATATTGAAAAAAGTTCACATGAGATTATCATATATGCTACATGTGTCAAACTGAAGGCCCGAGGGCCAAATCTGGCCCGCCTCAGCTTTTTATGTGGCCCTCTGGACTCCAAATTATAGCAATAGGCCCGTCCAGCTTATCTGCGATTAATTGACTTATCGTTTATCTCGACAGGCCTAGTTGTAGCTTAGTAATCAGAATTGAAGAATGGATTTAGAAGTTTCTCTATCTTAAATTGTACTATTTTTATGTCTCCTGGATGACTTAAACTCAATGCTCATGGTAGAAAAACATTGCTCAAAATAATGGTTTTAATTTTAGTCAGTCGCACTTTATTTGAAGGAGTGTGTATAAAACTGAAACAACACTGTCATTAACATCTTATAACACCTATTATGACTAAGAAGGAGTCTTCTTAAATGTTTACAACTGTTGTCATGAACTATCATTCGGTCAATTATGACTTTTAATGTAAAGTTGCACTAAATGTTGCATTAAATGCTTATTAAAAGTGTCAACTTTGCATTTTTTCTGCAAATAATGACATTTTAAATTAAAAATTCTATTAAAACTTGCATTGAAAGTCCAATAAAAGTGTCAACTTTGCATTAAAAGTGTCATTATTTACTGAATGACACTTCATGTCAAGAGTCATAAACATTAATGAAGACTCATTCATGTTCATAACAAGTGTTATGTGATGTTTATGACAGTTTTGTGCCAGGCTTATGCACACCTCTTCAAATAAAATGTTACCTTTTAGTCCCACCAAACTCTTTTCTTTTTGGAAAACATTGTTAAGATTGCTCTATCCTTCAAACTGAACTGGTATTTCTGACACATTATGCCAGATAAACTTGTCTTTATTTCAGCAGTACTCACAAAGCAGTCCATCTCAGCCCTCCTCAACCTCTTCGATGTCTGTGTCCTCAACAAATCAAAGGACAGCCCAGGCCGCTTCTGTGTTTGGAGCTACTTTGACTGCTGAGGGTCCTAATATGACAACGGGATTACAAGAGAACACGTTGATGCAGTATTTGGAAGACGAGCGCATAGCCCTGTTTCTGCAGAACGAGGAGTTTTTGAAAGAGCTGAAGCGTAACCATGAGTTCCTCATTGCCTTAGAGAGAGGTATCACTTACTGTTGTCTATGACTGAGAAAATCTTCATAAAATGTTTGTATTTTTGAAAAGCTAACTTGAAAGGAGTTTTAAATGCCTCTGGTTTGTATTCTGTCTTTTATGATTAATGTAAACGTGCAGAGCAGAATGAGCATGGTATATAGGTCTGGTTAATAAAGGTGGGCGATTTTTCACTACACTTAACAGTGAAAGTTGTAACACAGGGGCATTTGCCCCCGTACAACTTTATTTGGAAGTTGAGTTAATATATATTGGAATATTATATGAGGGTATTCAGTACATTAATTGTCTCATCTCTGTCTCTCTTTATTTCAGATGGGTTGAAGTATGGAATAAAGTCCAGCCATTTATCAAGCCTGGACACTTCCACAGGTAGCAGTCAGTCAATGTACAGATCACAGGAATGAACCAACGTTGTTCATTCCTGGTTCCAGATATGCTCATGTATTAACACTAATACAAAGTTTTGTACAAACATCATACTGTGAACAAATGTGAACTATTTCACATGTAGGTTTGTAGTTCCACATTGCAGTATGGGTCCTTTGTGTGCAGGGGAGAGATACTCAGCAGATTCGCAGGACCCTCCCTCAGATGACGCACTATTCAGAGACAAACTCAAGCACATGGGTAAATGTAAGTTCGACTTACGACTGTTAAACAACTGTATTGACCGTGGAAGCATTTCTTTGTGTTTACCATATCTACCTTTTGCAACTTCAGCAACAAGAAAGAAGCTCTTTGAAATTGCCAGAACATTTTCTGAAAGGACGAAAAGGAGAAAGTCTAAAAGAAAGACTCTAACACACTTATATCCTTCCTGTGACGTCACATGGTCCTGATAGAAAGTTGGTGGTTTTATTCTGGGGTGGGAATCTGAGAGAAAATAGTCGACATAGATTTATCAAAGTGTCACTGACATGACATGGGAGCGATGCTTAAATTGTTTGTTACATCAGTCACTTATAATTATTTTTTTAGAAATAAAATGCTGATTGAATGCAGGCCTGTTTTAAAAATGTTTTTGAACTTAGCCCTGCGATGAGCTAGCTGGATGACTCCTTTACAGGATGTGATGTAATGAGGGTAATATCCAGTGTGCCGCCATGTTAGCAGGCTGTTTGTTTTTCTTAATTATTCCCGTGAACACATAAGTTTGTTCTCCTTCCAAAAAGATCTAAATCTTCAAGATCAATGGATGAACAGACGGCTCTGCCCTCTGTAGCGATCATTTCACTTCACACAAGAGTTTCAAACCTGTTAAAGATATATATAAATATTTAAAAAATGATCATAATACTGACAATACTGAGGCAGTACTTGTTCGTAAACGCAGCGCCAACTTATTATCATTGAATAGTAAAAATACGTTATGCTACCACATTGTCATTAGTGAAAGGGAAACTTCATAACGACCCAAAAGCGTTGCATGCAGGCGAAAGGATAAATGAGGAGGAAACAACTCAGCATGAGGCAGAGCAAGACGAACAGACACTGTAGGGAAAATAAAACCGACGTCTGCAACAGATACCAGGCGAAGACAGGCTGCGAGTTTTCAGTCATTTTATTGGCCTAATTGCAAATAGTTTCAGTTAAATGTTAGTTTTGTTTCCTTGTTTTTTTTGTGTTTGTGTGTTTTTTTTTAACTAAACTTGTGTTCAGATTGGGCACAGCCGACTCCACAGCAAATCTCCTGGAAGATATCGAGGCAAACCCTAGCGGTAAGCATTGCCAGTCTTCTCAGTTTTGCCTTTGTACTTTGCTGGTTTTCTACCTTTACTTATGCAGACATCTCAGATTAAAATAAAAGGATCAGACCTAAAACTTTTTCCATCTTTCTGTTCTACATTTTCAGCATTTTTATCAGGTTTTAAATATTTCTTTAAAGTGCTTTAGAAATAATGTGCTATGATATGGTACATTTGTTTAGCATGTACTGTGTCCTTTGGACAACTCCTGTCCAATTGTGGGCCTTTTGTCACAGTCCACAGACAAACAATGATCAAGTAAAAAAAAAAAGTAACACTTTATTTGAAGTGGTCTGCATAAGACTGATATGGCACTGTCCTAAATATGACATAAGGCATGTTATGAACATGAAGGCGTCTTCATGAATGTTTATGACTGTTATGAAGTGTCATTCAGTGAATAATAACCCTTTTAATGGAAAGTTGCTTTAAAAGTCCATTAATAGTGCCAACTTTGAATTTTTCTATTAAATAATGACACTTTAGTGCAAAGATGGCACTATTAATGGACTTTTAAGGCAACTTTGCAGTAAAAGTGTAATTATTTACCGAATAATACATAATACGATACATAAAAGTCATAAATATTCATAAAGACTCCTTCATAACGGGTGTTATGTTTATGACAGTGTCATGTCAGTCTTATGCACACTTCTTTAAAAAAAAGAAAACACTTGAAATGTTCACTGTTGCTTTTATCTTTGTTCAGAGGAAGATGGTAAGCCAAGAAGAGGTATCGTTCAGGAAGACAAACAACTTGACAAGCCAATATGATGGTAATCCACTTTTTTTTATCCAACATTTTTGAAAAGTCAACTTTGGGTAGTTATAAAGACTGCAAATCAGTGATGGCAAAAAAAGTATGAGCTATCATATTGAAAACCACTGATGGTTCTCTACACAGAACTAAAAACTTTTTCCCCACTACTTTGTTGATTTAAACATCCGTAAGTCAACTTGTGAGATTGTGACCTCTTAGTTTCATGTGATTTGCTGTCCCGTCTTCTTTGTCTTTTGCTGAAAGGGTTTGTTTTAGTTGCACTCTCAACTCCAATAGCAAAACTCAGTGTTCTCCACTCTCAAACATCCTAATAAGATATTTTGTTTTCCTTTTTATTTAGTTCTCCCAATTGTCTGGATAGACACAGTCAACAGGCGAAGTGATGGATCTGTCGGTGAATACCTTCCACTTCTTGATGCCCTTTTCTTTGTCACACAGTCAGGGTGATGCTGGATACAACCTTAATCTGTTAGCTACAGTTAGGGCCAGAAATATTTGGACAGTAACACAATATTTGTGAGTTGGGCTCTGCATGCCACCGCATTGGATTTGAAATGAAACCTCTACAACAGAATTCAAGTGCAGATTGTAACGTTTAATTTAAAGGGTTGAACAAAAATATGTGATAGAAAATGTAGGAATTGTACACATTTGTTTACAAACACTCCACATTTTAGGAGCTCAAAAGTAATTGGACATATAAACATAATCGAAACAAAGAAGTTTTTTCTCAATATTTTGTTGCGAATCCTTTGGAGGCAATCACTGCCTTAAGTCTGGAACCCATGGACATCACCAAACGCTGGGTTTCCTCCTTCTTAATGCTTTGCCAGGCCTTTACAGCCGCAGCCTTCAGGTCTTGCTTGTTAGTGGGTCTTTCCGTCTGAAGTCTGGATTTGAGCAAGTGAAATGCATGCTCAATTGGGTTAAGATCTGGTGATTGACTTGGCCATTGCAGAATATTCCACCTTTTTGCTCTCATGAACTCCTGGGTAGCTTTGGCTGTATGCTTGGGGTCATTATCCATCTGTACTGTGAAGCGCCGTCCGATCAACTTTGCAGCATTTGGCTGAATCTGGGCTGACAGTATATCCCGGTACACTTCAGAATTCATCCGGCTACTCTTGTCTGCTGTTATGTCATCAATAAACACAAGTGACTCAGTGCCATTGATAGCCATGCATGCCCATGCCATCACGTTGCCTCCACCATGTTTTACAGAGGATGTGGTGTGCCGTGGATCATGTGCCGTTCCCTTTCTTCTCCAAACTTTTTTCTTCCCATCATTCTGGTACAGGTTGATCTTTGTCTCATCTGTCCATAGAATACTTTTTCAGAACTGGGCTGGCTTCTTGAGGTGTTTTTGGGCAAATTTAACTCTGGCCTGTCTACTTTTGGAATTGATGAATGGTTTGCATCTACATGTGAACCCTTTGTATTTGCTTTCATGGAGTCTTCTCTTTACTGTTGACTTAGAGACAGATACACCTACTTCCCTGAGAGTGTTCTGGACCTCAGTTGATGTTGTGAACGGGTTCTTCTTCACCAAAGAAAGTATGCGGCGATCATCCACCACCGTTGTCTTCTGTGGACGCCCAGGCCTTTTTGAGTTCCCAAGCTCACCAGTCAATTCCTTTTTCCTCAGAATGTACCAGACTGTTGATTTTGCTACTCCAAGCATGTCTGCTATCTCTCTGATGGATTTTTTCCTTTTTTTTCAGTCTCAGGATGTTCTGCTTCACGTCATTTGAGAGCTCCTTTGACCGCGTGTTGTCTGGTCACAGCAACAGCTTCCAAATGCAAAACCACACACCTGGAAACAACCCCAGACCTTTTAACTACTTACTTGATTACAGGTTAACGAGGGAAAGGCCTTTTGAGTTAATTGAAGCCTTTAGAGTCCATTGTCCAATTACTTTTGGTCCCTTGAAAAAGAGGAGGCTCTGCATTACAGAGCTATGATTCCTAAACCCTTTCTCCGATTTGGATGTGGAAACTCTCATATTGCAGCTGGGAGTGTGCACTTTCAGCCCATACTATATATAAATTGTATTTCTGAACATATTTTTGTCAACAGCTAAAATAACAAAACCTGTGTCACTGTCCAAATATTTCTGGCCCTAACTGTATATATTTGACACAGGATCTTAATCACGTATTACTTTGAGAATTCAATGTCTTTTTTTAAGTGGTTCTGATCGATGCTAGGTCAACATTAAACAAGACACTTTTTAAACACTTTCTGAGAGTTGGACTTAGAAGTACAGTTCATTATTTAGCTCTTCTCAAATAATGCAAAGTCTTTCAGTGTCATAAGGTCTTGTCTAATTTTTACAAATGTTTTAAACTGAAATGACTGAAAATAAAATTTCTTAACTTCACTGCTGTGTGTTATATTTTTCTTGAAAGGTTGTTAAAGGTGTAATTGTGGATTTTACAGATTTGTTTTAAAACGTGATCAAATGTTTTTTGCTGGAAATTTCAGTATTCCATTATACTGTGAGATCAGGATAAATGTTGTGCTTGCATAAAAAAAACTGGCTTACCATTTTCCTTCTACTGGAATGAAAAATTATTCCATTACATGCCTAATTCTAATATTTAAAATATAGCTAGAAACACCTTGGATTAACTTGGGGAACCTTAAAATTGATTAAACAATATGTTATTTTTGGCCTGGACTGGGTGGAAAGTTAATAAGATTAATTTTTATGTGTTATTATTTGAAAGTTCAAAGTAAAAACTGACACTTTTATACTTTGTGACACAAAATGGAAGATCTTCTCAAACTAAATTTTAAAAAAAAATCTACATTTAATCTTTTCCCCACTTTCTCTGCATTAAATGTTTTCTACAGCTTTAGACCTTTCAATAGATATAAAGTTTTTCATATTTTTAAAATAAATCTTTTCTATGTTTTCTGCCTGTTTTGGCCTAAAAGAGATTTTGTTTTCATCCCTTTCCACCATCCAGCTTCCTGCCATCAGAGGGTTGCATCGTTTCCCTGAATGAGGGGAAAAAAACACTTTCTGGGATTTTCTGGAGTTCGATATTTCAAGTACTCGTATCTATTAAAAATATTTTTTGTAAACATTATGTAATACACTTCTCTACGCTTTGCGCCATGTGGTTGTCTGTGTGTGTTTACAATGTTCCACTTCCCTCAAGCAGCCAAACCAAGAATCTTCTGATTTAGCCTCATTATTAACCAATTCATATAAATATTCCAAATAAATATTCATGTATGTAATATATGTTATACATGCATTTTGGAAGGCAATAAACTGAACTGAGTCTTTATCATTCTGTTTAGGCCATTAATGAGTTTCTGCATGATAAAAATGAAATATGTAGGTTTAGTTAACTCCAACAGAACTGCAATCTCCATTGGTGAACGCCAGCTGGTGTGTGCTCACGTCCTGCCCATAGTGAGGGATGTGGACCATCTTCTGAGGTAAGTGTGATGTGCATCTAGGAAGAAAAATTAACAGTTGATGTCGGTGGGAATGTAGAGAAAGACACTGCATTCACCAGAGTAAAAAAAATAAAAATAATAGGCATAATCTGATAATTACTCAACCAGGATCTCATGAGAAAACATCTTTCAATAACTACACTGTTAAACAAGTTACTAGAGCTCAAACAATTTGAGGAAACTGATTGCCTCAGTTTAGGTTTATTGAACTAAACAATTGAGTTTCAAAAATATAAAATTTAAGGACATTTAACTCATATTTTCTGTGAGAGCAGCAAGGAGAAAAAGTTATAGTGCCAGTTTATTATGGAACGTGAACGACGCTAGCAGCACCAGCTAATTACTTTTCAATTACTTAAAACGTGTTGATTGCACTCATCACTGAATCAGAATAACTTAGATGGTAAATTTTATTTAAAGAAAATCCAATTCAGCAAAGTTGTTCAGCTTCATTCGTCTGATGTAATTACAACATTCTAGTTGTCACAACATCCAGCTACTCGATTCATTTGAGGAAACCTAAAACTATTTAATTAACCCAATACAAACAGACGTTTTATACTACAATAAAACGAAATATGGAGTTTACTCAAAACAAATGTGCAAACTTCCTTAAGAAATCGTTTTCAAAACTTAAATGTAGGTATTCGCAAGTTGTAATTAATTAACATTGACTTGTGGAATTTCAGTGAGCGTAACTTCAGCTAATTTCACAAATCAGTGAGAATATTGTAAGAATTCCTTCCACCTGATTTGTGATCAATTGGCCAGGAGTGACGCATCAAGCTTCATTTCCTGTCCTTTCCTTCTTTACATCTGCCTTCCAGTCTATTGGCGGCGGTAATGCGCCTCATTTAGTTTACCATCCGCCAATCAAAGAAGAAGGAGACGCAAGCTACCGCCCTCTTTCTGCACGCGACGGTGTTGTTATCGAACCGATATCTGACATTTAGTTATTGAAAACATCCTGACGACAAACGAGCATTTAGTTCCTAAACCAACTGCGGAAGTATACCAAAGTAGCTCTCCTTCAAAGTAAATTAAGAGAATTACTAACACGAATCACAGTTGCATTTTTAATAATAGGTAACGCCAGAGTTATTAATAATGTCCTTTTTCACTGTATCTGAATAAGTTTGGTATTTTCAGGCATATATGTTAATAGCCGTGACATACAATAAAACATTTCATGAGAAACATAATGGTTGGGAAATCTGAAGAAAATAGTTCAGAATTGGAGAGGCTTCTGTTCTGCTTAAGATGCAGTATGACAATTTCAAAAATAATAAATGTATTCGAGCAGCAAAAGCCCGTAAACAGAAGGGTCAAGTATTTGCCTGGAAGCCATTAGTTTCAGCTAACTTGATCCAACGCCTCCCTTCAGTTGACCGAAGAAGACTTCCGGTGGCTTGTCATGGCGGTGGATCCATGGTGAATCCAATAGAAAGGGGGAAATATTTGCCCGCTTTGTCCTTTCTGAGCCACCCAAG